GAACGGCTTGCATCCAATATCCAATGCACGTAATGCGAAGCCACCACTGTTAGACGGCTCCAGTAATTCCAATGCGACTTTACGTCGACAACACAAAATGCAACGTAGGGAACACTACGACATACGACATCTGCCTGCGCATCCAGTGGAGACGTGAACCGACTGATAAAGAACAATCGTCAAGGGGCCAAAATCAAAATGTACGAGTGCCATTTGGCATGTCCTATCAACTTGTCCTTTGACAAAAGTGAACGCGTTACTATTGAGAACAATATAGCCTTCATTCACCGCATTTTACCACGGTTAGCTGCTAAAGGACGCACGCATTGCTCAAGTCTAGGCAGAGATCACAAGGCATGTCATACATCCATCCACGTTGTAACAATGCTGATCATATACGGGTCATCTCCAGATGCCACTGGCATGGATCACATCGTTCAAACCAGAAGAGTTCGGGCGGGCTATGGCAAAGTTTAAGCGTCAATCACCAGACCCTTGCCTGCTATGGCACGTTCTGATGACAGATGTTGTTATCACAACTGCTTGTATGTCTCACGGTGAGATTCACACATGACGACAATTAAAACATCTCTCAAATACGCACATATGACATCACCGTCCGATGTTTCCCGTAAAAACACACGTAAACTACTGCACGGCCAACACTGTAAACCTGGGAATTATAACGAACCAGGTCGAGCGTCCGCCTTGCATACTTTCAACTACCGACATGGCCAAGACACGAGCATGGACTGCGGGAGTGCATTTCTGGACGCAAGATTGCCAGGTGCGACGATGTGCAGCTCCTGATGCAGCCAATTCATATAAACAGTGATGGAAATTGAGCACTTTCGTCGCAACAAAGACTGTTGTTCTTGTTCATTGTTCTTATGTAACAGCAATGCCTTCAGAACACTATCCTAAATTCCCGTCTCAAAAACCGTCCTTTCAACCAAAAATATTATATCTGCTACACGTTTGTCCACTTGTTCATGCATATGAACAAGCGGTTTGTTACGAAAGCGAAATCCGTCTGAAACGAGCATCGCAAAGCCCAGTTCATCGACATGAACAATACAACGAACAGCCTTTCATTTCGCCTCGCTTCACGACATACTTAACATTGTTGCTTTCTTCGTTCCTTCGTCTCTTCTGCTCCCTTTCTCTTCATCCACTGAGGTTACTACAATCTGCCATCGCTGGGTGACCAAAAACCAAACGAAGCGAAACGAAACAGAGCCGTGTCAAGCTTGACGTTTGACAAAAAGCAGCCAGTGTCATCACATCAACTCATCTCTGTGCTGTGGTGGTTCGTTTCTTTTCATCCCCATTCCATCGGCCTATTCACACACGAATACTAACCATGTGTAGAGACGAGGTCGTGCATTGGCGCTGTGGCCACTTCCTCCGCGCATTCGCACCGTGCCAGAATGCCATCCCGCGCGATGGTGACAAAGCCGTCGGCAGGGATGGAGAGGATGTGCACGCGGCGACCGTCGTGCCACACAACACAGTCTCCGAAGGCAATGCTCTGCTCCTTCCCTGCGCCGACAACTGTGAGACGCGACATGTGCGGAACCCCGTCGAGATCCCCTTTTGCATGTTCCCCTCGTGTGTCCCCAACTATTGGACGTGCTGCACGTGCCAGATCCTGACGCCGTTTGGCAGCCAGAGCCGCAGGGACAACGGCAAACGGTCGGTGTCGTCGTCGAGCCGCCTTCGGCGGTGGGCGCCGTCGTTGGAGGTGCCCGAGGACAACCACACGCTGCAGACGGGCCATGTGTGTGGCGACAGCCTGCACGAGGACAGCGACGATGCGCAAGCGGATGTGCCACGTCTCCATCCCATGGCCACGACACCTTTGATGTGTGTCGATGGTTTATGTGGGTGTGCGGCAGACGGTGGCTGTCACGGACACGCCGCCAACGACGATGACGGCCCTGAAATCTCCCTCTCCGACCTACGCGAGATCCTCAGCGAGATGGACGACACCGTCGGCCCTCTCCTCGGCGACAAGCCCGAGACCCCGAACCCTGGCTGCGGCCACATGCGGTGCGACAAGTGCATACCCTGGAGGCGGTGCCCGTGCTGGTGTCTGTGCCCGTACCTCATCCCCAGTACGCGCCGGAGCTGCTCCGTGTGCGTGCGGTCCAAGTGTGCCGCAAATGACCAGAACGGTCTTCGTGAGTACGTCGCGGAGAAGATTGTGAAGGAGCGAGAGCAGCATATGGAGATTGAGTAAACCCCAGCCTGTTGAATCATGCTTACGCTTTGTCATCAAGTCCAGTTCGCAGCTCATAACATACAAGTAGATACAAACCATCTGGTAAGTATTGACGTAGAGTTCTTTTTGTTGTTTGTTTCTTCTTTCTTCTCTTGTTATAAATAAAATGATTTGACTCCTGATTTTATTTGAAATGCTCGCAGATAGAGTAAGAATCTCTATATCATCTCGAACTCATTTAGTGTTTCCTTGCAATTAAGGTATGTTTTTTTTTTTTTTTATTTTTTTTTTTTAAAAAAAACTTCCGCGCCATCATTTTCAGATTTTGTTTAATTCTTTTTAATTTTTTCTTTTTTAAAAAAAGGACTTCCTTAATACTCCCACAGCCGATTTTGCCACCTATCAATCATTACTTATTCAAACCAAAAACATTTTGGTTGTTGGATGTTGAAAAATATGTGAGACAATGAGAACGGTCGGTGAATTGAATCCTGCGCTTACTAACAACCAGCAATTGTACAAGGCATACGACACTGAGCCTCACAACAACGCATTTCCGTGCAGATGTCTACCCGTCGTCTTTCCCTGTCCTTTCTTGTGTGGCATCGTTTTCTAGCTCGTCTTCACCGTCTTTATGGTCATTCTTCCGCCCGGCCAAGACGTTGCGCTAGCAGACCGCTTTTTTGACCCGATGCCGCCGATGGTTGTCATACATCTCCGCAACAGCTGTCGACAGGTTTTGTTGAGACCTTGCGTTGATTATGCTTGGCTTCCAGAAGAACCGGGCGTCCTGCTATTCCTTCTCCGTTGGTCCACTGCCGTAAATGCCGAAACGGGTGGAAGAAGCGATTCAGACATGACTAAGACATGCGCTGAGGTATGGCTGTTTGGGACTCTCAGTCATAGTTGTCCGTTGTTCCGTAGATAACAGTATGTTGAAGCCTGGATACTGCCTCGGTACTACCTGTAGACATAATGCGTGTGCTTTTGAATAACAATATAGATAATATAGATGGCATGCGGAGGACGTACGATCGGATATGAAAACGGCTTGTTAGCAGGCCCGGGTTCCGCCCAATGACGACACTTCTTATGCGTGTGTTTTACGCAGATCGATCATGATCGGGCGGCAAGTGCTACAATTAAGTGTGTGTGCCCAAGCTGAGTGATGCGTGGGGGCAGAAGTTTATGGAATATCATAGTGTTTTGTACGCTTTTTTATCATCTCCGTTTCTTCATCGTACTTCCTTCCGTTGATGCGCTGGCCGATGTTCGTGCCTTCCCAATTCTCGCCGTCGAAGGTACAGGCTAAGAACCAATGGTGGCCGCCCACGGAGGACTCCTGACCACAACTTTGGCGGTGTCAGGTGGCTGTGGGCGAGTCCACCCACTACGCTTAGCGCTGTTTTCCCCGCCGCTAAGGCCTGGGGGTGCATCACGACGCCTGAACATTGAAGGGCTCCGCACAATATGCAACAAAGTGGCCAGATGCGGCCTAAATAGGAAAGCTCAAGGGATCGGGTGTTCGATGCGTTTTAAGGTTTTGGAGGCAAGAGGGGAGAGGGGCTCTTGCCTGTTGGCGGTGTCACCTGGCCGGAACGGGCTTCGCCTGCTTAGTGTGTATCTATTTCCAAGTCTTTTTGCTGTACCACTGTCACTCGTTCGCAGCTGCCCATTTCTGCTTTTCTCTCGTGCCTGCCACTTTTTTCTGTTTCGCACCTTCTTCATGATCTTCGCTTTTGATTTCTCTCAAAATCGGACTCTTCTCTCTTTCACACACTCCCCTCCTCTCTCGTCAACATCTTCACAATTTTCGGTCGTGGTTGTCGGGACCGACCTCGCGTGCGCCAACTCGCCTGCCTCCTTACCCAATCTAGAACTTCTCCAACTTTGCCGGAGTCTGACCTCTTTAGGCGCGCCACACCAAGTGCTCTGAACACGCGACCAGCAAATCAGCTTTTGGCAATCGACAAAAACCCTCCGAAGCAAGATTAAAGAAGACCAGAAAGTTGAACAGGACACACGGCTCGCCAAGTCAGGGGCCGGCGGCGACGTCACAACGGCATTCCAGCATCAGAATCCAAGGTTAGCAGGGTCGAAACAGTCGAACCAGAACCAAAAACCACAAAACCGTAAGGTACACCAAAAACCTGACCAGGGGTCGATTCTCAAGGAGCAAAACACGTAAACACGGAGCTACTGCAACTAGAAACTGGAGAAAAGGGGATTGAAACTGGGGGAGGGCAAGAACAGAGAAAATTAAGAAAGTAAGAAAACGACTGTGCGCAGAAAATAGCCCGCGAATAGTCTCTGCACTTGATGAGGAAAAAAAAGAGGAGCTGTCAGCACCTAAGACATCCTCAAAAAAAGAGACACATCCACACTCGACCGCCACATGCTTCTTTGCACATCAGTCAGCTTCTGACGGTTTCGAAGCCACTTTGGCCGCCGAGAAACCGGAGCTTGCTTGGAATCCAAGCCGCCAGGATTTAAAGTGCCTCAAAAGGCTCTTCGGTCTCGATCTGCCCCAATTGCTTGCATTCCAGCTTTTCCTACCACCTTTCCACTCTTTCAACGGGTCATTCACTTCGTTCCGAACAAACCTCTGCTTCGCCCACTGACAATTGTGCCTGGGCTGAACTGGACACGCACCCAGTCGCCCCTTTGTCGACTGAAGCCGCGTCGGAGCTGTTGTCAACTGCATCGGCTGCCCGGCTGTTCGACTCTAACGTCTGCTCTCGTCTCTCGACCGGTTTGTCAATACCCTCACAGCATAATGGCGCTGCTCGACGCGGCACCACAAACCTCTTCCGGGCCGACCCTTTTTGGGCTGCCGATGAAGCAGGTTTCCTTGATCACCGTAAGCTTCCAAAGAGTTCCCTTTGGCCCGCCAATGGTCGTACATAGACGCCTCGTTTGCTAACGCGCTCGCGCTTCCGCACAGTTAACGTTCCAAAATTCATTATTGACGCTTATCCTCCACTACTCACGAGTCATGCCCGGCGTCCCCGGCGACCACCGCTACTTTGCCTCAACCGCCGTCTTCCTTAACGAGGTCCTCAAACTCGCCATCTCCCTGACCTTTGCCATCTACGAGGTCTCGCGCACACTCGCGCCGCAGACACCTGCCACCGTGCTGTTCGAGCAGATCTACAACTCCGTCTTCTCCCACGACAGCTGGAAGCTCGCCATCCCGGCCACCCTCTACACCCTCCAGAACACGCTGCAGTATGTGGCACTGGGCAACCTGGACCCCGTTCACTTCCAGATCCTCTACCAACTGAAGATCCTTACAACCGCCTTCTTCAGCGTCGCCCTGCTTGGCCGCTCGTTGTCGACCAAGCGCTGGATTGCCCTGGTCGTCCTGACCATGGGCGTCTCTATTGTCTCGCTGTCGTCCAACGAGTCCTCCAACGACACCTCGGCCCTCATCATCCACGACTTTAGCGACCACTTCTTCCCGCGGTCCATGCACGAGCTCGGCCAGATGGTCGACGGCGTTAGCGAGGTGGCACGCGAGCTCACCAAGCGCACGGTCGCCCATGTCGCCAGCGGTGCTCTGCTCGCCAAGCGCTCCGCATCCTACGAGGGCATTAACGAGGACCAACTGGATGGGGGCGCCGTCGCCATGAACGCGTCGCTGGGCATTACTGCTGTCCTGGTCGCGGTCGTCGTGTCGGGCCTGACGGGCGTCTACTTTGAAAAGGTCCTGAAAGACTCGGCCAGCCCCGTGTCCGTGTGGACGCGCAATATCCAACTGTCCTTTTACTCGCTCTTCCCGGCTCTCTTTGTCGGCATTGTCTTCAAGGACGGCGCCGACATTGCCCAGCACGGCTTCTTTGACGGCTACAACTGGGTCGTCTGGATCGTCATTGTCTTCCAGGCCGTGGGCGGCATCCTGACGTCTCTCTGCATCAACTACGCCGACAACATTGCCAAGAACTTTGCCACAAGCATTAGCTTCGTCATCAGCTTTCTCTTCAGCGTCGTCTTCTTTGGCTTCCGAATGACGGCCACGTTTACGGTCGGCACGCTGCTCGTGCTCGCCTCCACCTACCTGTACTCCGGCCCCGACCGCAAGCGCGGCCGCCCGCCCCCCATCAACATTGTCCACTACGAAAAGACCACCATTGACCGCGCGGGCACACCCGTCCCACGGATCCGGTCGGCGGACAACATCAGGAACCCGTCGGCGCACGCGTCATCGTCACACGGGTCCGCGCACCTCGACCCGCTCGACTCCGTCCGCACCATGGGCCTGTCAACGTCACGGCCCTCGTCTCCCCTTGGCCACCATAACAGAGTGCAGTCGAGCCGGAGCAAGACCCGAGACGAATAGAACCCGCTCGGTCCGGAGAGTCTGCCTTGATCTTAAGCACACTGTTGTATTTTCCCTTCTTTTCATTCTTTCACTGGCGTTTTTTTTGTTTCGTCTTCGTCCTGGTTTTCGTTTCGACTATACCTGCACACGGATACAATCTGTTTGGGCGAACCTTGGGCCCAAGGTGGCCGCGTTGTTTTATGGCGTTATCTTTCGACCCTTTTTCTCGCTTTCTTTCTTTGCCCAAAGCACAAAGCATCGTTTATTGGGAGCTGGGAGAGCCAACGGATTGTAAAATGGGATGGTAAACGCAAGCTGGTAGCTTGATCTTGTCACGGTAGGAGGAATTGACGGCACCATGTCAATGTCATTGTGCAAAGGCTCATATGCTCATATATAGTTACATGGAAGCTTTGGAAAAGCAATTATTTCATTTTTGACTTCAGTGGACCATCACGTGAAGACGCGCCAATATCGCGACCTTTAGTCGACAGCACTCAAACTCAGGAAGGAGCGGTCACGCAACGGTGGCAGGAGCTATCGCCAGTGTGCGGTCGTGCCTTCTGGAAAGCGCTCGCAATGTGTATGTAGGCAGCCTGCCATGGCTGCCACTTTTGGGTCAGGCGGAAATAAAGGGGGAATTTTGATCACATCGGAGACGAAACATCATCACAGTTTCCACCCACCGATCGCCCCAAGTGCATCAATTCCAAAGCGCTCTGCTGCCCACGAACCGCAATGCGCCGCAATCGATTCCCGGACTATTTTGGAACTTGTCGGTCGACTGAACCGGTATTTGGGAACCGGCAGGAGGACGACCCATCTCGTGGCCCAGCTTTTGCTGCAGGCTCAAGAGGTACCATCGTCGACCGAAATGACGAGTATACCAGAAACGACAGAGAGGACGACGAACTGTATCCTTACATTGACCAACCGGTCAATCCGCCGATGCCAATGACGGAGACACCGAGAACGTCCAAACCGAGACGTACTGCTTTCAGACCAAAACAATTGGCACAATCCGGAACACGAACTGCCACAAAACGAGCACCAGCGTCGACGTTATTGACTGCGCCTCCTGCCCCGAAGAGACAGAACTTCCCGAGAGACTTTGTCTACCGAGAGCCTACATCCCATAACGGGCAGGTCGACGTCCAGATCCCTCGGATTCAGCCACAAGCTTCAACCACCATGCAAACACCGAGACGGCAGACCATCCAATCTCACAACCCTTTGGATCAACCAGGAACTCCCTGGTCGATCCGGCCGACAGCACGACCCAACTGGCTGCGCCAGCCACCACAAGAACCAGCCGAGTCTTTCCACACACCGATTTACGGGTACAGTAGTGACGGGCCGCAAAGACAGCAACAAGAATTTGAGCTGGAGCCAGACACTGGGCTAGAGCCACAGCCGTATGGTCCCCCGGTGTACAACTCGTATAACCGTCGAAGCGAGAACCACTACAAGGCCCCTCCAACACCTGCTCCTCCAGCAACCTTTCGGCAGCGGTCGAGGCAAGCCCAACTCATGGCACCTCCGACTCCTCGCCACTCTTCCCCATCGCCCTTGGCCGTTGTTCGGGCACCAATACAGCCGCGGAACAATCCGGCACCGCAAGTCAATGGCATAGAGCTCATCAGCCCACAGGCAGTCGACAAACGCTTCCAGGCTGTCTTCCCCTACGAGCACTTTAATGCTATGCAGTCGCGCTGTTTCAGTTCCGTTTACGGCTCGAGCTACAATGTTGTCGTGGCAGCCCCCACAGGAAGCGGCAAGACCGTTGTGTTTGAGCTGGCAATTTACAAGCTGCTCGCCAGCCGCGACAAGAAGGACTTCAAAATCGTGTACCTGGCACCCACAAAAGCACTCTGCGCGGAGCGCGTCCGCGACTGGCAGAACAAGTTTAAGCCGCTCGGCCTACAGGTGGCTGAGTTCACGGGCGACACGACGCCGGCCGAGGTCCGGCGTGCACGCACGGCATCCGTCATTATCACCACGCCCGAGAAATGGGACTCCATTACACGCAAGTGGTCTGACCACGATACTCTGCTTAGAACGATAAAGCTGGTCCTCATTGACGAGGTGCATATCCTCAAAGACCCACGCGGTGCCACTCTCGAGACGGTTGTGTCCCGCATGAAGACGCTTGGCGGCGAGGTGCGCTTTGTTGCGCTGAGTGCTACAATCTCCAACTCGACTGACGTTGCTCAGTGGTTGGGTCTCACGCACACAAGTCCTCAGGTGCCCGCCAAGACCTATGTATGCGGCGAGGAGTTCCGCCCCGTTCGCCTCGAGAAGATTGTCATCGGCTACAATATGGGCGGTGGCAACGAACACTCCCTGGACAGCATTCTGGACGACCAACTGCCTGACTTGGTCGTCAAATATGCAGAGGGAAAACCGGTCCTCGTATTCTGCTTTACGCGCAAGTCGACAGAGAGTGCCGCCACAGCCCTGGCGGAGTACTGGGGCATGTGTTCTGCAGCACAAAAGCCGTGGCCCAGTCCATCTGTTGGGATTCGAAGCAGTGCGCGCCTGCAGAACTTGGTGACTGCCGGCGTTGCTTTCCACCACGGCGGCCTCGAGCGACACGATCGGGCCTCGATCGAGGCGGCATTCCTGCGTGGTCACCTGTCCATTGTCTGCTGCACGTCAACATTGGCGGTCGGCGTCAACCTGCCGTGCCATACGGTCATTCTCAAGGGCACATTGCGTTACCATAATGGCAAATTCTCTGAATATGACGAGTGCGAGGTTATGCAGATGATTGGCCGTGCTGGACGGCCCCAGTTTGACACAAGTGCCACTGCAATCATCCTGACACGTGCCGAGAACAAAGAAAGGTACGAAAACATCGAGTCTGGCTACCAGACGGTCGAGAGCACCCTACACATGAACCTCATCGAGCACCTCAACTCGGAGATTGTTCTGGGCACCATCACCTCGCTGCCCAAGGCCGTGCAGTGGCTGAGAGGCACCTTTTTGTCCGTCCGACTGCGGCAAAATCCGGACCACTACAAATTGACGGACGAGACGACGCTGGCTCGAACAACCGACGAGCAGCTGCGAGAGATATGCAAAGCAGGTATTGATCGACTGGCGGAGGTGAGACTCATCCAGTATCTCGCAGACTCCGACGCCGAGTTCCGGGGAACACCGCATGGAGGTGCCATGTCAACATACATGGTCCGTTTTGAGACTATGGTAATGATGCTGAAGCTCAACAGCTCCGTGTCCATGGAGGAACTCGTACGTCTTTGGCTACAGGACGAGGGGATGGGCTTTCAATGGAGTAATATGCTGACAGTGCTAGGTCAATGCTCTCTGTCATGCTTCCGAGTTTGATGAACTGAGAATCAAAAGCACAGAGCGACAGGGCCTACGAGAGCTCAACAAGTCTCAAGATATTCCGTTCAAATTCAAGGACAACATTATGGAAACGTGGCAGAAGATATCCGTACTCATTCAGGTTGAACTAGCTCGGGGCGTGCTTCCGTACCAGCAGAGGATGGCCTTGGAGGCGAGGCAAGCGATTGAGCGGATGCAGCGACTCCTCGAGAGCTACATTGTTTGTATGATTGCGGACAACAACGGACACGCCGCCAAAATTGGGCTTGATTTTTCGCGAAGCCTGCTTGCCAAAGCCTGGGAGGGCTTCCCGGCGCAGCTGTGCCAGGTCCCCGACATCGGACCGGCCAACATGAAGAAACTTGTGGACAAGCAGGTCACCACCGTACTTGCGTTTGCTGATCTCGGGACGGTGACCATTGAGCGGTTCCTCTCCAAGAACCCACCCGCCGCCATGAAGATTGCCGACTCACTACGAGCCTTCCCTCGCCTCACACTGGACGGTCATGTGGCCATGGCCCCAGAAGGGCTACGAGAGAATGGCAGTCGTGATTCAGAAACAGAGGCGAAAGCCGTTGCCCGAGTCAAGTTTGGTTGTATGAATGAAGGTGGTATTCCACGTTGGAGGCACAAGGTGCCATCGGCCACCTTTCTCGCCTTGACAGAGGAGGGCCGTCTACTTCACATTTGGCGGGGAAAGCTCCAGGAGAAAAAACATGAAGTTACATTCACGGTTCCATCCTCGGATGCAGACACAGTTCATTGTCATTAGACGTGCGATGACATTGTTGGAACAATGCAGTCTTTGCAACTAGCCTGCGTCGACGTGCCTCGAGATGGGCTAGCTGTTCGATCCCCGCCGACGGCGTCGACTCGAACCGACAGCACCGCAGCGCCAAATGACTTTGTTCTGCGGGGATATCAAGAGGAACGGCCTGCAAAGAGGCAGAAGATGCTAGACTACTCGATGCGCACTATCACGATCGGCAACACGACGGTTGACTGCGTCGACCTGTCGGCCGTGGACGACGCGGAAGGCGGCCGAGTACCACAAGCTCAGACAACTCATTATCCTGTCCAGTACCATCGCGACCCGTTTGCCTTGGAGGCTGTATCAACAAGACAGCCACGGCACTGCAGTGGTGGGGGTACCCAACAGGATCCGCTCTTGCTAGACGACTCGGGGTCAGACGAGTATGAGGACACCTTTGACGCGTCTATTTTCGACGACATTGAGCTGGCGCCCATAAAAGAGTCACCAGAGAGCACGCCTTTCAACTCTCGACACCGGCCGTCTGATACAAGGTGCAAATCGTCAGGGATCAGGCCCGTAAAGACAAGTCCGGCAGACACTATACTACCGAAACGAACGCCGTCAAAAGTTGCAGCTGCCCTGGCACCACCCGTCTTCAACATGCACCACATCGACACACTTATTGAAAACGAGATCATACCAGACTCAAGAAGAAACAGCCCACAGCCTGAAGTCATGCCCAGCCACCATGCAGTCGCCACGAGAGAGAGCAGCAAGTTGGATGGTGCAGTTTCAGCAACGGCTGTGCCACAAAGCCCTTGTTCCATGAGTCCAGGGCCACAAGGAGTAATCACGGACCAACCAGATTCACTGCCGAAAGGAGACGAGGCGACGGACACGGTGGCGGAAGAGGGGCCAGAGTCCGAACTGTCACTGAACGTAGCCAATGCAGAGCCTGCAGAGCCTGAAGAGCCAGCAGAGCCGAGCTGGGTACATACGTCGAGCAGTAGCATTGTGGATTTCTTGCGGGGACACGTCAAGTTTGTGTAGGATGTGAAGGCGGAGGTTGTCTTACTTTGCGGGATATGATTTTCGCGTGTCATTGTTGTTTTACTATATTTTAGACGTCGTTTTAGAAGATGATGTGTTTATCCCTTTTCTTTGCCTTTACCTTTGCAATTCACTGCCATCAGCACCGACCAACAGTTCACTGCAAACCCCACTCAGACGTGAACATATCTGCCATCCACATGCCCATGCCGCCGTCAAAGTCAAGATTCTGCTCATCCCCCAAAAGCGCCTCAAAGGGAAGGGCGTCGTCGGGACTGGTATGGAGAAGCGAGAAGCTAAAGGACACGTCAGGTCGGTGGTGGCGTGATTCATCGTCACGAAACTGATGTGCTTGCTGCTCTTGCTGTTGCTGCCTGAGTCGCTCTAGGTCTTGCGCACTAGCCGGTGTTGGTGCCTGCTGCTGCTGTTGCTGCTGTTCCTCTTTGGCCCAGCCCGCCACCCACGTCGCCTTGAGCATGTTGAGCGCGCGGGCCGACCGCGTGAAGAAATCAGGAAAGGCGGCTTCGCCCGGTGGCGCGGGTGGCATGGTGGGCGCCGTCGCGCTCGGACCGATGGCGGCATGGTCGGCAAAGTAGGCGGCCACTTCGGCAAAGCGGTCGGCAACGGCGCCGACCATCCCCGGGACGTCCAGCTGGGCACGGGCCCAGTGCTTGTCCCAGCCGCAGCTGGGGTCGTCCTTGCCAAAGGTGGCGAGGCGGTAGACGACGACCAAAAAGTAGGACATTTGGGCGACCATGTGGAAGGAGAACATGTGGAAAAAGGAATCGTCGGGGAGTTCGTGGAACGCCGAGCGCGGGTGGCTGGGGACGCTGCCGTCGTCCACGGGCGGTTTGTCGATCGCGGGCATGCTGGGCGGGCCGACCTCAATGGCTGTCGTCGCCGTTCGGCGCGTCTCAGCAGCCGGCCGCCATGGTTCCTGGTGCTCGTATTCGTGCCTCTTCTGCTGTTGCTGCAGGTTGGGGTCGGGCCGCTTGTTGAAGACAAGGTCGAACCACTGCTTGTGGAGGCGGAGACAGGTGTTGAGCAACTCCGCCCGCCGCGTGTCGGGGCCATGGCGCAGCCGTTCCTCGGCCGACTGGCTGGTGGCAAAGAGGGCAATGCTGTAGATGGAGGCCTCGTTGGCCAGGTTCGAGACGCGGCAGATCTCCAGCAGGTCGGCGGGCAGGTCGGGTGGACACATTTTCTCGGCCTCGCGCTGGCGCGCCAGCAACGACGTGACCTGGAAGTCGCGCGTCTGGCGCATCTGCGCTGCCGAGGCAATGGAGATGTACGCCTGTGGGCCGGGAATGTCGAGAGCAACGCGTTGCAGGCGACACTGATACACGAGGAGCCGGTCCAGCGGCGTCTCGGGTTCGGTGTCGAGCACACGCAGGCACTCGTCCATGTGCTCGGTCCAGGGCAGGGTGATGGGCTTGCGGTGGAAGAGGGTCACAATGACGGTCACCAGGTAGGCCCCCAAGACGGCACGGCGCTCCTCGTTTGTGCGCACGGGAGACTCGAGCAGCTTGATGGCGAAGCCGTGAATGCGGATGGTGGACAGCGGGTGTTGTTCCGAAGCGGCGGCCGTGTTGGGGGGCGGACGCGGCGTCGGCGGGTCACGGTCGAGGCCCAAGTCCTGGACGATGGCGGTGGCCATGTGGCAGTACATGAGCATGAACGGGTCGCGCTTGAGGTAGTACATGCCCCATCCCAGGAAACCAACGACACCCAGCAGCAGGTCGACGGATCGCTGGTGCTTCACAACGGCCTGTGTGGCGATCTGCTCGCGAAGACGGAGGCATAGACGGGTCTGCAGGTCGGCAGAGCGGGCGCTGCAGGCCATGATGCTGAGCCACAGCAGAGGACGGCTCTGCTGCAAGCGCGCGGCAGACGTCATTGGTGGAATGTGCACGAAGGGGAAGTACTTGAGTTTGCGGGTGCGGAAGCGTTCGAGGGCTTCTTCGGCGTCCAATCCCGCGAAGCCGGCGATGAGGCCCTGGCTGGTGTCGTCATCGCGACGGTCGCTGCGGTTTGGCACGTCCTGCGGACGATGTGCAGAAGCATCATCACGATGGTCGCCATCCCCATCCATTGGCTGCTGGGCGCCACCGATGCATATCTCATGTGGGCTGTAGGTGATCGTACGGCCGGAGAGGAAGACGGATGTGCGAGGCACGACGGCGGATGACGACGAATCAGGTGTTGAGTCTGATCTCGGTCCATTTTTCCGCTGTTGTTGCGATGGTTGCTTTTGCTGCTGATGTAGTCCAGGCACGTTTTCGAGCATCGACATCAGCCCGTTGAGGCGTGCCTCGAGCTCGTCCGTCTTGGACGCGGCCGGTTTCCGGCCTGGTTTGCGCCGGGCACCAACAGCAGGCTGGCAATCTTTCTTGAGACGGAGACATCTGCAATACGGAAAAAACGAAGGAGAAGCGGCGGCAAAAAAAGGAAATGGGACAGGGGTTAATAATCTCGTGCGGGTGGACCGTCTGCAACCCGGGAAGGGGACGGATGCCCAAGACATCCAACGGCGATGCGCTGACACAGGCACAGCTTACCTTTCACAGGCTTTCCCGTCGCCACGGAGCGTGCACTTGGCCTTGGCCTTGACGCATTGGCTGCATGCGCGGCCGTAAGGCGTCGTATCGTGGCGCCCCGGCGAGGCTGGCATGGCTGTGGGCAGTGTGCCGTGTCTCAGCGACGAGTTGTTGCCTGTTGCGAGACAGCCAGTAAGCCAAGTGGAGATGGGAGGGCGTTGGAATGGTGTGAGAGAAGGACGGTTCGGAAGATAGGATGTCGATATGGGCCGAACGTTGAAATATGAAGGGAAAAGGGGGAGGGCAGCAACGAAGAAGGCACGACTGGCGACGCGATGCATATGAAGGACGCCGTCGGAGACACAGAGAAATGCTCCGTCGGCATTCAGGAAGGAGCAGTCTGCAAGAAGTGGGTCGCCTCGTCCGTCGCACCTGTCTGTTTTGGTGCACTCGTTCTCGCGCTAGTCTGCTTTCGTATAGCTCGAATGCCGTCGGCGTTCAACGTCACGACTTACACGGCTCGACTTGGACGGATCTCACCAAGAGTTCGACTGTCGCTGTTGCTAAGCATTTCAGTCGGACACTTTTGCTGCACGGTGACGAAAGGTCAGAATCCAGTCGGACATAAGATGCACTATGTCGCGAGAAGAACAATACGGGTCCTGTCGGACTGTCTACCGTGTTTAAATGAGGAGCCTTTCCGTCTCGAAGAGAAAGATTGGCATCTCCAAAGATCTCTCAAGAGTTACACACTCACCGAACGTCCCCATCACCCTACTCTGCATTTTCACCCTTTCTATTTTTAATTGTCGATTCTTTAGTCCTCCCACCATGACACACGCCAAGACAGGAAAGTCGGTGCCGTCCAAGGACCTGGCGCCGCTGCCGTCCAACTTCACGCCCGTCTTCATCCGCAACCAGTTCTTCACCACCATCCCGCTGCCCACCAAGGCCATGTACCCCCATGCCGCCGGCCAGCGCGCTATTGTCACTGGCGCCAACACGGGCCTGGGCTTCGAGGCCGCCCGCCAGCTGCTGGCCCTCGGCTGCAGCCACCTGGTCCTGGGCGTCCGCTCGCTCGACAAGGGCCGCGAGGCCGCCAAGGCGCTGCAGGCCGCCAACCCGCGCGCCACCATTGACGTCTGGGAGCTCGACATGGCGTCGTACCCGTCGGTGCGGGCGTTTGCGCGCCGCTGCCAGGAGCAGCTGCCGGGCCGCATCGACAGCACGATCCTCAACGCCGGCGTCAGCCACATTGTGCGCGTCACGAGCGCCACGGGCCACGAGACCACCATGCAGGTCAACCACTACGGGACCGCGCTCCTGGCGCTGCTGCTGATTCCCGTCATCAAGGCGAAGGCGAAGGTGACGGCAACGGCCAGCGGCCCGTCGCCCACGCAGCCGCCCGCGATGACCATTGTCAACTCGGTCACGGGCCATCTCTGCAAGTTCCCGAACCGCGCGGCGCGCCCGCTGCTGCCCACCTTTGACGACGACGCGCTGCTGCCGTTTGATGCCACCGAGCGCTACGGCGTGTCCAAGCTCGTGTCGCAGATGTTCCTGGTCGAGCTGACCGACCGCATTGCGCCCGTTCGCGGCAACCCGTTCATCAACTTTGTGGACCCCGGCCTCACCAAAGGCACCAGCCTGTTCCGCCACGCCAAGGGCGCCATGCGCGTGGCCGTCAAGGGCTTCTTCAGCGCTGCCGGCCGCACGGTCGAGCGCGGTGCGGCGACGTATGTGCACGCTGTGCTGGGCAAGGGGCCCGAGTCGCACGGGTGCTTCCTGATGAATGCCGAAATTGCACCGTACGTACTTTACTGATGGAGATGTACGTTGTTCCGCCGTGTCCGCTTTGATCGCTAACCCAAACGACAGTCTTGCTGGGTACTACTACACGGAAAAGGGTCTGTCGGCGCTTGTGTGGGAGGAAACACTCAAGGAACCCGAGTTTGCCGACGCCGAGGACATTGTCCGGTCTGTCCAGCTGTAGACTGGGTGTGTTTTAATACTGCCAAGAGTGCGCCGGAACTGCACGGTTCTGTCTTTCACTTTTAGTTTAGAACAATTCCTTTCTTTCATTCTTTCCATCCTTTTTCATTCTTATTACTACTAAGTCCAACGACCGGTTATGTACAAAATTGTGTACAAATTATGTACAGAATTAACGTGACAGGGCATCCTCAAACAGCATCCGCAGCTGGTCCTTTTCGCGCTCCAGCTCCGTCGCCAGGCCGGGCGCCAGCATCAAAACACGCGCCTGCGGGATGGTGCCCTCGACCAGCTCCTCAATGTGCTCGCGGCCAAAGCCCAGGTCTCTGAGCCCGCGCGGCTGGTCGCCCAGCGTATCCAAAAACGTGGAGATGGCCTCGCCCAGCAGCTCGCCGGCGCTCTCGCGCTTGGCGCTGGTGATGTCGACGCCAAAGGCCTCGGCGGCCTGCAGATGGCGGTCCGGGTTGGAGGGCGCGGTGAACCGGAAGACGGCGGGGGCCGACACGGCGACAGACACGCCGTGGGGGATGAGCGGCGTGTCGACCTCGTAGCCCTGCTGGCGGTAGCCCGCGGGGTTCTGGCCCGAGATGGGGTAGGACATGCCGTGGCACAGGTGGACGCCGGCGTTGCCGAAACCGACACCGGCGAGCGTCGCAGCGAGCAGCATCTGGTACTGCGCCTCCTCGTCCTCCGGGTCGTGCACGCTGCGCGGCAGGTACTTGACGGTGCTCTTGAGGGCGTTGAAGGAGAAGATGTCGCTGATGGGGTTGGCGCCCTGGTAGGCCGGGCGCAGGATGGGGTTGGCGGGGCGGGGGACGCGCTCGCTGTAGGGGATGGCGGTCCAGGACTCGAGGGAGTGGCACAGGACGTCGAGGCCGGAGCTCGCCTTGACGGCCGCGGGCATCGTGGCCGTGTTGAGGGGGTCGCAGATGCCGAGCGTGGGCTTGAGGTTGCGGTGGGCAATGCCCGTCTTGGCACGCCGCGAAACCAAGTCAAAAATGGCCGTGCCCGTGGTCTCGCTTCCCGTGCCGGCGGTTGTGGGCACGGCAATCAGCGGACGCAGGGGCTTGTCGACGGGGCGGCCCTTGCCCAGTGGCGCGTTGACAAAGTCGAGGAAGTCGGCGTCTGGGTAGCAGGTGTAGAGGTTCATGAGCTTCGCGGTGTCCATGACGGACCCGCCGCCAACGGCGACAAAGACGTCGGGGTTGATTGGTTTGGCCCACGCGATGGCGTCCAGGATGCTGCACGTGTGTTAGCTGTTGGGCTGGACATGGACATGTGGTAAACGAAGCGTCAGTGTGGATACAGGACGGCACCCACGAATTGTCCTTTGGCTCGACCCGCGTGCGGTTGAAGACGGCGTAGTTGATGTTCTCCTCGCCCAGCGCCGCGCGGACCTGCTCCATGGCGCGCAGCTTGTTGACGGTGCCGTCCGTGACCACGGCGACGTTCTTGGCGCCCATGTTCTTGAGGTCCATGCCGATCTCGCGGGTGACGCCGTTGCCGAACCGGATGGCCGACGCAGCCATCTCAAAGGCATACTCCTTGAGCGGCGTGGCCGGCTGCTGCTGGGGCGTGGCATAGCCGCGCGCGGCCCTGCGTGCATACGGCGTCGGGCCCTGGTGTTTGTGGTGGTGATGGTGGTCGGGGTTGGCGTGACACGGGCACGACGGCGGGTGGGTGTACTGGATGGTCCGCAGCAGGCTCACGGCCCGTGTGGTGGCCTAGCAGCCGGTCAGTTGTGTTCTGTCCTGTTGCGTTCTTTTGTTCTTATCTCGTGCCTCTTGTCTCTTGTCTTCATGTGTGGTCTTCTCTCTTCTTCTGCTCCGCAATCGGCCTTGCCTCGGCATTGTCACGAATCGCTCACATTTGGTGTAACCCGTATGGCGCCCATTGTATCGGTATATGGGTAGAGGGTAGTCAGCAACGGTCACGCGGAGGTCAAAGAGAAGTCGCGCAGGCGTTGGTACGTTATGTTGGCGAAGAGCGGCTGAGAATCGTCTTCTATTTTTGTTCTGTCGTCTCCGATCCGCCGGTCATAAAGAGCGGGGAGTGCTGGATGGAGCTCGGCAATCTGCATTGGGGCATTTCCCAGTCCCGAAGCATCCAATAGAAAGCTGTGACCGAGGAATCGGCTAGGCGGCCGATGTGGAGTAGTGCTGCAAGTTGGGGGATTGAACGGGTTTTGTAGCCATTTGTTTTTGTCTTTCATAACGATGAAGTCGACGCCATGTGCAGCACGTGATGTGGTGTTTGTTGACCGTTCTTTCCAAGACAGTGTCGTTCTTTCCTCTCTCGTGCTCGTGACGGTTTTGTCGCATTCTACCGTTCAATCGCCGTTCGCGCCTGCCTTTCCGAACCGCCTACGAAATTGCGTCAAGAACGACTGTGAGATGCGCCGCGACCGCTTTGGCTAGGACGCTGCAGCAAACTACTGCAGCAAACTGAAGTGCGGGGTCTAGACCCAGTGACAGAATGCGAAAGCCAGCGTTTGGCAGGCCGGTCTGGTGCCAACATCGGGTCTGACGGCCAGTCTGGTCAGTGGGGAAAGGATTCAATTCCGTGGTTTGTAAGATACGCCGCGGCGCCTACGTTTAAGAGCCCGATCAGGAAGGAGCAACGCAACAAGGACGTACGAAATAGGCAGCAAACCCATGACTTTCAAGGCACCCGCAATTGGAAAGAGCACACCATAAAATCAGCTGTAGAAGGGAAGGAACGTGTAAACGTCGACAAGACATAAAAGAAATATAAAAGAAAGACGCCGGACATCAAACAGCAACACCAGTGTCTTGCAACTCTCGCAGAGTCGGAGACCAACTCCATGACGAACCATCCTACATTCTTCGACCCACAATGCAATAACACGACCACAATGGTGACGGCTGCGCCTCCCCGTCGACGCCTGCGGGACGTTGTCCCTGGCATTGACCTTGGCGTGTGGCCGACGGGCGCCAAGAACAGCCTGACGGACGTGCCCGGCGTGCTCGTGCACACGCAGGAGATTGTGGACGCGGCGCGCGGCGTGCACACGGGCGTCACGACGATCCTGCCGCGGCACAACTGGTACGAGAGCGGGTGCTACGCGGGGGTTTTCCGGTTCAACGGCGCCGGCGAGCTGACGGGCAGCCACTTCGTCGAGGAGCTGGGCAAGGTGGCGTCGCCGATTGTGGTGACCAACACGACGGCGGTGGGCGCGGCGTGGCAGGGGGTCGTGGAGTACATGGCGGCGCACCACGGCGACGCCGACGTGGGCATTGGGTACTTTGCCATGCCCGTGGTGGCGGAGACGTTTGACGGCTTCCTCAACAACTCGGTCGCGTTTGCGGTGCAGCCGTCGCACGTCCGCCACGGCATCGCGGCGGCGACGAGCGCGGCCGTGCCCGAGGGCAACCGCGGCGGCGGCACCGGCATGGTGAGTCTGGGCCACAAGGGCGGCACGGGGTCGAGCAGCCGCGTGGTGGAGGGCGTCGCCAAGGACACGCGCTACACGGTGGCCGCGCTCGTGCAGGCCAACTTTGGCAGCCTGCGCAACCTGCGCATCGTCGGCGTGCCGTACGGCAAGATCGTGGCGGCCGAGCGGGCCGCGGCTACGCCGACACCGCCGCCGCTGGAAGCCGACAGGGCCAAGGCGGCGCGCGACGGCAGCATCATTGTCGTGCTGGCGACGGACGCGCCGCTGCACCCGCGGCAGTGCGAGCGGCTGGCGAAGCGCGCCACGGTCGGTCTGGCGCGCGTGGGCGGCTACGGCCAGAACCCGTCGGGCGACATCTTTTTGGCCTTTTCGACGGCCAACCACGTGCCCGTGCAAAAGTTCAACAAGGTGCCACCCACGGACCCCTTCAAGCCGCTGGTGCACAGCGTCGATGTCGTGGCCGACGAGTCCATCAATGGCCTGCTGGAGGCGGCGGCGGACGCAACGGAGGAGGCCATCTACAATGCGCTGTGTATGGCGGAGACGCTGACGGGATTCAAGGGCCATACGGTGGAGGCGCTGGATCTGGACAAGGTCAAGGCGACGCTGGACAAATATATGGTGAAATGAGAAGGACCAAGTGCACAGTGCATTGTATGAACATTCAATTTGAAGAAGTCTTTTCCTGCTTCCATTTTTACTTTGGTCACGGACTCGGCTCGATCATAGCTTCGGCTCAATCTTGGCTTCTAGTTGCAGCACAAGCGGCATCTTCACACCCCCGACGCGCACCTTGGTCAGGTCTGGCTCATATCCTTCCTCGACGTCCGGCCACGGGCCCATGGGCGTGATGCCACGCGGGTTGATGTCCTTGTGCGACTTGGTGTAGTTCTCCTTGATGTGCCGGAAGTCGGTCGTCTCGCGGAAGCCGGCGACGTGCCCATACAGGTAGGCCAGCCAGTTGTTGATCTGCGGGTAGTCGTGGCGGATGGTGCCGAGGTTGCACTTGAAGTGCTGGACGTACACCGTGTCGAAGCGGACCACCGTCGCATACGCGCGCACGTCGAGCTCGGTCAGCTGGTCGCCCAGCACAAAGGGCCCGCCGCCGGCCGCAATCATCTTTTCCAGCCGGTTCAGCGCCGCAAACACAGCGGGCACGGCCGCATCGTACGCCTCCTGCGTCGTTGCAAAGCCGGTCCGGTACACGCCGGCGTTGAGGTCGCGCTGCATCCATACCGACTCGGCATCGATGCGTGCCCGCAGAGCCTCCGGGTACAGCGTGATGGCTGCCTTGTCGGCCGGCAGCAAGTCGTTAAAGGCCGTCTGCAGGTCCCGCATCAGCTCCGGCGACTCGTTGTTCACAATCGTGCCGGCCGTCTTGTCCCACAGCACGGGCACCGAGTAGCGGCCCGGGTACGCCGCGTCGGCCTTGAAATAAATCTCGTGCAGGTAGCGGGCGCCAAACAGCGGGTCGGGCGTGGCACCCTCGTACTCTTCGGCCGTGGCCGGAAACGCCCAGCCCGGCCAGCCGGACTCGTCGCCTTTGGGGTAGGGCTTCACGACGGTAACGGGCAAAATATCCTGGAGGCCCTTGATGTAGCGGACGAGGTTGGCGCGGTGAGCAAAGGGGCAAAACAGGCCAATGTACAGGCGGTAGCGGTCGGCTTCCGGTGGATGCGGGCCATCGGCCGAGACGGTGCCGTGCCAGGACTGGATGGCGCCGGCGAGGTGCTGGGCGACAGTGGTCGGCGTGGGCCGGACGGGGGCAGCGGGTGTTGAGGAGGCCATGGTCGAATGCGACGGTGTTGCTGAGTTGGTTGTATTGGCTGTGCTAGCAAAGAAAATGAACGGCACGGCAGCGGCGGCAGAAAAGAGCACAAACGCGAAGCCGATGTTTGGTGACGTCAGGTGCCGAGGAAGCGGGGAGAGAAAAACGGCAGAGGCGACGAGGAGGGAGATTGTGGCCGTTATATACAAAGTTGTCCATGAACATGGAAAGTTAGAGTTTGAGACAATTGAAGTATCCGCGGGGACGAATGTTTGACGAGGGCAATGTTCTCGATGAGAGCTGTTGAGCTTGCTTTGTCAGCGACAACAATGTCCGTTGGTCGGATATACGATTTCGGATGAGTAGCGGCACAGACATCCGAGGACGAACAACAAGGAGAAAACAGTATGCCACCATGCTTTGATTTAGGTCGTTTATTAGCTTGTTGTTCAATGATGCTCTATTCTGCCTTGCCATTTAAAAAACAACCAATACATTAACAAATTCCTAGTGGTATCATATTGTTCCAAAATCTATCCAATGTGGTATTAGAAAAGATATGCATGTGTTTCGACATATCAAAAGCAAAAATAAACCAAAATAAGGCAACGTAAAAGTAAGAAGTCACGACAAAACCAAAACCAAAACCAAAACCAACTTATATATAAAATAGAAAACAAAAAACATAAAAACACATTGGAAATGTAAATAAATCAAAAGGTATTAGATGGTACGATAAAGATTTTTTTGACCTATGTGTTATCAAAGGCCACAGTGAGAGCTCACGCGTTCGTGTGGTTTCCGTTGGGGTGCTGTGGCACCTCCTGTTGCGGTGCCATGGCCGAGAGCTGGTGCTCACCGGGCTGGTCCGGCAGACTGGCCTCTGCGAGGACGTTCTCCTCGTCCTTGGTCGTCACACCAGGGCGCGTCTGGTTGGCAAAATGGTCGTCGTCGCCGCGCGTGCGCTTCTCGCGAACAATCGGCTTGCGGAACAGCAGGCTCCAGAGGTAGGGCGTGTTGGTAATCTCATGCGAGTCGTCCTTGAGAATCCAGACGTTGCCTAGAAGCGTCGTCAGGCCCACGCACACCCACATGAAGGGAATAATGGCGATGAACGCCCACATGATGGCATTGCGGATGGTGGCGACGTCGGTTGATGCGCCGCCCTTATTGTTGAAGACGGTCGACATGAGCGTCAGCGTGACGGTGCCGCCAAAGGGCATGGCAAAGGACACGATGCAGGTGATGGCGGCAGTCGCCTTGGGGAAGAAGGCCAGGCCGTGCAGCGAGCCGGGATTCATGCGAAGGCCGACGCCGTGGCCAGACAGGGCCATCATGCCGTAGACAAGGCTGCTTTTCTGAGCGTGCACGGCATAGGCCAGCACGGTGATGCCGACAGCCGACGTGATAGCGCCCAGCAACAGAGGGTAGATGGTCTGGCGGGGCCAGACGTTGGAAGCGAACATGGCAGAGTACGCACCGACACCCAGGCCAGGCAAAAAGTACAAAAGGGAAAGGCCTGCCTTGCTCGAGCTGTTGCCTTCGACGAGAGCAAAGTACAGGTCCAAAAAGTACAGGTTGGCGAACATGGCGGAGCCGAGACTAAAGTTGATCCAGAAGAGCAGTCCAATGTCGCGCTTGCTAAGGAGCTCCCACGGGATCATGGGGCGCTGCGTGGGGAAGACGCGGGCGACGGCAAGGCCGGGACTCATGAGGTATTCGTAAACAATCCAAGCGACGGTCAAGACAAAACCAACCACAAGAGGAGCGAGGACGTGGGCGGTGTTCCAGCCAAAGCTGCTGCCGCCCCAGGTGAGAGCAAGAATGATGAGCCCCAGACCCCAGAGGAACAGGAACTGGCCGCCAAAGTCGAGGGTGCTGATGCGGGCCAAGAAGCGGCCATGGTGGGTCGAGACGTCGTGGCGCTGCAGCTCGGGCAGCGGCTGAGGGCCGAGAAGATCGTGGCGGAGGAGGACGATGACCATGATGATGGCCACGACGGCCACGGGCAGGTTGATGGCAAAGCACCAGCGCCAGTTTGCTCTGAGTGCGTGTTAGTACAGTTGCCACATGTGCAAGTCATGCAAGATTGTCTAGATGGACATCCAGACGAGGCAAGACCAGCAGAACGTACTCGGTGAGGTAGCCGCCGATGACGGGCCCGACACTAAAGCTAAAGGCCGAGATGAGCGCAAAGAGTGTCCACTGCAGGGCATACTCCTTGAGCGAGACGCGGTCGGCCAGAATCGTGCGCACGCAAATGTTGATGCCGCTGGCACCGATGCCCTGCAGGGCGCGGCCGAGCAGCAGCACGCCAAAGGCATTGGTCGGCGCACCGGTGCAGATGGCTGAGCCGATGAGCATGATGACGAGCGTGGCGTGCATGGTGGCGTGGCGACCAAAGATGTCGGCCGTTTGGCTCCAAAAGGGCAAAAAGGCGGCAGACGTCAGGTTGAACGCGGAGATGATCCAGTTGAGTTGTGCAATTTGGTCTGAGCGGTATGGTCAGTGGAGGCAAAGAGAGCACGGAGATGCGGCGTAGATAAAGTCCTGGACGTACTAAAATCAGAGGCAATAAAGGGCAGTGCCGAGGCGACAATGGTCGTGTCGAGACCCTGCAGTGTGAATGGCATCATGAGGCCGAAGATCACCTTGAGGCGGTAGATGCGCCGGCGCTTCTTGGCGGCCTTCTCCTCGGGCGTTGGCACGGCCTTCTTGGTCTTGGACCTCGTCGTCTTCTCCGTGGCGGCCGTGGGCTTCGTGCCCGGTTGCAGGGGCTCGATGGACTCGCCACGGCCGGGCTCGTCGCCGGCCACGACACCATCGCGGCTCACGGGTACGCCATTGATGTTGCTGGCCAGTCCGGAGGCAGCAGCTGCTGGTCTCTGGTGCTCCTCCTCCTCTGCCTCTTGCAGTTCGCGCTTCTCCTGGCGCTTTTTCTTGTAGTACTTGTAAGCAAAGTACATGGTGAGGACGATGGATGTGGGTTAGTAGTGGCGGTGGCAGTGATGGCAGTGATGCCAGTGGTGATGGTGTGAATCGATTGAAGGGATGCAGTTGAGATGTTGCGTTGGTGATATCAAGAGATGGGCGATGCTGGTTGTCTCCCCCAGGGGTGCGAGAGTATTTATGTTTTATATTTTGAAATGTAGACGGTGAATGATGGTAAAGGGGCAAGATATCAATAAAGGGCCCAAGGCAACGAAATGAACGATGACGAACAACAAAACTGTGATGTGGAGGACGAACCAAGTGGACGGGGTTGACCGAGGAAGCAAAACACAGCGCGATGCCCAAAAGGGGTATTAGAATGCGAGAAGCGTAGGGAGAGGGTAGGCGCAGCTCAACATGCGTATCGTTCTTTCCCTACCAACTCAGCTGCCTGGGGGGGAGGAAGGTGCGATCAACCGCGATGCCCAATGCAGAACGACCCACAAGAAAAAAGCTTAAATCTCCCTAGCATTTTGGCAGGTGCGAATCAAAGAAGTGTCATAAGAAATGAAGGGCAAGGGCAAGGGAAAGGGTTTGTTTGGAGAGGGTGTGATCCATGCGCCCAGGTACCAGTGTACAATTGTACCTCCACTCTACCTTGCAGACAGCCTTGTGGCTGTGAACCAAGCGAGCGCTATTTTGTGTTTGGACTGAGCTAAAGCAGATTGGACAAAAACTGGCCAAAGTGCCGATACCCATGACAAAGAAGGAGAGATGGCCTTTCAGCTTCAGCAGCAGCAAGAAGGCCGTTGGCGCTAACGTGTTGTGCCGTTGGAAGTAAGCCGACTAACACGGAAGGCGCAATGCATGACACGGCAGGCACGACGAGACAGTCACTGGTGAGCGGGAAGGAGCAGATGAGAACTCAACGCGCAGCCACAAACAGGCTGTCATTTCAGAGACATGGGACTGCTCAGAACGAAATACGAAGTACGACGGCGTGGCATGTATTCAGTACCAGAGTACCTTTCTTTTGTAACTGACTTGCGATGCTGTATGAAGGGGCTGGCTGATGCGGGAAAGAACGTGCAATCACAGAGCACTGCGAAATACGACATTAAGGGCTGAAGAGCAAGAGCGATCCGGGGCCCAAGCCATGCCACCCCAACACGGGAAGTGGAGCGCTGTCATCCAAAGGTTTTTTTCTGCGTCGTTGGAAAACCCGAGGAAGGAAGAAAGGACCACAGAACCAACACTCGCGCCATGGTCCCTAATTGGGTTTGGCGGGAAAGAGCGACGGGACGTTCTGTGGGGCCTTGGGCAAATGGTGTTGGAAGCGACGAGGCAACTGAAGGCCGGCATTGGGTCTAGTCCGTTTTGGGCTTTACAATGCGAGTTTCGAAATCCACTTCCACAGATCATCGTGAGACGACGGCAACCAGCCCCAGGCTACACTTTTGTCCTTGCACTTTGCATTTCGAATTCCCTTCGCTTTCGTCGCCAGGCTATGCACGTGCCGTAATCACGACAAATCTGTGACGAGGCCCGTCGGTTCTTGTCGCCTGCTTGGCGCTGCTACGTCTTCCCGAAAAGGAAGAACAACGCGAACTCGTGTAGAATCTGTCGCGGATGTGGATGATTACGCCGACGAAGTCAACAGTGGACGTCCGCATGGCATGGTATGTAGTGTCTTTTGATCCTCTAGAAGGTACCGAGGCACGACGCGACAAGAAACCCTCGTCCTGACGGATGTTGTCCCGTCTGGAATGGCCTTACTATTCTCGACAATATGTGGACCAACATAGCCGTACATAAGTGGCACTTCCCGACTGCAATAGCATAGTGCCAGGCAACAGCTTTTATGTTCATCTTCGGCACTAAACGCCCCCGGAGAATGATGGCGACGACGTCAACAGTCCCACGTCACTACGAAAGACGGGCCAAGCATACTGGTCGTATTTATTCGAAAAAAAAGGCCGAGCTACAACGTCCTAAACCAACCATCCTTTGACGTTTCTCACTCGTTCTCCGCGGGTTTTCCGCCAAATACCACATTTCGATCCCTGGATTATGAAATCATTCGCTCCGCCATCAATCACTCCAACTCATCCTCACTTCTTTGACAGGATAAAGATCTCGCCCTCGGCCGAGTTGTCGCTGCCGACAAACAGCCCGCGGCCCGCCGGGTCCCAGGACGCCGCCGTCAGGCGGATGCAGTTGCTCGTGGTCAGGCCGTTGGCCGTGCACGAGCCCGGGTTCGAGGCGGCCCAGATGTCGTTGTAGCCCTTCATGCTGTCGGCGGGCGCGACGGGGTCGTAGTTGCCGTTGCCGAGCTTGGTGAAGGGAATCTGGACGACCTTGAAGCCCGTGGCCGGCTGGCGGTCCCAGGAGCCGTGGAAGGTGACGTACATGTTCTTGGCGTCGTCGTCAAACGTGTTCATGATGGGCGCGCTGTGGGCCTGGAAGGTGAGGCGCGGGCCCTGGGCCTTGCCGTTGCAGGTCTCGTCCGAGTAGCTGCTGTTGGGCGCGAGCACAAAGTGGCTGCCGGTCTTGAGGACCTTGTTGTCCGAGAACGCCGACGGGTCCCAGACGGCGAAGCACTGCGGGTAGCCGTACCAGGCGTCACGGACCTTGAGAGGATCGCCGACTGGAGGTGTTAGTACGACCGGTGGCCCCCCACATTTTATTTTCGCTCAAGAGGATGACTCACGGTAGTTGAGCTTCTCGGCCGGGTTGTCCTTGTGGATGTCCGTGCGGCGGCCGCTCACCGTGCGGGTGAAGTCCTACGACGCAGTATCAGCAGGCGCTCACGCAAATAGACGCGTCGCTCACGACTCGTTTCTGACGTTTCTCACGACCCCCCCACGCTTTCACTTCACTTACATCGCCGCTGTTCTCGACACCCCAGATGTGGCCGTTGGGGTCCGCCGTGAAGCCAATCTCGTTGCGCAGACCGTACCCCAGCACCTCGCCGTCCTTCTTGTAGTTGTAGCCGGCCGCCGGCGCCTTGCTCATGTCAAAGATCTTGACAATCGCGCGGCCCGTCGCCTTGTCTTGCGCGGCCATGTCAAAGTTGGCGTTGCTGCCCACCTGCAGCAGCACCAGGTTCGGCTGCGACGCCACCACCAGCAGGTTGCGCGTCGAGTGGATGCCCTGGTCCATGCCGCCAATCGCCGTCTTCTGGTCCGACACCTTCATCGTCACCGGGTCGTACGTCCACGAGAACGCCGCGCGCTCCGAGCTGGCGTACAGCGTCTTGCCGTCGGGCGTCAGCGCCAGGCCCTGGTTGAGGGCGATGTTGCTGATGAGCATCGTGGTGCTGTTGACGCAGCCGTCGGTGCCAAACGTGTGCACCGAGATGCCCTTGCCGGCCTGCGACACGAGCATGTGGCCGAGCGGGTCCCAGAGGACGACGCGCACCTGCCGGAGCCCGCCCAGGATCTTGGTGACCTTCCAGCCGTCGGCCACGGTCATGGCCGGGAAATGGGGCGCCGTGACGCCGCTGCAGGACGCCGGCAGCGGCAGCTTCGGGATGTCGGCGCTGGCCAGCCCAGCAAGGGCCGCCACGAGCAGTGTGAGACGCATGGCGGTGGCGATCCGTGGTGTGTCTCCGGAGTAGATATCAAACGCAACCGCCGATGACAATCAGAATACGAGTGGCAGAAAGGACTGGAAGGAATGAAAAAACTAGAGAAAAAACAGACAGAAAGACAGAGAGAGAGGATAGGAAGACACAATCAGCAGCACTGCAGGCCACCTTCTTTCTTGCAATCACTCGACTCGCAAGCGAGCCTGTCCACTCGTCCCATCCCCTCGTCGGGTTCATATACGCGTCTTGCCCCTACACCAGACATCAATATAAACATGGACGCCGCCCAGCCAAAAAGAGGGGACGCCTCGTCCCTATAGATTAATCAACTCTGCCCAGTCGTGACGATGACGGACGACATAAAGTACAGGCGCGGAAGCCATGCCCCGTCATTCGTGAGGAGAAGAATCGAGTGTGGCAACTTGTCAATTCGTCTTTCTATGCGAAAATGTTCTTGGTGGTCTTGTTTTACAAATAGCATGCTTCATTTGACGTGTGTGCGTAGAAAAGTCCACGATCCAAAAGCATGCTGAAGATGGACATAGCAGCATATCTACAGTACCGATAGCATGGTGGTCGTGGGCCAGCGGAAGAAAAAGAAGGTTGAGCGAGTGGAGTCTCCAAAGTCATGCCTGCCTTCGTCTCGACTTGTCATCCGGGTCAATAATCGTCTTCGAACTAGTCCTGGCCCATGTATATATAGAAATATATATACTATACATGAATATACGTATAGACCTGTCTTGCCATGCTTAGGACGGAAGTCTATATCTTATATTGTGGACCACCTCGCGTCGGCAAATGAACATCGACCCCAGTGGACTTGGCGCGGAAGAAGGATAAACGGGACTCTTGGTCGACGCATCTCCTAAAATAGGCTTTTCGTCTTTCACCCAGTGCCAAGGGCCTCTCCTGTCTTGGACATAGTTTTGCAAGATACAAATATCGCATACAGACCGCATAACAATGGACGTCGGCATCGGCTCGGAGAAAAAGGACGGCATGCCAAAAACGGGTGCGATGATTTGTGGAGAGTGACTGGGGCTGGCCACATTTCTAGCCGGTGGTCGAGAAGATTCGAAATTGTGGAGGAAGCAGAGAGAAGAGTAAGCCAATGTCAATAGAGAAAATGGAGACGTAGAAAGAAACCTCTGGAAGAAGTGAAGGGAACAAGGCGTGGAATACGTAAGAATACGAAGACGAACAAGTCAAAGAAGGGTTCGGTGTCTTGATATGTCTTAACTGATTTTTTGTAGGATGTTGTCTACCTTTTTAGGGCTCTTGGCGATGGACGGCTACGACGCAACGAATGTTTTGCCGAGCGACCTTACGGAAAAGGGATGCCCGTGTCCGGGCATTGGTTTTATTTGAGAGATCACGAGAAAATAATATTTTAGTGCGGTTTTCATTTGAAGTTCTGGGAGACTTGGGGGCATATTTCGAATCGTTTTGTTGGTATGCTTTGTTTTGGGAAATATAAATGGAAAATATTACGAAGCATACATACACGGACAAAAAATACAAAAACGAAAGAGTGAAGGGGAAACAAGTGTACAACATCTAGAATTTATCTTGATTGTACTTATTGAACAACATTATACATGTGCTCAATAAAGGTATCGAACAGCAAGTAAAAAGGAAGGCACATGCATACTTCATTTTTCCCCCAATTGAAAAACAGCCTCCGTGAGGCGAATGTCTCCGGATGAATGAGACGGGTGGTGGCCGGCAATTGCATTGTCTGGCATTGTCCCCGACCACATATTAACCCAAAAGGTATGAAGGAGGGCAACGCCACTCGTCCGGATCATTGCCAAGCCACAATGCATTGTTCCGGGTACGAGAAAGTGAGAAAATGTAAAGGCCCAAAACATAAAGGGACTCTGATTTCCAGATCGGGCATACAACCTCCCCTTTTCTCGTTTGCACCTTGTTCGGATCACGGAACAGCTGGTGCCAGAATTGCCTTGGTGTGATGATGCAAAGAGATGGGAGCGAATGTACGGAGCATGCAAAATGACGTTTGTGGACAAACAGGATACAGGAAAACGCCGTTTCAATTGTCGACACACCCAATGGATCGAAGTGGTTTCTGCCCAACGAGACGATATGATAACAGGACACAGAGAATCGAAAAAAGAACAACATGCAGTGAAACATGGACATGAAAACAAATAAAAACGAAAAATATACATTATGGCCACACATCATGGCCATACGCACCGTCCCAGATAGGCACGGTCCGCTACCCAAACCAACAGACGTTCATTGACGGCTTGCACCCCTTCGCTTTTGTACTCTGTCGTGTCGACAGTGTTTACCGGCCCCCGGCGATGGCAAAGGCCTGCTTGACCTCGGCCCGCGGCCACTCGTACAGCACGTCGCCGCCGTAGACGTTGGTCGTGATGCTGCCGATGCGGTTCTCGACGTTTGTGTAGAACGCTTCGCATTCGCGCACAACGTAGTTGACGAGGCTGTTGTCGTTGTTGTTATTGCTGTTGCTGTAGCTGCTGCTGGTGGGCAGCGACGTGGTGGAGGCCGAGGCCATCGTCGCCGCCAGGGCCGACGCCTGCTCGTCGTCGGCGCTGCTAAAGTGCTTCTCGACACGCTTGCGGAGCGTCTCGATGCCCTTGCGGACCTCCTTGGCGTCGTAGCTCCCCAGCACCTTGTTGAACATGGCCTTGGAGTTGCTGGGCTGCGCGGCCACGGCGGTCGGCGGGCGGCCCGCGGCCAGCTGCGCCTCGACGTTCTCCAGGTGCTCCAGCAGGCGGCCGAGCGGGCGGCGCATGACGGCGTTGAGGTAGAGGCCCATGTGCTCGGTCAGCTCGGCGGCGGCGCGCTCCTTCCACTTGTCCAGGACGGGCAGGCCGCGCGGGTTGTCGACGTCCTCGAGGTAGTGGTTCATGTTTTCAATCAGCAGGATGTGGAAGTTGAGGGCTTCCTTGTCCTCCGGGTCGGCCGAGCCGGCGGCCGCGACCGTCATGGTGGGGTTCTCGCGCGCAATGACCTTGAGCGAGTCAAACATGGACTGCAGGATCCGGTCGTACTCGCTGTCGACGGTGCGGCGCACGCCCAGGTGCGGGTCGACGTCGGCCAGCATGTTCTCGACGGCCGCACTGAAAAAGGGGAAGATGCGCATGAAGCCAATGATGCCCTTGCGCTTCTTGATTTTGACTTTGGTTTCCTCGATGGCGCGGATCTGCTCGTCGACAAACTTGCGGAACCGGCCCTCGAGCGTGCTGTGGAGCTTCTGCAGCGTGTTGTTCAAAAACTCCTGGTTGGACTGCGCCGTCTCGGCCATCTTGCGCTCCAGCGTGGCCATGACGCCGATGCCCTGCAGCGCCTCGGTCGCCAGCACCCAGTCAATCAGGTTCTGCAGGTCCTGCTCGAGGAACGAGAACACCGCCTCCATGGCGCGCGTCACCCGGCGTGCCGTCTCCCGGTGCGGCTCCATGGGCCGGTACCGTCGCAGGTCGCCGCCGCGGCGCTCGGCCGGCCGCGACGCGGCCACCACGTCGGCAAAGTCGGCCTGCTGCAGCGTTGTGGCGTGGAACATGTCGATGATAAAGTTCTGCTCCATCTGCACGAGCGGCAGCAGCTCGTCGAGCACGCTGGCAAAGACTTCGTACGGGTGGTTGCGGCTGTCGCCGGTGGTCTTTTCCAGATGGTTGCGGTTGCCGCCGCTGCTACCGCTGCTGTTGCTGCCGCCGCCGCCGCTGCTGTTATCGCCCAGCGGCGAGCGCAGCGATCGGGCCAGGGTCTGGCTGCGCTTGACGGTCAGCTTGCGGGCCGCCGTGGCGATCCCCTCGTCCTTCTTTTCCTGGAGGGACGTAAACAGGAGGTCGCTGTCGTCGCTCGAGGCTTTGCGGGCGTTCTTCTTCCAGACCATGAGCAGGTCGCGGAACTCGGACTTGTAGACCGGGTGGCTCTTGTCCTCGTAGATCTGGATGATGCGGTTCCAGTTGGGCGGGTCCGCGTCGCGCGCATACAGGATCAGGGGGCTGTACTTCCAGAGCAGGTCGCGGCCGACGTCGTGGTTGCGCGGATCGACCTTCTTGGCCAGCGCGCCCTCCATGGCCTTGCGGGTCACCGCAACGGCCTGGTCGAACTCGGTGGCCATGAAGATGACGAGGCGGCGCAGGAACGTGTCGCTCTCGGCCGAGTACATTTCCTTCTTCTCGCGGACGACGCGCATCTGGCCGAAATCGGCGTTGAGCGCGCCAGGTCCGTCGCCCGCTGTGTCCTCGAGCTTGGCCAGGGCAGTGTCCGCACCACCACCTCCGCCGTGGGCGCCGTGGACGCCGTTGCCCGTGCCGTCGCTGCCCATGTTGGGATTGATCTTGGACATGGCCTTGTAGAGCGTGACGAGGGCGGTCTCAATCTCCTCGATGCCGCTGGGCGTCTCGAGCGGCGCAACGCGCAGGGCCTCGAGGTCCTGGGCGGTAATGGCGCAGGTGTCGAGCAGCGACTCGAGCTCCTTGCGCAGCAGCTTCTGGTTGGCCGCCTGGACTTGCAGGCCCTGGCCCTGGGCCTCGATGTAGGCAATGTCGTCCGACAGCGTCGACAGCTCGACGCTGTAGAGCGTCAGCAGGTTGTCGAGCTCCTCGCACTCGTCCATGGCGTCGTCGATGCCTTTTTTGATGGCCTCGACGCGTTCGTCCTCCGCCTGGAAGCGCGACAGCCAGCCGCCGGCCTGGGCCCGGTTGAGTTCGCGGTCCAAGTCGATCTTGAGGTCGTCCATGTTGACGGTGCGCATGTGGTCGCCGGGCACCCAGCCAAAGTAGTCGAGCCACTTGGCGAATTCGGCGCCGCGCTTGTCCATGATAGACGGGTCCACACCGAGCGTCGCGAGGTACTTGGCGTCGTTGCCAGCAATGATGGACTTGCGCGGTCCAAGGTCGGCGACAGCGGCAGGCTTTGCGGCAGGCGCCACCTCCTTGACGGCCGCCTGCATGCTTGACGGCCGGCTGGAGTTGGGCACGGTAATCTTGACTTCGGGAATCGACCGTACGGAGGACCGCTGGGGTGTTTTGGGCGGAACGTCGGGGGCGGTGGTTGCCTCTGGCGCGGGATCCTTTGGCTTCTCCGCCGAGACGGGCCGGGGTGGCGCGGGCACGACGCCTGTGATACCGTCGGGACCGTCCGGGGTCTTGGCTTGGGCCTGGCGCAGGCGGTCGCCGGCACCGCCCGGACGCGGCTTGAACGCGTTGGCGGCGGTGGCCGCCTTCCAGAAGGCGTTGGCAATGTCGCCCTTGGACTTTTTCTTGATCATGGGCCCCAGGCCGGGACGGTTGTCTTCGGGTTCGGCGGGAGCCGGTGGCGGCGTGGGTGCAGACTCGGCTGGTGGTGGTGCCGACGAGGCGGGTACGGAAGACGCTGCTGTCGCGGCACCGACAGCAACGGCGGCGGTTGGCAAGCCGGACGACTGCGGCGGCTGAGGGAGGGCTTGGGTCGGAGGAGGAGAGGCGGCCGAGGCCGCGTAGGGTGAGCCGTTCGCATTCATGGGATTGGGGTTGCGTAGGGGTGGTGGGGCCATCTCGGACGTGCGGCCGGGCGACGAGCCGCCGTCTTGGAAGGGCGAGGAGCGATTGGAGCTGCGCGGCGGAGGCACGACGTTGCCGCCTGGCCCACCAGGCCCACCAGGGCCACCAGGGCCACCAGGGCTGATGGGGCGGCCATCACGCGACCGCGTCGAGCTCATAAGCGGTGCGGGCACGAGGCCGTCGTCGGCCAGACCTTGTGGGCGCGAGGGGTCCATGGGCGGGCGTTTCCGTTCGGGTGGCGGCTTGGTTCCGGTTCCGTCGGGTGTTATTGCGGGGCTGTCGGCCAAAGTCGATGGGGCACCGTTCGCACTGATGGGACCGTTGCGGGAGCGCGGTGGCAGGCTGTTGCTGCCGTCGTCGCTGCGGGCGGTCAGCGAAGCGGCCACAGACTCCTGGCTCTTGTTGCTGCCGGCAAGGCGTCGCAGGGCGGCCTGGTTGGTGGACCGGCTCGAATCAATGCTGGTGGCAGGAGAGGCCGCGCCGCCGTTGACGAGCATCGCGTTGCGGTTGCGGAAGTCAGCAGAGCCCATCGATCCCATGGATCCCTTGGAACCCATCGATCCATAGGCTCCACCCGACGACGAAGGCCCGCCGGCGGACATGGGTTCGCGAGCGGACAGCGGCGGCGGTGGTGTTGGCTGAGGCAGTGGCTGTGGTGGTTGCTGCTGCTGCTGCTGCTGCTGTTGGTTCTGGAGCTGGGCTGGCGGCCTTGTTGCGGATGTGGGGGTGGTCGTCGCCGAGGCGGCGGTCGTCGGCAGCGGGCGGCGCTGAGCGCCGCCCTGGACCTGCTCCAGCTCATAAGGGTCGAAGCCGGTCAGGAGCGGGACCTTGCCGCCGGAGTACTTGCCGTAGATCTTGAGGAGGCTCGCGATGAAAAAGCGCTTCTCCTTGTCGGTCTGGGCCTGCCAGTAGTAGGGCTTGCCGAGAGTGATGAGGAAGCCGACGTTGCCGGCCCAGGCGCGAAAGTCGGCGCTGACGTTGGCAGCGGTGTAGGACTCGATGGCCGACAGGTCGTTGAGGTCCCAGGTCTTGCCAATGGAAAAGGTGCCATTGGGGTTCTCCTTGGACTTGTGCACACGGACGCGGCCCGACTTGCGGACGGCGACGATGATGACGCGGTTTTTCTCCGAGTTGGGGGTTCGACTTTGGGGCGGTGGGGGGGTGGTCGGATGCGAGGAGTACTCCTGGATCCTGATGTGCGTGATGTAGGTCTCGATGACGGAGCCGTCGTCGTCTTTCTTGTTGAAGCAGCTCTCGACGATGCGGCGCTTCTCGTCCTCGAACCGCTCGGCCCGGCCGATGTCGCGGCCGCCCGGCATTGCCATGGTGGCGGAGGCGTGGGGTCGGTAGTGTACGTGTGTCGTGGGTGGTAGATGAGGAGGGCGAGAGGCGAGAGACGAGAGGCGAGAGGCGAGAGCGTTGGAGACTCGCCAGCGGTCCCCTTCCTATCCGGATCAGATCGACGAGGCGGGCGGGCGGACGGGCTGCAGCATCTTTGTGCGCAGTCGGCGGGGCACAGTATCGCGACGCAGAGCCGTGAGGGTCGAGGATCGTGTCAATTGCTCGTGGTGATGCTGGGCAGCGAATGTCGTGATGATTCTCGCAATGTCTGTCGAGACGGTCGAGTCGTCGCGGGGGCGCACGGGCGTCAGGGGAACCGGGCCGCGCTGCAGGTCAATCGCCCACCGGTGAGCACGACGCGAGGCGACAAACAGGAGCGACAATGCAGAAGGGCGAAAGGCGATGCAGTCGGTGCGTGCACAAGTGGTGGCTGTCAGCGTGGAGGTAGATGACGACGTGTGGCAGCGATGGTGGAGGAGGCGGAGGACGAGGTGGTGTTTGGCAGGCGTGGATGGCTGAAAATGGATGGGGCGCCGATGAGGAAAGAGCGGTTTGGCCAAGTTGCGGCAGGTGTGTGGCACGCTTCGCTCGTTTGGCGGGCAAACAGGCAGGAGCTATCCAACTTTCCACGAGGACAGAAGGCAAGAGGTCAAACGGGGTTTAGCGTGGTTTGAGCATGGAAGGGCAGGTACAGTTGGCATAGTGGCATTTTGGTGGGGCTCGAGGTACCGATGTTTTAAGAAGGAAGCGTCACTCATTTCAGACATCACAGTTACCGTCTAAAGGAACCACCAACGTTCTGAATACAGAAATTTCGCGTCCAACAGCTGTAATGATTTATGTTAAAATAAAGAAAGTTTTGTCTTTTTGTAAACAGCTCTCCTGTGTCGAAAGAATGCTGTTCTGGCAGCCACCTTGCTTGGCTGTGACTTTCCCAGCCTTGCTCCTTCCATTCCGGCTTCCTTAATGCGCCCCTATTATCGCCCCGGCAGTGCTCTTTCCGGTCCCGGTATTCCTGCTGTAAAACGTAAGTGGCTCGACCCGGGGTTGGCACCTGCCTCGTCCACAGTGTAAAAATGAAATGTATGAAATGACGCAGAAAGTGACAACGTTTGTCTATTAATTGTTATATAAAACAAGGCGGCTGGTGTAACGGGCGACATGAATAAGAACCATGGTGGCTCTTCTAATTATTTGCGTTTTTCATTGTAAGTACGGCCGTCCGAATATACATCAGAAAACACCTCGTCGACATCATCAAGATACGTTATTTTATCGAAATCGTATTGTCATGTAAACTTGTAAATATCATATAAAACCTCGGAAATCAATGTAAAACAACATTAATTACAGTAAAAGAAACCCTTGCGCCCTTGTGACTTTCAAAACAGCCCAAAAAAATCAAAAAAATCCCTGCCGATATAAAGAAACAAACAAAATGATAGCCCAAAAGAACGCACCAATACTCCGTACGTTGCCGACTTATATTCGCCCACGCTTGCCACCTATGTGTATGTACACGACACCGTCTTGCCGTACGACGTGGAGCAGTTGGTCATCACGTTGCCGTTCTGCTGCATGTTGATTATGGTCGAGCCCGTCACGCCCAGCTGCGTGCCGGACGTCTGCGTCACGCTGCAGTTGGTAAAGGTCACGGTCCCGAAGTTGGCCATGGGCTTGAGGCTGTTGCCCGTCATAAAGTCCTCGACAATCCACTCGGCATTCGCCTGGCACAGCGGCGACGACTCGCCGGAGAAGGTGTGGGCGACCGACTGGCCGGTCGTCAGGTTCTCGACGAGGACGCGGCCGGACGTGGTGCTGCTGCTGGCGGCCGTCAGCCGGACGATGTCCCCGGCGCGAATGGCGAAGTTGACAAAATTGTAGGAGTAGTCCGGGTACCACTCGTACCAGCCGTCGTAGGACACGCGGGTGCCCTGGATGCTAAAGTCGAGGCCGACCTGCAGGATGGTGTCTTGGCAGGACGAGCCGTCGATGCCGACCCAGGCCGAGGCGGCGTACTCGGTGTTGGCGTCGGCGTCCTTGGGCAGGCGCGGCGTCGGCACGGCAAAGGTGCCCGTGACGAGCTGAAAATCAACACCGTCCAGCACGGCACCGGCCCAGTTGGCGGAGTAGGTCATGGCGTTGGTGCCGTGGGTTTGGTCCTTATTCTGGCCAGCGCCGAGGCCCGTGCCGTTCACGCCGGATCCGCCCACCGCATTGAATTTGTAGGGTCCGCCCGGTCGGTGACCGGGGCCGAGGCTGACATTGGCGGCCAATTTGGGCGAGGACTTGTGTGCCCGGGCTCGGCGTTGCATGGCTCGAGGAGTCCGTGGTGCGAAGGCAACGGGCGATGCGAGGACAGAATCGGCGCCCAAAAGGGCAGCGGCTACCACAAAAAGGAGCCTCATAGCAGCGGGTGAGCGAGGTACTGTATGTTGTGAAGATGTGTTTACACACTGATCAAGGCAGAACACCAGCAGGAAGAATGGTAAGGAAGAACCGCGTAGAACGATGGCAGGCGAGGCCAGATAGGGCAACACGAGGTCGTAGGAAGACAGATGGTCGCCGAACGTCAAAAACAGGCCAGAGACTGGGGTTTGAGCAGGGCTTTAAACGATTCGGAAAGGAAATAAAAGAAAGGCCGCGTGGCTAAGACGTCGATGGCAAGGCTGGGCAGAGACAACATAAAAAGAACATAATGTGAACATTTGAATGGCGGTACGAGAAAGATGCAAAGAGCAAGGACCTCGGTATACTTTTATTCCAGGAGAGGCTGTGAATAAAAAGACGCAAAGTATCCCGAATCCCAAGAATAAACGGGGTCTAGGCGGCTTGGTCGGCGGGTCCAGCAGACCCGAGAACGAGAGAAGCATCGACATCGAGCTGCGAGAGTGGAACAAGTGAGACACATGAGCTCCGTGACGGTCTAGACGATATAGGTGGATGCGGTGGAGAAAGGGATCGTGGAAGCAAGTAAATCAAAGGCTGCAACGGCATGGCATGGGAGGTGGTTGACAACGGCATCGGAGGTAAGGAAGGGAGTACGCGTGTCCGTGGCTGTGAAAAAATGGACGAGGCTGGTCTCATGGAGAAACTGTTGTTGAATCCCCCGGGATAATGTATTGTCCGGTCACATTTTTGTGATTTTTTTATACGACATACATTTGGCAACAAAAGATCAGATAATGCGTTGTGGACGGACATAAACTAGAAGTGCATCTAAAGGTCTAAACCTTCATACTGCGGAATTCACTACTGTTGATGGTTCGCAGAAAGGAGGAGGAGTAAAAGGACGTAGTGTCATGAAGAGAAAGGCGGAAAGAGACGAAGCAAGAGAAAGAGTGGACATGAAGACCTGCCAAAGATCGCAACTTTGGAAAACAGAATGGCAAAACATGCCAGCAAAAGGTCGGGGATCTCAGGGGTCAACAACAAATCGTTTTGTTTTACAGCGCCAAATTGGCGACTCTGTGTGCAAAAGTAAACGCAAAGGCGCTAAACGACGGAGTTAGCCAAACTAGCAGCGATCATCGTTTTCAGGCGACTCACAGAAACGCAGAACGAAGCACGGCGCCGCACAACAGAGACTGGAATGAAGCAATTGCCGATCGGGCGCATCAACACGGGCTGGGAAATGGGGAAGATGCGGCTTCAAGGAAGGTCTCGAGTCTGAAATAGATGCGCAAATGCTGAGAGAAATGAGAGAATTAATTGCGAGTGCTCCAAACGACCAAAAAGAGTTGAGCGCAAACAATTGATTAAGAGTCAGCGGAACGCGAGGATGAACAAACAATAAATAACAGAGAGTAAAGAAAAGCGAAAACCGCCTGCGCTGTCGCTCCGAGCAAGTGAAGACGACGAGCAGTGAAGACGAAATATCATACAAATGCAAAGACATTTCAAAACAATGACGATGAGATGAGTTTATCGGTGGCTGGCTGTGTATTCGCATGAATACGACCGGATGATTCATGTAGGAACTTGAAGTGTGCTCTTCAGTGTGGCTGGCTGACCACCCATGAGGCTGCCGGATAATATACTCTGCGCAGAGGATGGCGCCTTTGGGAAATACATAAATGCGCCGTACATAATGCGCAGTAATGTCAGAGGCTGGAACTGCGCGTACTAATTCATTGGGCTGAGCACATATTGAAGTCTCATCCTGTCTGTCAGGCTCGCGAAGTCTACCCGACTCCGGGTCTATGGTGCGGTCGCTTTCAGTAACAAAAGTATTGAATAAAGAATAAAGACTACTCTACAAAGTAAGATATAATCAAGCTAAAACGAGTGAGAGGCGCATATAACAAAGCAGGCAACATAAACATAAAGCATCAAGAAACCAGACATCAGGCACGACCACAACGTCCAAACACCCATGGTATAAACCGCCATTAAAACGAAATAAAACAAAAAGAAGTACCGCATCACTCCGGAACACTCCGGATTTCCATCGCGTCAAAAGCGCCGCCCGCCTACTCCCTCAAGAAGATGGGGATCCCGTCCAGTGTCGTCCGGTTCTGTGCCAGTCCGTTGAGGCTGTCCCGTAATGCCATTTTGCTCTTGACGTCGTTGGCAGAGCTTGTAGAGTTTGTCGACTTTGTGTTGGCCGTCAAGTCGCGTGAGAGTACCGGCTTGTCGCTGCTGCTGGTGCTGCTGGTGCTGCTGCCATTGGTTGTAGACGCGATGCCGATGGCTGGCAATGTCGGCGCAGACTCTTTGCTCTTGTCGCGGACCGCCCGTTCGGCTGCGTCTGTCGTCACGGCCACAGCCACAATGTTCGCCTTGCCCTTGATGCTCTTGTTGCTCCCACTGCGCGCAATCTCCGTGTCAATCACCAGCGGCACGCTCTTGCTGTGGCCCGTGCCTGTGCGGCTGCTGCTGCTGCTGCTGCCACTCTCCCCGTCAACAACCTTGCGGGCCACGCCGCTGCCGGCGCCGTACTTTTCGCTCATGCCGGGCGCCGTGCCGTCGTTGCTGGAGTCTTTGCCGCTGGTCCGCCACGAGTTGCCAAACGGCAGCTGGGGCCGGAAAAACGATGCCGTGTTCGAGTCCCGCGACGACAGGTTGCGGAAGCCACCACCACCACTGTCACCGCCCCCGCCGTTGCCGCCGCGGAACCGGTTGAACAAAAAGGCCGGCGACAGCGGCGACGACAGCCCGTTGTTCCGCCGGCGGCGGCCCCACAGCACAAACATCACCGCCACCACCATGACGGCCGCCACCGAACCAACCACGGGTGCAGCGATCCAGGCGCGGCTGTTTCCGCCGCCGGTGTCCGTGGACGAAACAAGCGAGGCCGCAGCCGCTGTGGCCGTCGACGACGCAGCGGCAAGGCCCGTCACGGACCCCGCCCCAGGCGTGGCGGCCGTCGCGCTGGCGCCTGTCCCGCTCGTCGCCGTGCCCGTCGCCACACGGCCGCCCGTGAAGGAGCTGCCGCCCAGCACGGACACCGTCACCAGCTCGGTCGTCACGATGGTCTCGCTGACCGAGTTGTTGACCGACGTCACGACGGACACGACCGTCTGCGTCACGACGCTCGGCTGCGGCGGGGCCACGGTGATGACGCCGGCATTGGTCGTCGAGGTGGCCGCCGCCGCCGTGCTGTTGTCCGCACTCGACGAGTCAGCAGCGGCCACGGCGTTGCCCATGACGGCCGTGTCGACGCCCGTGTCCACTGCCGGCGCAGCAGCGCCCGTCGTCTTGAGGTAGCAGTTCTTGAAGCCTTGCACGTAGCTCGGGTCAAAGGACACGGCGCCACAGCCGCTCGTCGAGACGCACTGGTCCATGCAGTCCTGCAGAGAGGCGGCGTTGTTTTGGGTCAGATCGGCGCCAGAAATGATGTTGTTGCAGAACAGGTTGAAGCTCGTATTGCTCTGCGTGGTGGACGTGCCCAGCGAGCCGCAGTTAGACGACGCCGCCGGGAACTGCGCGATGCCGCCGTTCAGTGTCGTGGACGCTGTGGCGGCCGTGGCGGCCCCGCCGCTGGTGTCGAGGTTGGCCTTGAGCGTGCAGGTCGACCCATCAAAAGAGATGGCCTCGCATTTCGGGTGGAACGACGCACACGCGACCGTACAGCCATCAAACGTGTCCGTCGCCGTCGAGTTGATGACATCGCCGCCAACGGCCGAGTCGCAGAGCAGAGTGAACGACTGCACGGAGCCGATGGTCGTGCCGTTGGTCTGTGGGCAAGCGTTGCTCGTCGTTGAGCTGCCCCCACTGCTGCCTCCTCCGCCTCCTCCGCTGCTCCCGCTGCTTCCGCTGCTTCCGCTGCCCCCACCGCCCCCGTTGCCTCCGTTTCCACCTCCACCGAAGGGGGGGATACCGCGGCCGTTGCCATCCCCGTGTCCGAACCCACCCCGGAATCGTCCGCCACGTCCGCCAAAACCACGGCCTCCGCCTCCCTTTCCGCCACCTCCACCGCCACCTCCACCACTTCCATCACTGCCACTACTTCCATCACTGCTCCCACTTCCACTTCCACTGTCACCGCTGCTGTCCGCTCTGGCATAAACCAGCATCCCAGATGCCAGGTCGCTGCGCGGCAGGTGCATGTTGTCGAGATGTCGACGAGGACGAAAGCAGAATGTTGGCCGATGAATAAAAAGAAGTAAAAGGATTAGGAAGAAAAGTAGTGCAAATGAAGGTACGAAGTGACGAGAAAAACACGTTCAGTGATTAAAACTGTTTGTAGGTTATTGGAAGCCCGCCGTAAAAGTAAAACTGCCAGCAGTATAAGTTGTAGAAATGAACGACATGGCGCGCCGCAGAACGAACGACTGGCGACGACAAAAGAGAGGGTGCACGATGTAGAAAGCAAGAGATGCAAAAAGGAAGAAACGAGAAAGAACAAAACGGACAAAAGGACACAAGGAACGAAAGTAGGAAAAGGCAAGAAACAGAGAGACGAGAGGTGGGAGGGGGGGAGAAGAAAAGTGGGAGTGGAAGAAACAAAATCGAAAGGCGAGAGGACGTAGAAGGGGGCGGGCAGAACTGATAGCCGGCAGAGCAGCCGTGGGTGACCAGAGGGCAACAATGGCAAAACGGAACAAAACCTCCCCTGACGGCAGAACACAAAAAGGTAGTGTACTGCAGAGGCGTGACACAAACGAAGTAGGTAGGGTCGCCGATCAGGAAGGGACGTCTCGTTCAGAAGGGATGCAACAGAGACGCACTTTGCATCCTCGTCCAGCGCATCAGACGTGTCGATCTTGGAACAAGTGACAGGAGGCAAATAAGAAGGAAAGATGGAGGGTTAGGGGAAAGGACAAGGAGAATATGGAGAATAGGGAGAATTAAAGGCCGGGAGCAAAGAAACACGATCCGGTGTTGACGATGCCGAGCAAGAGGGTCATGCTCCTTTTCGTGATGCTTCGGAGGGGAAGACGTTGACAGGCACAACAAAAGACAAAAGCGGCAATTCGACCAAGACCTGTCTCAGGAACTCTGTTTGATTTCATCATGCTTCGTGCTTTGCCGTCAGTCCACTTTCCGTATGTCGTCTTGGCTCTCGCTCTGCTGTCGGCATCAAACTGGCACCTGTAGCTTCGTTCGTCTTGTCAACCCCAGACTGTGCGTGCTCGTGGTCCACTCAAACAGTCGGAGCGGATAAACACCCACCATTTAAACATGAGACGACGGTCGCGGCTGGTCGTGCTGTTTCCAAAGGGCGATCACCACCTCCATGCCGCTGCACAGACACGTGAGATGGCCAGACAAAGCATAAGCGAGAGACGAGGGCATTGTGGCTGAAAGTGTCTGTGTGTGAGAAAGAACGACACATTGCGCGGGTAGCAAATGCCCCGACAGCGAGGCTAAATCTAGGCGGTGTCAAATGTTGCATTCATCCGTTTGCCGCCATCGTCGGTTTCGTCGACAAAACAGACGACAAGAAAGGCTGACGTGCAGAGGGTGGATAGGAGGAGGAAGAGAGGAAGGGCAATCTAAAGGAGACTCAATAAAAACCCTTCACAAAACAGTTCTGAAGCCGGAAATGGAAGCGTCTCATCGTGGCGTGCAAGGCCACTTGGGATACGATACCTGGACACCCGGCGATTGAGTTGAGAGTACAGACAGAATGACAGGAGAGAGACGTCAGACAGAAACGGACGAGTCAAGAACAATAAAAGAACAATAAAAACAGATCCCCCGCACGTTCCCTCTTTTCATCGTCTCTTTCATAATGTTCGGCCAATTTTGCGATCCATTGGACTTGGAAAATGGTCGACGATAACAGGGGCAGGGCTGGAAGGTGAAAGGTAAAAAGTAAAAAGATGGGACCGACGGCTTGCAACGCTGGCAGGGCATGTTCCCTGTTTGGGTTCGTCGTCGTTGTCGCCCGCTCGGGGAAGCTCTAGAGAGTTTGGGGAACCCCGTGGGACCAAAAAGTTTAAAATGCAAAATGCATAACGCTGCGCACAGAGCGTAAAAGTGCATAAACCAGAGACGGCAGCACGCAGATCACGCAGCATGCAAGACAAGAATGGATGGTGGTGGGTGGTGAGAATTGAGCAATAAATGCAAAAAAGAGCACCAAAATATGTTTTACAACTGCCGGAGATGTCAAAAAATAAAATAGAAAAACAAAACAAATAAAAATTGCTCCAGAAAATGGTATTTGGAAAAGTAGACGAGACAAAAAAAAAAGGCAGTGAAACGCCCTCCCGACATGTCTGCTAAAATATACAAAGTCGCCATACCGCCCACATCCACAGGCGTAGACCATTCATGGCTTACAGGACCTCTCCTCTCATCGTCTGCGAGGAGCAGCATAGTCGCGTCGGGGGTTGCCGATGCCGCCCGGGCGCAGCAGCGGTTCTGTCTCTGCGGCAGCATCGCTCTCTTGGCGGTCGATGATATCGGAAATCTCGTCGGGGGTGGTGCCGTAGTGCTCGGGATGGGCGCTGTAGCGGCTGGGGGTGTTCTCGTCGAGGCGGGCGGAGCGGTAGGACAACACGCGGCGGTAGAGGGGCCGTGACGCGGTCTTGGGCGGGGCCACGCCGCCGTTGGTGCCACCGTTGGTGTTGCCATGCCCGTTCTCTGTTGCACCATAGCCGTTGCCGTTTGCGTCGGTATGTGTATGTGCGCCTGCGTTTCCGCTCACATATTCGTCCTCTGGGTACGCCCGCTGCAGCTCGTAGTACACGGCCATGGTCAGCAGCATGCCCTGCATGATGGCCGTCAACAAAAAGATGCCCCACGAGCTCCAGCCAGCCCAGCCCAGGCGTGCAAACAGACTACCAGCAAACAACAGGCCGCCCGGTGTCTGCATGCACATCATGGGGATGCTGAGACTGCCGACGTGCTTGAGACGGTAGGTTGTGTAGATTTGTGGAAAGTACTGGATGGCAGCCAGCAGCGCCGCCATCAGTCCAAGCGTATTGGCCCAGCCGGACAGCGCCCGGGGTGCGACGGCGGCCAGGACGGCCGTGACGACAATGACAACGAGGCCGTGCACAAAACAGGTGCAGGCCACCAGCACGGCCGTCTGCCAGCGGGGCTGCTCGTTGCGAATCTCGTCTTCCGGGAGGGGGACGGCGGCGTCGTCGTAGCGAAAGAAGACGAGAAAGAGCACGAGGATGAAGGCGAAGCACAGCCACTGCACGCCCAACTGAGCAATTCCGAGCAGGCCAGCCAAGCAGTGCAGGGTGTCGAGCTCGTGGCAGCAGGCGACGTCCTGGCGGGACTGGGGCAGGGTCAGGATGTTGGCAAAGCCGGAAGTGGCCGAGGTGACGCCCAGGAGGACAAAGTAGGGCGAGATGCCTTCCGAGGTGCCACGGGCAATGATGCGCCAGTGCTGAGGAAGGTACGAAACGAGCATGCCGACGAGGATGAATCTAAGCACGTTAGCACCAGGGTAAAGAGTGATCGCCGGCCGTCGCAGCTGTTTGTTTCGGCACTTTCGAACGTACATGGACACAATGAGGTTCATGACGCCAGGGGCGCGCAGGTCGTCGCAGCGCGACGATAAGTCGGGCGAGCCCAGGAGTAATGCGTCCATGGCGATGTGAGACGAGGTGGAACGCCGAGTTGAGAGGCAAAGGCGAGGCCTTCTGTCGTCGTGTGTGTTGGATGTCGTTCGGATCCGGCGGCTATTTCGAGAATCGATGTGCTGCAGGGGCTGGTGTAGTCAGCTACTGGGCGAAGGCGGGCAGGTAGTTGATGCGGCTGGGCGTTCGGCCGGCACCATAAAGGTGCGCGACGAGGCGTACAGGAGATTACACTGCTCCTTAGAATGTCGGCGGATGATGCGGGACCGAGCGAGAGAGAGAGAGAAGCAAAAGACAAGAGAAAGGGGAAAGGAGAAAAGGAGAGGCGGAAACGAAGAGATACGAGAATCAGATTGAGTTGGGGATGGGGCAGGAGCATGTGGACAAAGGAAGGCGCGAGTGGGTTGAAACAAGCCCCAATCCCAACTTGGCAATAGCGGCTAGGCAGGAATCGCCCAACCAAACGGCGCCTCGTGGGGTTCTGAAAGGAAAGAGCAGCTCTCCGCGGCAGAGCGCGACAAAAGTGCGCTACAAGGCTACTCGTTGTGCGCAACATCCAGTGTCAATTAGTGGGCCATGCTTATGTGAGCCGCTAAGAACGGAAATGCTCCGTAGTCCGGTAGGGCGGGGAAGTAAGGCTTGAAGACGGAAGGCGCAACGGAGCCGCCCAAACACTTTTTTGTTAAGACATAAGGCGGTGACAACCAGCGCAGAAAAGACAAATATAAAATATACAAAATAGACAAAAGACAAAGGGACAAAAAGACGGTCACCTGGGCTGAAAGGCGGTCGAGATGGGCCAAGGGCCTCAGCATATCGAGCATGGCATGGCAATGTGTCGTCATATGGCCTTTGCGAGTCACATGCGTTTGAGACCACGACGTCTTATGCAAGGAGCCGTCATATACCGTAGCACATCGTAGATGTAGAGGCATACACGAGAGACGATGGAGAAGACCAGTTCAATTGGACTTTGTGAATGGCTGGTTGCTGTCTGGCACTCATCTCGCATTCCATTTTGTCCACAGCTGGCTAGAGCGCGCCGCTAAATGGCTCCGCGCAAGGGCCTAAAACGATGTGATGGCCGCTAAAAGGCTCCTGCCACATGGCCTGTGACGCCATTGTGCATAGGAAACTTGGGGAACGCACAAGGAATAAAGGCGGTGTGACTTTAGCGCCCGTGCTGCCTCGAGGCGTTTAAACATGCTGTAGCTTTCGCAGTCCCTGCAACTGTCACCAAACCAGGTCAAGCTTCAATTGTCAACAAGCCCCACCATCAATCACAATGGAGGTCGACGAGGATGCTCACGCGCCGGAGGAGGTGGCTTTGCCGCTTCGGTCACCGCGACGGTCCAGATCACCGCAGAGGTCACGGTCATCGACTCCAATACCTCAGCAGGCGTCGTCCCCGCCCCATGTGAGCCTGGTCGCCGCCGCCGAACTGCACGAGAACCAGCGATGGAAGCCCACGAGCCTCCACCCCGGACCAGCTTTCAAGACAATTGAGTGGTGAGTGGCGCCGGATCGTATTTCTAACGGCCATCTTGCTGACTCGTCCAGGTCCGCCGACGGAACGACTGTCATTGCGTCGACAGCCTCCAAGTCGATCCTCAGCTACGTCCTGCCCACCGACCTCCTTGAACCGCAAAAGGACGACGCCGACAACAACGACAGCGACAGCAACAAACACGCCTCCTCCCCTTACACACCTCGCCATCACACCCTCACTTGCCATGGGCGGCTCCGTTTTGGCATCACACCCTCTGCTCTCGCCCCAGCACCCTACTTCTCCCTCGCCGAGCCCTGGTCCCAGTCCGTCCTCATCGGCTTTCGTGACCGGCCCATCCAGCTGTATCCTCTCTTTCCAGGGGACGGTGACAGCAGCGACGACGACAGCAGTGGCGAAGACGATGTATACACCCGTCCCACTACCCCGCTCGCCTCCTACTCCCTCGTCAAGCACGAAACCGAGGCCTACCTCCCGCCCATGGCCTTGCTCTGGTCCGCCCCCGGCACCCACTTTGTCGTCGGCACCAAAAGCCTGCTGGCCCTCTTTGACGCCAGTCGCACCGGGAACGACCCACCCCTCCTGCGCGTGCCTACCGTGATGCCAACCGGCAGTGGTTTCTCGCTGGGGCTGCGCGGCACGGTGTCGGCACTGGCGGCCGGCACGGGCGTCTCGCAAAACCTGACGGCGGCCGGGACGTGGACCCGCGGCATTGGGCTGTACGACCTGACGCGGGCAGGCACCTGTACCGCCCACTGGAAAGTCAGTGCCGACTCTGGCGACGCCGCCGGCGACGGCGTCGTGCAGACGCTGTGGAGTCCCTGTGGCCGCTACCTTGTCGTCAACGAGCGCAAGTCCAGCGGGCTGCTCGTGTACGACATACGAGGCTCCGGCAAGCTCCTTTGCACGCTCGCGGGACGGTCGGCCCGAGTCAGCCAGCCCATACGGGCGACGGTCTACGAGTCAAGCCACGCCAATGGCTTCGAGCTGTGGTCCGGCACCGACCACGGCGCCGGCGTCCTGTACGAGGGCGTCGGAACACGAGACGGTGTCGTCGACCCCTCGTGGCAGTGGCAGGCCCACTTGCGCAGCATGGTAGGCGGCACTGCGATGCACGCGAGCGGGTCGGTGCTGGCGACGTGCGCGTCGTCACCGCCGGTTCCTGACGACGATGAAGGCGGTGGCGAAGACAGCGACGACGACGACGACAGAGACGTTGAGAGCAATGAGAGTGACGACGACTCGGTCGATGACAGTGAAACATCGTCTGCCGATTCCAATGTGCCAAGTCGCGCTGCTCGTTCACGAACGACAGTGTCTGATCCCAGCATCAAGATATGGAGTTTGGTACCATTACAAGATTATGATGGAGGCTCGTGAGGAGCTTGATGTTTTGAATTGTATTATACTACCAGGTGCATTTAACAAATGGAGTTTTGGTGTGATGAGATCCAAGATTAGTCTTTCATATAAGTAGATTTGTTTCATTCTGTACCCATCTAATGAACAATATTTTTTATAAAGAAGAAAACCGAGTCCTTCGCAACATTATGCACGGACAATCATAAAATATTATGTTAATAATTGTATTTTTCAGTTAAAAGAAATGCCGCAAATTCTCGAAACTTGAAAGAGAATTCCTGTGCTAGTCTTCCGCACTGTTGTGTTGACTTTGCTTTATCGACAGGGGTGATTCGCTTTCAGCGCTGTCACCAAAGAGCCTCTTCATGGCTGCTACGGCACTTCGACATCCCACCAAAGTACCCAGTCGCTGCAAACATTCCTCCGTTGGGATTTGAAAGATTCGAGTTACCGCGTGTATCCCATCCATAGTATCCCGTGGCTGTCGTCCAGTGGCCTCTAGTAGAACACCAAACAAAATCTGCGCGTCGTAGACGTTGAGGCAGGCCTGCCGCAAGAACAGCTCCCAGCGTGTCTCCTCCTCGACGAGATACTTTTCTACTTCTATTGCCCTCTGTTGCTCTCCGTCCTTCTTTGCCTCTTGCACCACTAGCGATGCCGCCCACTCGGCGACGGCCTGCTCACCCCCACCAACATACGAGGCTGACACCTTGCACGGAAGACTATGTAAGAAGCCATGCAGCTGGGCCAATGCCATGGCGTCCGATGGCGACAACTCCGGAAGGTCGTCGTGCATATCTGCTTCATCGTTGCGAATCGGTCGAGCGTTGTTGCGGTAAATCAAAACGTGCAGCATCTCGTACCGGGGTGCCACGACCGCCACGCGGTTTTGGAAGACGGGACGTTTTTGTGAATCTGTCTGGCGAACGTCGACCATGGTGATAATGATCAAACCTGTGGATGGCGATACAACGAGGTCGGCTTCGAAGCTGGTGTTTATGCCGCCGTACCCAGGATGTATCTGTTGATAATCTCGCTCAACAAACTCCAAGTTGGGTAGGAGTGTCACCAGCATGGTTCGAAGGGTGCGCGGAATGGACATTGACAAAATGGCCTTAAAAAGGCGTGTAGTTCCTGTGTCAATTGGCTGAATCACTGGACCTTTCTGAATCAGTATGGTCGATGATTGTTTCGTCGACGACAGCGGCTGAACTGCCCCATCATGACATGCACCGTGGGATTTATCTTGCTCGCTCAGCTCAAATCGTGGGTCTGCGAAAGCCCGAAAGCCCAGGAGAAGTTCTGGAGCCTTGATTTGGACCGTCTTTTGGGAAGTCGGAGCATTCGCGTTGGAAGCCGTACACGTGCCCTGTGCGTGCTCTTGCTTCCGTCTCTTGTGTCGGGCCATGAGATCTCTCCATATATCGCCAGTTTCCCCTGGTGTCTGCTTCTGGATTGACTGTTCTTTTAAAACAATCTGGCTGGACACTTTTGGAGAGCTGCTTGACTTGCCCTGAACTGATTTTGAAGGACTGGCCGGATCTTCTTTTGGCGCCATGGAGTCATTTGGTAATGTGAAGGCTTTAGGAACTTTGGACTCATTTGGCTTATCCCACAGAACCTCGAGGGGCGCATCGTTATAGAATCCCGAGAGAAAGACCACTGGCGTGATGCTGTTGATGAGCATTGACTGAACGTCTGGTACCGTTTTCATGAACGCCGTCGCTGTTTCAAAACTTTGCAAATCGGCATTGAGCGTCTCTTCGCCAACGTTGGTGTACTGTTTGCTCAACTCATCCAAGTCAACATGGGGCAACAGGAACATGCTGTCTTCCCCATGGAGATAAAGACCCTGAAAGGCTGCTTTTGTGTCGTTTATGATCCATTGGAGCATGTCGAGAGCATCGGCGCCCACGCCGTGCCAATCTGGAAGACTAGACTCAATTTCGACATCGGGAAGGGGAACCTTGGCCTGTACAACAATGTCGTTTGCTTCGAGCGCAAACAGGGCCTCCTCTGTGAGCTCCTCGTAGGACTCATCTTGAAGACTATCATCTGAACGTGTTTCGTATGAAGACTTTTGAATTGTTTCAAGAGGATTATCTGGGCACCGTTGTGCGACATTATCCGCCACGCTGCCCTCACCATCGACCGTGGACTCATTGACCCAAGCACCGAAGAGCTCGTCACCTGCGGACATGTACGGAGGTGCATTTTGCTGGGAAAGCTCCTTGGGACTAGGTGATAGCGATATGGATAGTTCGCTTTCCTGTTGACTCTGGGCGTCAAGAGGTGGAACATGCGAACAAAGGATCGTCATCGAATCGTCGAATGTGTGGTTCGAGAAGGACGGTAAGCTTAGATCGACACCTTCATCTGCCCAATTGTCTCCTGCCTGTTTTGTGAGGAGGCGTTCTGCCTCTTCAAGTGCCTCACTGATGCCTGAACTGACATCAGAGGCATCCGAGACAAGACACGCATCGCCTTGAGGATAGTAGCACTCGAAGTCGCCCACAGGCGGCAGAGGCGGCGATACGTATCTGGAAGTGAAGCTCTGGATAGATACGTTAGACCCCATTGGCCTTCTCACTGATATGGAATGCATCTTACCGGTATTGGCGTCTGCTTGTCAAGAAAAGCCGCCTGGTCTCGGTCAGTCCACTCCGTGCTGGCCATCAAAGCCACCAAGGAGCGGATGGACAGTTCAGAGACTGCCATGGTCTCTGTGCGAACGCCCTCTTCAAGACGCGATGCATAAGCCGATGCATGGGCGGGAACGGTGAACAGCTCTTGTTCCTCTTGGACACTTTGGACCAAGCCTTGGCTCCGCGCACAGCCTTCCCCACAATTAAGAGTCGCAGTCGTGATCCTCTGCAACTCGGCGTAGTCCTCGTCCGGGTCGGTCAGAAGAAGTGGCGTTTCGAGCTTGAGTGTGCGCGCTTGTTCCGCTGCCGATCGCACCGTCTTTGACTCGTTACTGACCACCGCCACTTCACACGCTTTCAGTTCCTCCTCCGTCAGCCATCGGCATGCCGCCTCCAACACTCCAGCGACACGACGTGGCACGATCCACAGTTCCTCGATCTTGGTAGGCTGTAGCACTAGCGGCGGGAGGTGGTCATCAGCCAGGGACCGTTCGGCAGCCGGAATGCGACGTTGCTCGTCGGCAGCAACACCATAGTGGTACTGCAAATGATCATTAGTCTCGAGAGCGAGGACGAGGTCATTGGCGCGGGCATATTCGTGGCTGTCAGCAGCCGCCTGGAGCTGTTTCTCCGTAAGGGGCTGCAGCGGATCGTTCCATAGGACATCGTTGTCGGCGCGGAGCATGCTGTGTGCTTGAGACGATAATATCTTCAATTGGTCCTGTGTGAGTCAGTCTTTAGGATTTAGTTCATGTTGACTCGAAAAGGGGATTTGGGAAAAACCACACCGCTCGTTCATAAAATTGCCAAAACAGGAAACTTCGATGGAGCAAAAATTAGCTTTTAAAAGGAAGTCACAAGCACGTCAGCGAGGGAAGTCGCGATAGTACACATATGGAGGAAGGAGCAGACGATGTAACTACAATATTTACAGCATATTCGCTTGTTCTTTCACATTTAAACCATATAATACATTGATTTGATTATTTGATTATTATGTATTCTATCCTAATCGCTATTATGCGTAAATCAACGGTATAAGAGTGCATGTTTTGCCTACACCCATCTGTACAGACCAATGGACGAGCAGGTGTGTGCTGCTATCACGACCACATGAGATTACGACTCTTTTGTCGGTTCTGCTGCCACAGAGGGCGCATCGGCGGTGAGTCCGGTGGCGACAGAGTCTTGGTTGTTCCCTCGACACCGGCCGCAAGTGTCGCTGCGGGTGGACTGACGCCACCGACACCAAGGAGTGGACCATCAAGGGAGAGTGAGGGAGACGTCATGTTGAGGGAGAGCTGCTCGTTGTGGCCACTGATGGTGCTGCTGCGATTTTTCGCGTTGACGCTGCCAGTGACACTTCCCCGGTTACCCTTGCCGAGACTACTGGTGCTGTTGTTGGTCGTGCTGTCGCGCACGCTGCTCTGACTGCCGGTGCTGGCGATCCCGCTACTGCCTCCGCCGCGCAAATTTAGGTTGCTCATATTGCCAAATGAGGTTTCGTGGTTGGCAGGCAGGGCACTGGATGAGTCGCGCTCGGCGACGAGGCTGTTGCTAGAATTGACGATCTTGATAGAGCGAGAGCTGAGGCTGTCGTTTGTGCCGGCCTTGGTCTGGGCGGGTTTGCTATTTGTCACATTGTCGGCGCCGGTCAAATTGGCAGCGCTGCCACTGTGGCTCAGCTCGCTCGGGTCCTCCTCGCCGATGCGGCTCAGGACATCCTGGTAGCCGCGCGTAAATTCGTCAAACTCGCGGTTGAAGGGTACGCGATCGTGGTCAATCAACATGTCATCCGGGTGAGTAGGCACATAGTTGCTGTTCATGTTGCCATAGGCGTTTTGGGGCTGTTGGAGTTGTGGCGGAGCGTTCCCGTTGGCATCGTAGTAGGGCGACTGCTGTGAGATTTGATTGTACGTAGCAGCCCTAGAAGCGGCACGGGAGACAATGCTACCTGACACGGAACCAATAACCGGGGTGCCGGGGCCGGTAGTCGGGACGACACCGCGATAGCTGCTCCGACGGGACATATCGCGGGACAATAAGCTGCTGACGCTAGCGCTACTACGCCGGTTGGGTGTATGTGAGGACGACGAAGCGACAGCTGCCAAGGCTGCAGGGCCGACGGCTGGTGTCGCCCACAGATCATCATCGTGTGCAGCAGCATTAGGAGCCTTGGGAGCATCACCAGTTCCGCCATTGTTGCCTCCGTTACCACCGCCATCGCCTGTGCCTGGATTGGGCAGATTGTCGTTGCCACCCGACGGAGGCAGCGGCAGCGGTGCCTCAAATGCCGACATCTGCTTGTAGGCCCCTGTGGCACCGGGACCCATGGCCATCTCCGGATTGCGGAGGCCGGACTCAAAGTCGTCTGGAGTATTGTGCAGGGCCTGGAAACTACCGCTCCCAGAACGGAAATTCAAGGGACCCCTGCGGGAGGTGTACGTGCCGCCACCGCCGCGGCGTTTCTTCCAGCAGAAGTAGACGGCCAGGGCAATCAGGGCAATCAGGCCTGCGACGGCACTTATGGTTGCACCAATAATGACACCTGCACGATCGCCGCTGTTAACACCCGTGTCTACCTCGCTGCCGGGGTCGGTGGAGGAAGACGCAGCGCCCGTCGGAGTGTGCGTGGCTGAAGACGATGTGGTAGAGCTGGAGGAAGACAATGTGGTGGACGACAGGGATGAGGAACTAGTGGAGGAGGAGGAGAAGGACGATGTGCTGGAAGATTTCGTTTTCGTGGACGAGGACTTCGTAGAGGACGACTTTGTTTTCTTGGACGTGGACGCCGTGTCTGTAAACGTGCCCGTAAAGGTGATACGCTGGCTGGTAATGGTCAGCGCCGACATGCCCGAAGCTGTGGCGGCAACGCTCTGGCCTAGAGTACTGGCTGACCCGCAACCGTATTGGTAGTATCCGCCCGGGAAGTTGTTCTTGTAGCAGAAGCTGCCTCCGCCGCAGGTGTATACATATGGGTTCACATCAGTAGCGTCGCTGCCGCCATCGACGCACCCTGTGAACACACCCGCTGTACAGGAATCGACCCCATTGGGACAACAGCCAACAGCACCGTGCTCTGCATCAAGGACACAGTGGCTCCCGGCAGAGCAGGTGGCGGGAAGGTCTGCGTTACCGCCAATATAACCGCAGATGGTGTTGTCGTTTTGGCGGGGCAGTGGCGCACCACCTAGCTGGCGCAGTTGTCGTGACCACTGCCGTTGACTTATTTGACCCTGCTCATCTGCAAACGCTGTGGGAAGAGGCCATGGCACAACATTGAGAGAGCGGTAAGGGACGGTCGTCAGTGGTGCTGCCTCCGGTGAGGACCCTGGTGCCGCAGCTCCCGTTGGTTGTGCGGTCGGCGCAGCTCTTGGCAGGCCGTCAGAAATTGCAGCTGCGGATACACCATCGATGAGATGGCCGGCCAAAATCAGAGTGATAATGAGGGATGTTGTAGACGTAGGCCGGCGCTCGTTGGCAAGGCTATGTGCCGCCATGGTATCGGAAGAGTGCGGCTTAAGGAGCACCCGCCCTTGATAGAGAAAACCGAAATGGGTGGAAACGTGCGTTATCGTGACACTGATTTCGAAGTAATATTTGATTGCCGTCTCAGTTGCTTGTTATACTCTTGCTATTGTATACTGACCGTAGCGTCGTGATATTGAAGGGAATGGGATGTCAACCTATATAAACAAAGTGATTGCAAGGCGTAGGATGAAGCAGCTCGTGAGCTGTGACCTCACTTGGCAAAACTAGCCGACACCATTCAGTGACTGTGAAGGTCGACAAGTGGTAAAATAAACCGCGGGATGGCAGTTAATTTGCATTCACATGCAATGCATCCGCGAATGCCTCATCCGTCGAGATAACTGTGTAAGAGGAGGAAAATGAGAGAACAGAGGGAGAAAAAGAGGATAACAAAGTAAGAGGCGGTAACGATCGCAATGACCCCCTAACGATCTGAGAGATCGACGGTTGTTCAATTTGTTGGACTCTGCCTTTTTTTGATGTGGGCCGTGTAAGTTTGAGGGGCATAGGAATCTGTGTTGACGTTCCCTAATATCGAAGGATGACCTGAACAGTACGCAACCCGAACGGTAAGGTGAATTGGCCAGCACCTATGCGGTTCAGGATCATGAGTTGTTTGCTATAGCTGTCGTCATTAAAAAGATGTGTACCGGAGAGGCTTTGTTGATTATGCCGTGTCGCGGGGAAAAAGTTAGCGAGGCGGGATGAGTTTGCGAGAGGGTGTCAAGGCGGGAGAGTAAATAGATTGTGTGGAGAAGGAAGAGCGACTCGACCGGGGAAGTACTTTGAGCAAGGATAGGAGCACTGAAATGAACAAAAATAGCAAATTGAGATGCTGAGAAGACAGACGAGAACGTGCAAAGAAGACAATGAGAGGGGAGTCGGCAAAAGAGGCTAAAAGAGATGACGAGAGGCGATCGCCGCCGTTTCTGTTCGAAGTAAACAGGATGTGGTGGCTGTGGTGACGATGATTGGGACAGGAACGAAGGAAAGAGAAGTGAGTCGACGGCAAAGAAAGAATAATAATTAAAATTGCGACAATACAGAAGGGATAGAGGTCGTGAACTTAGACAGAAATGAGAACAAAAAAAATGACAAGAGAAAGGGAAAACAAGAAAATGCCCAACACAAAAGACGTCAAGAAATGGAGATACGACCACGAATGGCGACTCAAGATCGAAGGTATGCCTGGTGCAAGGAGGTGTGCATGGCCATGAAGGAGGATCGTAGTCGTGTGAGAGGACTGGATGAATGCAACGGCCGGATTGGGACGAGGTCGAGCTGTGGACAAACCTGGTTGGAATGTGTTGTAGAAAACGAGGCAAAGGATGTCCAGTGTATTGCGACAGACAATAGGCGACGGATGATGATAATGGTGTGTCGCATTAAGCATGGAATTTCAGTGAGGGTTGTGTCGTTTCAGGGCTTTGTCGGCGGCGATGTTTGCAAAATTCAAGATGTGCTGGAATGTTGTTTTGAGGCGGCTATGGCAACGCTTCGGCGATCGAGTGAGGCTGTTAAAGTCATTTTGAAATGTGAGACATATTGTCCCAAATCGGCGCATTGGCCCGTCAATCTCGTCTAGCGACCGGGCTCTGGAATGCAGGCCACGACGAAATTCATGAAAATGGCGGGCCTGACGTTGGATGCTCGACATAAATGGATGCACTCGAGTGTACGTCGTATTTGTGTTCATAAAGAGACGTGAGAAAGAAACAAGAACATAAAAATTGACGAAACGCCTTGCATTTGCGACTGCGCCGAGCATTGCACGTGGCTTGTAGGAGGGGAAGGATGAAAGACAACAGAGAACACGGCGTAGACGTCTTTGCACGACGTGACTGCACAAAGAGGCTTCTTTGTCAAGACGTGTCAAAACACAGGAAAGGTTGCCAGGAAGAACGTGAGGAGGAAGAGAGAGAAGCACTGAAACTACAAGATCAGGGGCGACAAGACCCAGTTCACGCAAGAATGTTTATTTTCGGAGACTGCGACGGGCGCTCTTTCCTCATGCTTGACTACGCTCGCTTCTTTCCTTGTTTAGACTGAGATTGATAGGGATTGTATTTTGAAAAGCAGGTACAACATAAATTTGGCTAAATCAAGAAGGAACGACTGCCAGTTGAGGATCGTTATCGTCAGGCCGCTTCATGTCTGCCACGGACACCCGCCAAACGATGGCAAGCAAAGAAGAGAAAGACGTGATCGGATACCTTCTCGACAGTCGTCTTTACTTACCCGTTTTTCTTTTAACCGCCAAGGCTTGCGACCACAGGATCGCCAGGGCAGACAAGGGGGCTGTGCTGGCGAAAAGACGGCAAGCACAAGAGGCAGGAACGCTGACTGGTTGCAGGAAGGCACGGATGGCACTGACGATGAAGAACATCCAAAAGAACGATACAAGTGTGGCACGGTAAGACATTTCTGTAAGAGTTTTGACACACTGTGACTGTACTGAAAGGGCAGCCTTTTGGGCGTCACAAAACGTCCACTCCGCCAGGAATGCGCCTTCTTTTCCCCACGGCAACTCCATCGACTCTGATGCATGAACATGAGTGAGGCGGGACGACATATGAGAGAATTATGAACGCCACGGATGAAGTACGGGCCTTTGACCAACGCAACAGTTTTGAGTGTTCTCGGCTCTATTCTGTGGATGCGGAAACTACCCAAAAACGCTAAAGCAGTGGACTGAGCTGCTGTAATATTCCTATCTTGTGGAGAAATGGTGGGAACTTCAGCCGTCGTCTTGCCATATGTTCATCAGCATTGTCCATGTACGACATAATCTTACGTCGTCAGCCTCATCACACCTCAAAGACATAGAGTCATAACGTGTCTATTTGTCTCATATTCTCGTACATGCGTGTCTCTATCGTGCTGTATTACCAACGGTGTTTGTGATTGTCGCTATGTTTTGCATTGCGTTGTCCAGCCGTCGTGTTCCCTTCCTTCCCAATCCGTCGGCTATGCAGTGCCATGTGCACTTGCCACGATTACGGTCACTCGAACTGCGCCTGCCTCTCATTCTTCTCTCTCTCCTTCTCCACCAAACCCGGGCTCTCGCACGTCCGACGACTGTCGCTGTCGTGTAAAGGGGCGTTCTCGTTCTGGTCGTTGCTCTGCTCGTTGTCTACGCCGAGATCGTCTTCTCTGTCACTGTCTCTCCTGTCCTTTTCCTTTTTTCCATCTCTTCCCGCTGCAAGCCAGCATGTGCCACATCGTCAAAACCAGCAAACGGATCATCCCCGTCGACACGGCTGCCTCCGTGGCTTTGACTCTGGTTCTGACTCCGGCTGTGACTCTGGCTCTGACTGGCTGCACGACTGGCTGCACTGCGCGCACCCCACGGTATGGCCCAGGGCCCACTGCGTCCGGACGTCGATCGTGATGGCGAGTTTAAGAATCTAAACAGGATAAAGTTCTCTGTGGAGATTCGTGCCAACAGTCGTCGCGGCGCTCCACCAGTAGGCTCGTGGAGCTCGCCGGGAGCATGTGGTAGTGCCGGACGAGCACCGCCGCCAAAGGATTCGCGCGGGAGGGATACCGAGAGCGACGCCGACAGCGACGAACGCGCCAAGGCCTCGACGACGGCCGGTGGCGAGTGGCGCGGCCGGAACACATGTTGTTGACGCTGTCGTTGTCGGTAATGCTGCTGGAGGGCAGCCCTTTGCTGGAGGAGGACGTGCTCTGTTGGCATGTGCCCAACGGCGCCAGCAACGACGGGCACAGCGGACTGCCCAAAGTATTCTCGCCCACCTTCACCTGGGCTGCCCATGTCGCGTAAGTCGTGAAGGGCGTCCCTTCGCTCGTCCATATCTTCGTTGTCACCACCACCATCACCAACGCCGCCGACACCGACACCAGCGTTGGCTGGACTGTTGCTGCCACTGCCGCGGCCGCCACTGTGCACACTTCCACGCTGGCTGGCACGGTGGCGCGCATCGTCTGCCGGTAGCGCCCAGCCCGCGTGGCATGCACACAGCAGGAAAAGCGCCAGAACGGTCGGCAGGGCGTCGAGTACCAGCGCGTACAAAGCATTTCGTGAGGCGGAGGCCGCTGCCATTTGCATTGGTAGGGTTGAAGGCGACAAGGACTGCACCGATCTCCCTTTTGCGGCTTCCACGGCCTCCACCGTCCGGTACACCACCCGCATCGTCACCAGCGCCAACACGCCGTATGTCGTCCCCAGCAGCCAGATGATCTGTCGTCGTCGCTGCGGGGGCAGCGATGGCCGGACCGTGCCAGCCTCGTCACGCTCTTGCCGGCCGCCCTGTCGCGCCGGCGGGAGTGTTGCGTATGCCTGCGTGACGGCGGCGAGCAGCATCAGCACCACGATGCCCTGTCCGGCAAGTCCGCCAGTCCAGACCAGATCGGCCACCATCAGGAAGGTTTGCGCGATTCTGTACGTGGACGAGGCCGTCAGTCCGCAGTACACCAAAAACGCGACGGCCACCGCCTGCGCCCCTGCCGCGACCATGAACAGCACCCACACAGGCCACGCCGCCACCCAGCGGCCATTTGCTGGCCACGGCCGCCGCACGGCCTCGGACAGACTATCGTGCGCCGGCAAGAACCGCGTGCGCGCCAGTCGGTTGAGAGTCGCAAATGGCACGAGCGTAATGCACAGCGGCACAATCTGCAAAAGGACAAACGCGGCCGCCAAGAGGTACGGCTGCAGGTCGACGTTGCCGTCGACGGCCGCCGAGGAGGCCACTGCTTGCAACGTGTACCCGGTGAGCGCCGCCACACCGCCGGCCACGGCCGCTGTCGCGACCTTCCACAGCCGGTAGTAGCAGCCCTGCACGAGATGTACAATGGCCAAAGCCCCAAACGCGGCCGCAAACGCGGCTCCGCCCCATTCGCTGATGAACCGGCTGTTGCCTTGTTCCGGAAACGGGGCGAACGAGACGGCCATGTACGGCGAGCAGGGGCCCGGCCAGCATGTGGAGGACATTGCTGTGGCCGTCGCGACCGACGTGGAATGCGCCGTTCGTGACGGCGTCGTCGCCGTCGGCTTCGCCGTGGTCGTATAGGTGCGTAGAGAGATTCGTAGGTCGTAGGCGGCTGTTGTCGACGGCGCCAATACATGTGTAGTGGTCGCCGTAGCGGTTTCAGCCGCTACCGCCAGCGCCACGGCAAAGACGTCTGCTGGGGCCATGTCCTCGGAAGGCCGTTATTCGATTGGGATCATGGGCAAAAGGTCGATTGAGAGGCAGCCAAGTCGCTAATCAATACGTAAACATGTGAGACAAGTGCGATTGACAACGACGGCCTTGTATAACGAGACAATGCGCTTCGGTGACTGACAGTCCACGGATGCATGAGAGTAGCACGAACGACGATGGAATAAAACAAATAATGAAGACAGAAAACAAAAGGCAACAATCGTGATCCTCGGGCCGTGTCAATCTGGCAGCTCTCAAGCTGTCATCATCGTCTCGTTCGCGCTGGCCCCCCTCCTTGCATCCCGTACACTCATTCTACTTGCTGGCGACTGCGTACTGACATGCATCTGGTGTCTTGGCAGTACTGGCAGCAATACGAGTTTTTGGTGGGAGTTTATTTGTCGGCCACTCTGAGCGTCGTTCGTCACTTTGGCAGTGATAAGACGGGCGGCGTGCGTCGCAAGTGAAACGCTACTGCACCCACTCGCCCACTCGCCCAGTCACCCGCTTATCCACTTGCCTACGGGCCCACTAGCCATGAACGAGAATCTGGACAGGTCTTGTCTCTTCCAGAGCAACATCGTGCCCCGGCAGTGCGGCTGAAAACAAGCTGCAGAACGAAGCCCAGACAGCTGTTCACGTCCTTTCTTGTGGAAATACCTCGTATTGTTCCTATTGCGGCCTTCTGGTCGGTGCTGAACCACGGCCACAGCCACTTTGTTTCTTGTTGCTTGTTTCTCTCGTCGCCGAAGCCTCCATGGATATGGGAATACGAGGTTTTGACGGGCGGGACCCGCTGGCCTTGGCACAGCACTGAACCTCTCTGACGGATCTGCCACTGACGGCCGCTGCAAGACCCCACAATTCCCCTGTTGACAGCCACTAACACGAGGAATAGCGTTCAAAGACCACTCGAAATCGCCCCCAAGACGCTGCGCTTTTGATTCAATCCGGCAATCGCTTTATTGCCTAGCAGCCCACTAACAGCCGAATCCAGTCCGCCCACTCAAGCTGTCCCCAAGTAACGAAGTCTTTAAATAGAAACAGACCTAATACGGCAAGGCCCGTGAACATCAACGACTGCACTGCACTGCCGAGCAAATCCAAGCTTGACGAACGCCCTCCAGAGCCTCCATCATTGGCACTCGCTCCGTCAGCTATCCACCCGCCCACTGACCGTGAGAGTCAACACACCACCACGCCTCAAACAATGGCGCCCTTTTTTCTTCGTACAGGAACTGCCTTCTCTTCGTGCACTCATCTCGATCGACCATCCGCAATCCCCAAAGAAACAGAAACAGACCGATAGCCCGACAACGTGTGAGCCTCAACGTCGGCTCCTACATTACGAGTCAATGGCTCTCACGTGGTCCGTGATCAGGCACGTCGCATCCGAGCTGCCGTAGTAGATCGTGTTGCCATCGTCGGGCGACCGGCCCGTGCTCAGGAGGTCGCCCCACTGCCAGAACAAATCGGCTGCCAGGCCGTCGTTGGCCGCGCCGACAGCGGCCCTCTGCCACGGCGTCTCGATGGCGCAGTGGTCCGTCGTCGTGCCGTACTCCTCCAGCAGGCACGGCTTGCCGGCCGCCTTGCATGCTGCCGCATGGTCGGCGATCCAGCCGGGACCGAAGCTGTTGTCCACGCCCCATGACGACGGGTACATGTGGAAGGTGCCAAAGTCGAGCGTCGCGATGCCCAGGTTCTTGACAAAGTCCACGCCCTCGGCGGTCGTGTACGGGTACGACGAGGCGCCGTCGGCCGGGGTCAGGCCCATGCCCTCGTCGCCCAGCGTCACCATGCGGTGCGGGTCCAGACTCTTAATGTATTGCGAGGTCGACGTCGCCCAGTTGTAGATTGCGTCCGTCGAGCAGCCGTTGCAGCGCGGCTCGTTGGCCAGCTCCCAGGCAAAGATGGACGACGCGTTGGTGTACCGCGTCACCACGGCCTTGATGTACGCGCGGTACTGCGCCTGGGCCGCCGCGTTGTCGTACCACTCCTGGGCGGTGCCGCCAAAAACCGACGTGTACGCCGGAATGCCGCCGTAGTCGCCCCAGTTGTTGACAAAGTTGACAATCAGGTACACGCCACGCTGGGCCGCTGCCTCCACCACGTAGTCGAGGCGCTGTAGGCCATTGGCGCCCGTGTTGATCTGGGAGCCAGAGGACGACAGGTACTGAAAGTACACGGTGCCGTCCGAGGGCTTGGTGGTGACGTCGTTGAAGCCCCAAATGCGCAGGACTTTGAGGCCTGACGAGGAAACATGATCCAGGACCAAGTCGACGTCGAACGTGTTCGACAGGAAACCGATCCAGTACGAGTTGGACCCGGACAGGTACTTGGTGTCGCCGTCGACGGAAAACCGGAGGCCCTTGGTAGTAGGAATACCAGAAGTAGCTCTTCCAAGCTTGGACGGAGCAGCCAAAATGGTGCCAGCCAACAGACTGGCTACCACAGCCGCGATGCCAAACAAAGAAGTAAGGCGAGGGAACATCATGCTCAGTGGTGGTGGTCCTGTGCTAGCTGGGGCCGTTTTGGATGGGTTGAAGAAGTCGATCAATGGTGATGCATCTCTTTGTCGTCATCGTCGTCATCTTCTTTGTCCTTTAATATTTGGCCATTTCCACCTCGGCCGTCGTCCATCTCCACCCGAACAAGCGACCGCGGAGGAAGCTCACCCTTCTGGCTAACGCGGTTCATGGCTCGGCTGCTCTCCCGCTCTCCACTCGCCTTGCAAGGAGCCGTCCAATCCACGATGCCTGGCTCATTTTGCCCCATTCTCTGCACCGTTAGGGACGACCCAGGAACATCGCGGCCCCTTAATAACGCCCCAATATCAATCTGCCGGTCGGGTCGAAGTGGACAAACGTCGTATGTCGTTTGTCGTTTACCATCGCCTGGGACGTCTGCATTGTCTCCACACGATGCGGAGATCGCCCAATAGCCTTCCTAGTTGGTCTGACTGGCCAGTGCCTCGCGGAGGAGGCATCTCCGTGTGGTCCAAGAATGTAGCAGCTTTGGCAACATTACAGGGAGAACCAATACATTACCCGGTTAGGAAAGCAAGAGACGGAAACATGATCTGTGCCAATGTAGCTCCTTCCGTCTGATAGCTCTTAATTGCGCGCCTTCCCCACATTGTTGCCCTGATGTCATGGCACTGATGGCAGGCAGGTGCACTAAAGCTCCGCCTCCTGGTGCCTGAATCGGTCGCGCTTCCCCGCAAAACCAGCAATCACAAGCTCCAAGCAACCTAAGGCCGATGTGGACCTGCCTCGAACGGTTTCAAAACAGCTCACAGCGCACACACCACAGACCCCATAGTGGCACCTGCCGGCGAACGCGACTCACTCAATGAAGCAGGAACGCTGACGTCCTTTGAGAAAAGGGGAGGGAGCCAAGCCTGTCCGTGAAACATCCTCAATTTGTTGCCAACAGTCAAGCGTCTTGGCTTCTTTCTTTTGCGCCGTTTGCTCCTCAACGCACTTGGCATTGGGATACCCAGATAGCCGCCTCTCCACACTTTGCTTGCGATGCCCATACGAGTCAAGTCGCGGCCGCTGCCGCTGCCGCTGGCGGATGCCGACAGCGGGCTGCGATCACCGTCTCCCTTTTTGGGCGACGGTCTTCGATCTGGCGGCCGGCTGCCGGACGACATGCCTGACATAGGCTTGGAGGACAGTTTCCGTGTTGTCATCAAGAAACTGTCTCTCTACATCGCCGACGCGGTCGTTCTGCCGTGCACCTTTGAGCAGCTGCGCACCACCTCGGCCGGGGACCGTCTCCGCACCCTCGTCACGCACCTCAGCATCACGTGCGACAACCCGGCCATTGTCAACGCCCTGCTGGCCCTCAAGTGGCACTACGGTGCGGCCGGTGGCGACCGCAGTTTGTGTGAGGCCCGCGCCAACGCCTGCGAGATTGTCGCCTGGCGGTTCTTGACACACCTAAGCGAGCGCGAGGCCGTGGATTTCTGCCTGTACGAGATTCCAGGCACCAGCAAGGCGCCTTGTGGAGTTGCCGCTGCGTCTGCGGCCGCCATTGGGGGTCAGGCCCCGAGTGGCAACGGCGATGAAGAGGTTGGCAGCCATGGCAGTCTGCCGCGGGTCAGCGGCGCCATCGACGAGTCGTCGCCGCTGCTCAGCCGGATCTGGACGTCAGCCACGTCGGACCCCGACCGGGCGGCGAAACGGCGTTCTCGTCCTCGTGCTGGCAACCAGCGGTATCAACTGTTGCAGTCCATCTCCCGGCTCACCATGTCGATGCATCACGATCACCGTGATCGCTCAGACTCGGACTGCGACAGCGAGGATGGCGAAGACGGCGAGCATCGTCACCATCACGGTGGTGATGGTGACGACTGTGATGACGATGAGGAGGACCCGACGGCGCCCTTTGTTAATCTCAACGCCCTCGAGATCGCTGCCGTCGCCGACGCCAAGCGTTTCCTCAGCCAAAACGTGGTTCAGAAGATTATTACGGGCATCTGGAACGGCGACATTGTCTTCTGGGACCGCCTGGAAGTGGATGCCGTCAAGAAGCCCCGTTTCTACAACTCGCACACCGCCGATCCGTTTGCCCGGCTGCGCGTGCCCAAGTACCTCAAGATCTTCGAGGCCATGTGCTTCTTGGCGTTCCTGGCCATCTTCTACCTGACCCTGCTGGAGCGCAATCCCTTCAAGGTCGGCCCCGCCGAAGTGCTCTTCTATTTCTTCCTGGCCGCCTTTGCCTATGACGAGCTAAGCGAGTGGATCGATGCCGGCTCGCTGTTCTATGTCTACGACTTTTGGAATGTCTTTGACCTCATCATGATCTGCATCGGTTTCCTTTTTGTTGTTTTACGTATGGCAACCCCTTTCCACCCCCCTCTGTCGTTCGCCCTTTATGTTCGCCGCGCTGACTGTACAGGCACCATCGGTCTATCACGTAACAGCGAGTACCTCATCGACCTGTCGTTTGACATTCTCTCGCTTGAGGCACTCTTCATGGTCCCGCGCATCAGCTCGATCCTCAGTCTGAGCCCCTACTGGGGTACCCTCATCCCCTGCTTCAAGGAGATGACCAAGGACTTTGTCAAGTTCATGGTCCTCGTTGTCATCATCTACCTCGGCTTTCTGACCACCTTCTCGCTCCTCGGCCGCGCCCTCTTCACGCTGCCGCACATGACCATGGTTCTCACCAAGATTTTCTTTGGGTCCAGCTACGTCGGCTTCGACATCATGGACGACATCGATCCCGTCTTTGGTCCGCCGCTCATGCTCGTCTTCGTGACTCTCAGCTCCATTCTGCTCATGGGCTCCCTCACGGGTATGCTGAGCAACAGCTTCAGCCGCGTCATGGGCCACGCTCGCGAGGAGTATCTGTACGTGTACTCTATCTACGTCCTCGAGGCCTCCACCAGCAACCGTCTCACCCACTTTTATCCGCCCTTCAACCTCATCGCCCTCATCATCTTCCGGCCGCTGCGTCTTTTCTTGCCGTCCGACCACAAGTTCCGCGCCGCCCGTATCGCCCTCCTCAAGGTCACGCATCTGCCCATTGTCGGCACCATCCAGCTCTATGAGCTCGTTCGCGGCAAGATCCAGGACGCCAGCGACGAGTACTCTGCCATCCATGGTCCACCGGGTCGCCAACAAACACCTGCCTACTTTGGAACCAGCACACACCAAGGCGGTGGCAGTGGTGCTGCGTCAGGTAGGATTGATGCCAGGTCGTCGTCGGTTACCGCGGGCGCATTGGTGACTCCTAAGAAGACGCTTGTTCGCCCGCCGCTCGGCCAGCGGCCGTCGTCGTCGTCGTTCCGCCACCAGCAACAACGACAACAGGACATTGGGTCACCTGCACGACCTCTGAGCACATCCGAATACGCGCCGCATCTCGCGCAGTCTTGTGAGGGTTTGGTGACGGCGGGTGCAGCAGCAGCGACCGCTGACGAAGACACTGCGATCGATGTGCCGACGGACGTGGAGGTCCGCATCGCCGAACTGTCGAGCAAGATTGACAAGCTGACGGAACTGGTTCTGCAGATGCAGATGGCGCAGAACAACAGCGCAAAGTAGACTGCGTCACCTTGTCAGCCCAATTTGTTTACTGATATGCTGTTCTTTGCTTTAACTCTCTGCATACGGAAGACCGATTTTACCATTTCCGCAATTTCCTCGCATATGTTCGATAACTATTGATCTGTTGATCCGTTTAGAGATATTCCTTGTGTGGCTATGAGAGGTCAGCAAGCGCCCCGACGTGTAAAACGCATCGCATTTCGGGCCCGTCCATAAAAATAAAACAACCATTGCCCTTTATTCACCATTGTCATGTAAAGAGAACTGTGCTGCTGTAACCACTGCTACTACACCAAAATGAAAAGCGGTCTATGACCAACCCGATGCAACGGTGCTACTTGATTCGAGTTGAGCAGTTGCTACAATTCCCCGCGTATTCAATAAGTACATCATAGGAACTGGACACTGCCGCGCACCGTTCGCCCTGGCACACGGCAACCGAGCACCACGAAACGTCACCGCGAAAGACGAGAATGTGGCTGCACGACAGGAATTTGAAGCGGTTCATGTACTGGTAACACATGTTTGCGTTTTGTTGAGACAAGTGCCTATGCTGGAGTTGAGGGATTTTGTTTCTTCGTTACTCGCAAACGGTGATTATTGTAGGAATATTGTAAATTATGTTCTGTTTACAAACAACGACCATTGCAAAGGAGGGCAAGCAGACCCCGTATTTATATAGTCCTTCACGGGGGAATATGTTGGATGATGGTAGCAACACGTGTGGCAACGTTGTCATGAGACTTCCATTCTTTCGTTGACAGCTCAGAGAGTGTTGAATCACTGGGATTCTGTCACTTATACACAACAAGATATTACGGATGGACGACCACTTGCTGCTGCCGGTGCTGTGCATGTTCAACGCAAATAAACATGCAACCCATCAAGTCATGCTATGGTCGGCAGCATTGTAAACGCAAGCAATATTTCAGTACGTAATTTAAAAAGATTCAAGGAACGGTGAACAATGTTGTCGCAGATTCCTCTTGAGGTTTTCAATTATTCAACTCTTTGTACCAATGTTCGAAGAATTTATTAAATAATTCTCGTGAAAGGTGGCTCTCTGGCTTCCCTTGCTCGAACTCCATCGCAAATCCTTATTGACCTTTAATCACAGCTGTCCCTCCACGGCCAGCACACACCCCTTAATAGCAGCTTCGACACCGACCATCGTATTCGATGGGCTCGCAATAGAAAGGGATGACGACCAGAGAGCATGCCTGGCCCAGCGACACGGCATACGCGCACCAAGTAATGTCCCCGTTGTAACTTTTAATGTGGCCGCATTGCGCGTATTTATACCGGTTTATGTACTGAGAACACATGTCTCCGCCGTGTTTTGACGTAAAGAACGGTGTTTTTGGTGAACTGGGACGGTGGTCGAGGTTGCAAGTAGAGTCTAATGATTGAAGAGGAATTCTTTTATTCTCTGCCTTTTTGTTACAATGACATTGTATGAACTGCGCTAGGCATGGCTGTTATTTATATTTTCACAGGGTGCATATTGAGACGTTTGTATGTGGGTTGACAACTTTGTCATGTTATTGATATTCAGCGATTCAACAGCACAGTGTCAGCGCCAGCGCTGAACCACTGCTTCTACAACTCTACAATCCTATGACATTCTTATTTCTCACTCTCCTCGTTCATCACCACCTTGAAAAAGTCAGACTTGTGCTTAGGCTTTGGGTGAGCCTTGTCGGCCTTGGCAGCGTCCGCCTGTTCGTCTTCAAACTCCATCTCGTGCTCCGGGTCCCCAACACACTCAGGGCACTTGCCCTCGACAACTATCATCTTCTCCTCATAGGGCGTCTCTAGACACTCATTCTCGAGGCGCACTGCGTCCTCGCACTTTTGTACGTCCGAGAATATCTTTGCCACGTGGTCGCAGTCGAAAAGGTAAGCGGTGACCTTGACCTTGCACATTTTGAGAGTTGTTCAAAACAGATGGGCAAGAGTAGACGTAAGGATAAATAAGGAATGCAGGTGTATCTTACTAGTTCAACGTGAAGCGGAGTCGACGTCGAAGATTGTGAGAGTGCCTTTGCTCCCTACTCGTTAAGAAAGCAATGTGTCGATGCGGTTGATTGTTTGCGTGAGTGATGGTGACTGGGAAAGATGAGATTGAATGCAATCGGAGGGAAGGGCTGGCAATATATATAGATCGTCGGGGTGACCGAACAACCAAAGTGAAAGGAAGTCATGACTTGAACACTTGAACAGTACGATCGAGATGTCCTCTGAATGTGCCCTTTGTTCTTCTTTGCGACCTTCATTGTGCCGTGATCTGGGGGTTCACACATTGCTTGTTCAGCGAAAAGAATTGCGAAAAAGCAAAAAAGCGACAAAGTGATCTTGCGGCCTCGGTGAACAATTCTCCATATCAGAACGTGCCGTGTTCATCGCACGTTCGAAGGTCATATCGTCGTAAACGGTCATATCGGCCGGAAAGTACGACGTCGATAGGGTGGCAGAAAGGCATTTTCTTAAAAACAGAAATGGCAGGATCAATTCAATACTTTCCAGAGCCAGCCACGACACCAGTAGTCCAAACCTAATTTATTTTTCAAAGTCGGAGTATTCCTTTTCCCGGTATTGGGCAGTCAAACGTGTTCCCTTCCTTATTACATTTCATTTTGTTCATGGTACCTTAAGACGAGCAGGAGCATCTCGTAGGTGGACTCTTAGACAAAATGTTTGAAGGTGCAACGGACATGTTTGCGGTCGACACTGTTCGGTATAGGCTTAGTGGTATTTTGACGTTTTCTCCAAGCACAGGTCTACATAAACGTCGATAATGTTGAAGAGGCGCTTTGTTCAACAACGCGCTCTTGCAGATTCGGTGAACGGTGCAAAAGTAGGATGTTCACAACACAACAACGACGTTCAGTGAACGTCAATAAACATCAGTGAAAAGAATGACCTTGAACGTCGACTACGAAAATGAACAACTGCGCAATACCGCAAACACATGCTCTTGTTCGGCATAAGACAAGAAATGTATAAAACGGCCGTGTTGTATCGTAAACGTTGATTTGTCTTGTCGTCTTTCTCGTCACCCACAACAAGTCTCAACATACCCAAACACTCAAATACTCGTCTTCAAAATGTCTGGTAGCCCGGTCTTCCACGTCAAGTACAATTGGTGCGAGTGTGAGGAGCACAAAGATGCCTCATACTCGTACGATCAGTTGTTCTTGGATGTGGTTCGCGGACGCCAAGCCAAGCTCAACTACGAGACAGTGGACAACGTGTTCCACGTCTACGTCAACTTCCATGGTCCATGTGCGGACTGCGAGCGCGAGGCGATCGAGACTGCCAAGGCCGAGGAGGCTGAGAAGGGCTCCGCTGCCAAGTAAGAAGGGCAGCTGGGTTTTATTTCATGCCATCTATGTTGATTGAGATAATGGTTGCAAACCCTTAGAGGCTGGTTATGGGTCACTTTTTTCTTTTCTTTTCTTTTTTTCTTTTTTTTTTCACCTTTGTTTCTTTTTATATTCGTTTTTAAAATAAGTTTAAATTCAAAAAAAAATTAAAAAGAATACTCACGATTCTTTCAGGCCTTACTAATAGGTGACTTCAATGCTTACAGGACGAACAAGTGTCTCAAAAATCAGTTGGCTAATAATTCTTTCGAGAACTTATAAAACTCCTCTGGATCCATCAAGTCGTTTGAAATTGATGGAACTTGTCTCTATTTCATAACAGATGAAGTTCATAAGTAGCCCGCACGACAGCCAAGTTGATATCATCACGTGACTCTATCTGGAAGACAGGTCGATCTCGACGTGGGCAATAATTAATTATCTGCCATTCCCAAAAGTAATTCAGGTGTGTTAATACCTCCCAAATATAGACTGCGCGTTGTAGAAATGCAAGTTTTGACTTGTCCCTGATCCAAGTCCTTGACCACACTCGACATTTCGACATGTCAACACGCTGGGAGAATACCCATTTATTGATTGGCTGACCGGTGCCTCCAGTCGCTCTTGCCGCTTGGAGGCAAAGCGCGCATTAGTCAAAATTCCGGGTTTCGTAACAGAGGTTCTGGAAGGCGCTAAGAAGTCGCAGCTAAGACAGTGAAGGCCAGGGCGTGACAACCATCAAAGCGGGCGACCATCACCACGACACAGCATAGGACGCCGGCAAAGTCCTACGACATCCGTACGCACGCCACAATCACGTCTCGGCGACGCAGGTACCCAAAGGACTGCAGACGGCGTTACGAAGTATCTTCAGCTGCCGCGGCAAAACAGGCGGCCACACGACGCTGACAACTTGCCGTTCTTCATTCTTTGGCCCAATTTGTCACCAACAAAAACGATTCTCTTCCTCTCCCAACGGCCGCCTCCTCACAAAGCCACATAGCTGCTGATCACGACTGGCACCTGAACCCGCGTCTTCCGCTCTCCATCTTCTGGCCGGACCCGAAATATGTGGGTTCTTCGACGGGCCCCGACAACAGAGACGTCGTCCCCTGCCGGGAGTAGCAGACGCGCGAGCGAGAACGAGAGCGAGAGCAGCCGCGACGGCAGCACAAGTGCCTGCTGATCACCAAGCACGTCGACCGAGGAAGGATATACTAGAATATCAGAGAGACATCAGAGAAACATCAGAGGCATATAGACAGACAAGATGCCGGGACTACCGGGTGTGTATCACCGAGGAGAGCGTGCTGACCGATGGACCGAAATCAGAGAGTGCTGACCCTCCCGTCACAGCCTCCGTCGACCTCGACGAGTGCATCGAGCGCCTCTACAAGCGCGAGCTGCTCGCCGAGTCGCTCATCGAGGCCATCTGCGCCAAGACCAAGGAGCTGCTCATGCGCGAGAGCAACGTCGTGCACGTGCGGGCCCCAGTCACCGTCGTCGGCGACATCCACGGGCAGTTTTACGATCTCATTGAGATCTTCCGCATCGGCGGCTACTGCCCGGACACCAACTATTTGTTCCTGGGCGACTACGTCGACCGCGGCATGTTCAGCGTCGAGACCATCTCGCTGCTCGTGTGCCTCAAGCTGCGCTACCCTAACCGCGTGCACCTGATCCGCGGCAACCACGAGTCGCGCGGCGTCACGCAGTCGTACGGGTTCTACACCGAGTGCGCGCGCAAGTACGGCAACGCCAGCGTCTGGCACTACTTTACCGACATGTTTGACTTTCTGACCCTCAGCGTCGTCATCAACGACCAAATCTTTTGCGTGCACGGCGGCCTCTCGCCGTCCATCCACTCCATTGACCAGATCAAGATCATCGACCGCTTCCGCGAGATCCCCCACGAGGGCCCCATGGCCGACCTGGTCTGGTCCGACCCGGACCCCGACCGCGACGAGTTCTCGCTGAGCCCCCGCGGCGCCGGGTACACCTTTGGCGCCCAGGTCGTCAAGAAGTTTCTGGCCGTCAACGGCATGTCGCACATTCTGCGCGCGCACCAGCTGTGCCAGGAGGGCTACCAGGTGCTCTACGACGACCGGCTGAGCACCGTGTGGAGCGCGCCCAACTACTGCTACCGGTGCGGCAACATGGCGAGCGTGCTCGAGGTCAGCGACACGGGCGAGCGGTTCTTCAACGTGTTTGCGGCGGCTCCCGAGAACGACCTGCACAAGGACCTGCAGCAGACCAACGGCAACGCCGACAAGGTGGGCGACGCCGGCGCGCTGCCCGACTACTTTTTATAGCCCCCGCCCTACACCCCCTTTCCTTTTGTGTTTTATATCCCACGCTGCACGTTTTGTCATGTCCGGTCATTGTTTCGTGCTTTTCTTTTTCACTCATTTTCACCATAGTTCTGCATCCACAGGCCTGTATGATATTCTTCCCAATATGACGTGTCTATTTTCGAGTATTCGTACGAGGCAATATCCACGCCCTACGCTCAACGGTGATGGATATCAAAATTGATTTGTATTGCTATGAATGGTAAGATTGGAAGACATATACAATCAGTTGTCTTCGCTTCGTCCTGCTTTCTGTACGTTATGGCGCGCCACCGTCTTCCCCCTCTCGTTCCCTTGTAACCAACGCAAAAGTCGTTAAATCGTGTTTTCGTATATGTTGTCCGTGGCCTTGGCCTGGCCGTGGACCAGGCGAGGAGTGCTCAATACCCCCACCGCCGGCGGAGGTGTCTACCAGTCCTTGGCAATGTCAAAGCTCCACTCAAACGCCAGGTGCGTCTTCTTGTCGTCGTCCACAAAGCTCGACGACGCGACGTAGTGGCCGCGCGCCAGCATGCCGCTCGGTGCCTCGTCCTCCTGGAAGCGCTTCGTGTACAGCGGCTGCTTGTCCGTGTTGGGCGCGTAGCTGCCCAGCATCTCGCTGTCCTTGCCCACGCGCACGCCCTTGCGCTTCACCACCTGCACGTAGCGCAGGCCGCTCAGCACCTCGTGCTGCACCTTGAACGTCGCCACCATGGTGAACCGCGAGCCCTCCTTGATGGTGAACGGGTGGTCCTTGAGCGTGGCCTCCGAGCCGGGCACGCTCAGGTCGATCGTCACGGGCTCGCGGCCGGGCGACTCGAGCGTCAGGCTCTGGATGATGCAGACGCGGGCATCCGACGGGTCGCTCAGGTCCTTGCCGCCGCCGAGGCCGAGGGACTCCTTGTAGCGCTGCAAGGATTCGTCGCCGGCATCTGGGGGGGAATAGTCAGCATGTGCAGTCTTTGTGCTTTCTGTAGAGCTCGTCTTGACGGATGCATGTCGAGCCGCTGGCAGCAGGGCTGGTGACGGGAGACAGTGAGGCCGCAGCGGAGTGGGCATCCTTGCTGTTGGTGCTCGGTATGCCCCTTCTCCTGCTTCGTCGCACGGCATTGAGGGTCGCCGAGCTCGCCGGAACAGGCAGTTCATTCACTGCTCATAGATCACCACCTCCCTGACGTCAAACCCAGCACATTCCGTACGTACCCATTTGCTGGTAAGTCGCCAGGCTCTGCTTCGGCTGGGACAGCTTGTAGCCGGGCGTGCCCTCGTGGAGGTCGTCGTCGTGCTGCTGTGTGGCCATTGTGTGGAAGGAGGGGAGACGCGGAAGTAGAAGTAGTTGGATGGATTTCGGTGACGGGGGAGGAGTAACTGGAGGACGAGTGGTCTTCGGTCGTCGGTCGTGGTCGTTCGATGGGCTTCGCAGGTTTGTGGGTAGAAAGAGGAGAGAAGATGAAGCAAGTCCGTCAACAGAGACGAGGTTCAAGATGTCGGTGGGCAAACGGGGTCCATTAGTAGTAGTCTAGTCCTGTCCTCGTAAGATACGTACATTGGTAGTCCTGTGGCCCTCGGCGTTCTTTCCCTTCCAAGAGGCCTGTAAACAAGGAAATCAACAATTCGACAGCCAACAACGAGAGCTCGACCGTTCCTTCTCCTTCCCCTGACTGGCTCCTTGGCTCTTTCCTCCACTTTCTCCTTGGGATGAGGGGTACTCTTTTGCGTCAGCGCACTCTAGAACTGGACCTTGCCTCCTTTTGAGCTCGTTAATGGTGGGGTCCTTCTGGGGTGGGCTCGATCATAGGCGGTGAGTGACCGTTTGCGGGCCGCGCTTGCCCTGGATTAGCCTCGTATCCATCCACAGTAGATGTGCTGGGACTTGCACCAATTCTAGGACTACTGTGTATTCTGTACACGATTGCGACATGCATGCTCTAACGGCCCTGGCGGTGAACCAGACTGGTGTACGGACTGTGCTGTTCGACTCTACATCTCAGTGTTGCGAATTTGCGGTCCTCAGGGACCTTGGCTGATTGGGCTTGGCAGGGACTTCTGGGCTGTTGCTCTCTGGAACACGCCAGCCTTATGGCGCCTTTTTACAGAGTAATATTCTATTGCCACTCGGCAATGGGCGCTGTAAAAGCAAACTCTGGTAAGATATCTTAGCTGGTTGGCCGGGACTTGACGATCTCAGCGAACACGCCACCAAGTGTGCCAGACCCGTTTCATCGCCTCTGCTGTATCCAATGGCCAGGATGCCGGCTGGAAACATGCACAGCTAAGAGTATCTCTGACAGGAGAAACAAATGTCCCATCGAAGCACGACTTTTGAGGCTCTGCCTTCCTTCCTCAAGCAACGTGCCTGCCGTTTGTGGCCACCTGGCTGCCGTGCCGTTAGCCCGACGCGCACCGCTCGCCTGGCCGCCGCTCCCCAACAAATTGAGTGTTTGTGGCACCCTCCATTTTGGCTGCGACTATGTCGAACACGGGGCCAGTGCGCTAGATTTCCCTAGGGTGCCTGAGTCTGCCCTGAACCGGGGTTCACCAGGCGACCTGGCATCCCTGTGGCCGAATCGGAAGACTTTGAAAGTGGCTGCCATCGCCCACGTTTTTCTGCGTCCCTATTTGCACATAACCCCACAGGGTCCGCTGAGCGTCATTCCCTCGAGTCCTCCTTGGCCTTCTTGACCTTCAGCCCCTGTCTCTTGCATTTTGCCAGTGCAGCTCTTTCCACACGCTACGGCGTTTTAGGGTACTTGGTAGGCACAGTCACGCTTACCCCCGACCGTGAACAAGAAGAGCCCAGCGCGTAATAAGTCTCAGGTGTCTAGACCGCTCAGTTCCAGATACCCTTAAGGCGCCCACCTGTATCGCACCTTTTGCGCAGCATCTTTTTGGCGCCTCCGCGTACTTCTATGCACACTGTATCTGACTTTGTCGTAATTTCCCGCACTTTGGCACGTTCCCACGCATTTTTAGCACTAATCTGCCGTTGCGTAGCCTCATTTCGCCCGTATTGTCCCTTCCTCTTTCGTCTTTTGAGTGCTTCAACGCTGGTTCGCCGCAGACTGGCACTATCTACACAGACCCTAATTGCACATCTCATCAAGTAACTCCCTAGGCCACCCACGACGCTAAGTTCCCGCCCCGGAACACCTGAAAACCCACACGCGACCACCACCATTCCCTAATCTGCTCCCATTCCTGCCTAAAAAGCGCCTAAACGCACCCCTGTCTTTCATTTCTCGCCGCTTTTCTTTGTCGTCGCGACGACGCGCCTTTTCAGCTCTCTCCCCTTCTTTTCACTCACCAATCCCATTTATTGTCGTCAACACCGTCTGTCCGATCGAGGCGCAAACGAAAAGGTGATTAAGGCGCTCTGCTATTGTATGCATGGTCCGCGGTGATATCAACAATCGCGAATGCATGGCATATGTGCTGTGCCGTTTTATTTCTGTGTTTTGGTCCTTGCTTTTTGGCTTCTTTTGTTTGTCGCGCACGCGCTGACCACTTTTTGGGACACAATCGAACAGGTCGCTTTCTACCTTGCCACACCCCGGAAACAATCGAATCCGAGACCGCGACAGCCGGGACGAACAGCCAATTTGATTCGACCGAGAGGTTCCTTGCATCGAAAGCGCGTCGTATTTTGTCCTCGAAATTCGATCGCATCGATTTGTGTAGCCTGACGAGATTGTGGCGCGTCGCAGCCCAACACATCCGCTAAACCCACTATATCGTCTGGCCAACTGTCCACTGTCGCGACTCCGCCTCCGCCTCTCACCCGCACTCTGATACCATCACTACCCGCAAGTCGCACCAACACCCACATCCGCAATGGCCCCTTCACAGAGACGTCTTCCCGAGCGGAAGAATGCCCTCCTGACCGAGTCGGTTCCTGAGCGTTCGTATTTCCCTGATACTTGCTATTGTCCATTGTCGTCTATTGTCCACGTTCGTTGCGTCCTGTCGAGGGCCACACCCATGCATTCGCCGTTATTGCCTGGCGCCTGTGTGTTTAGCGCTTTGGAAAGCGCGACGAATGGTCTTTCTTGAAGCGCGCCTCGACTAACCCGCTGACCTTTTTTTGCAGACGAGGAACTTGTCTCGCGCCGCCGACTCGGCCAGACCTAGCTCTCTGCGCGCCTCGTCGCCGTGTCGCCCAGCTCGAACGCGGAGCGCAACAGTGTCACCGCGTTCGACTATGCGCACCTGCGCGCGCCGCTGCCCAAGGGCATTGTCTCGGGCATCTTCAAGCCCAGCCCGAACAGCTACTTTCTGATGCGCCGCAGCAGCGACGGCTACGTGTCCGCGACCGGCATGTTCCGCGCCACGTTCCCGTACGCGGAGCTCGAGGAGGAGGAGGAGGAGCGTCGATATATCAAATCGCTGCCCACCACCAGCCCCGAAGAGACCGCCGGTAACATCTGGGTGCCACCTGTCGACGCCCTGGCCCTGGCCGGCGACTACGACATCCTGCCCTGGATCCGCGCCCTGCTCGATCCGGCCGACATCCCCGTGTCCGGCCCGCCGGCCGCCGACGGCAGCCCGTCCAAGAAGATCGTCCCGCCGCCCAAGTTCGCCCTCGCGCCCACCCCGCCGACCCTGGTGCCGCCAACACCGACCTCGCTGCCGCGCAGCGCCCGCTCGCGTCGCTCGGTGAGCCCGACCAAGTCGGCCACGGGCACCAGCAAGCGCGCCATTGCCAGCCCGCGCAAGCGCAGCACCAAGGCGGCGGCAGCGGCGGCTGCGGCGGCTGCCTCGCAGGAGACGTCGGTTGCGAGCACCGAGAGCACCCCTGCGCCGCAGTCTGCGGGCCTGACGAACGGCGACGGCAAGGACGTCCTCCCCTCGGTGGAGGAGGAGGAGGTGGTCAAGGACGCCAAGGACGCCAAGGAGTCCAAGAAGGAGAAGAAGGAGAGGAAGCACGCCAAGAAGAAGTCGGACGCCTCTGTGGCCGCCGACAAGGTCTTCACGGCCGGCTCGGACGGCGACGTTCTCCTGGCTGGCCAGCCGCTGTCGGCCGAGGACTCGGCGCGTCTGCTGGCCGAGGCCAAGGCGATGGTGGCCGAGGCCGCCAACGACGTGGCTGAGGCGGCTGCGTCTGCTGCGTCTGCTGCCGGCGCGTCGTCCAAGAAGGGCAAGCGCAAGGCCGAGGAGCAGATCACCAAGGACGGCGAGGCGGGCAAGGAGAACGCCGGCGAGGGCGCGGCGACGCAGCAGCCGCGGGCCAAGAAGATCAAGACGGACGTGCAGATCCGCAAGGAGCGGGTGCGCAACCGGGCCCTGCTGGGCATCAGCGCGACCCTTGCTGTTGGGTACGTTTATGCCGCCATTGTGAATGGATGATGCAAATCTTCTCTTGCTAACACATATAGCGCTTTTATCCCCTATGTCATGGGCATGTTATAAGACGAGACGAACGAGAAACGGGACGGAAGACATTGTGCGACCAGAGACAGACGTGTTTACACACTACTTAATCCACTACAACGAGACTGGAGAAAGGAGGGATAGTCGGCCTTGTTTTGGGGTCGTGTTGGAGAAGCGCCGTTTTGTTTATTTCCCCTGTCGTTTTTTTTTTTTTGGTAGTTGTTCCGATCCCCTTTCCTCCTCATCTCATTCGCTCCCGTCTGTTTTGGTTTCTTTCTTGGGAGCTGAAGCTGCTTTCCGTCTCTGGTCCTGTCTCCCTCCGCGTACACACCACCAACCTCAAAATCCCCCGTTGTGTCGTTGTTTTCCATGTATCACCCTACCCCGGTTGTTTTTGGATGTGTCTTTAGTTTGTTTTTGCGTTTATGTTTTGACCATTTTCATTGTTTTTTTACCCCCGTCCGCAACCTTACTACCTTTGTATTGATTCGTTTCTCTCTTCTTGGACATACCCCCCCTTTGAGTAGTTTTCGCGCTTGTTTGCCGCCGACTTGGAACAGTCCGATGGACACAACTTGCGCCTGCTTGAATCACTGTACTTTCTTCACGTTATAAACGCGTATCTCTCTCTCTCTTGGCAGCTATATGTGATGCACTTTGTCGGCCTGGCCTGTTTGTGCAGTTCACACAGTAAGCAACAAGACGGATATCAAGGCATGTCGTATCACACCTATAGTGGATTGTAGTTAGTTCACCGCAAGTCGAATGGCAACAGAAGAAATGTATGTGCCGCAAAAATCGAACGTGGCAACTACATCCTATTTCACAGATCTCGACAATTTCGTGATTCTCAACTCCCGAGCGTCGAGTTGAGTGTTGCGTTCGTAACTGCCATTCTTCACCGCTTTCAGACGCGACTCTCTCGGACCCATTTCTGGAGCGACACCCAATGCGGACAGCTGTCCGCACAGAATAAATTAGGGAGTTTGCAGGGTAAAAAACGCAAGGGAAATGAGAGCGGACAGGCACATGGACAGAGCGCCAAAACTCGACATTCAAGTTGAAAATTTCGCACGTCTTCTTCTCTCCTGTTCCTTCCTTCTTTTTGTCACCAAAAGCACTTCTGTTCACAATGTCGCGCCTTCCTGATTGAAACAAGAAACGTGAGCTCCCCGAGGGCAAGTGCATCCTCGGGGACGCTGCTCTTTTTATATTATATTTATTTTTGTCCGACTTTGTCAACTTTCCATTGCCTCCTTCCCCGGACCTGGCGTGGTCGGTTCAGTGCCTTGGTTTAGGCCTCTTGGGGTCAGTGGACGCGCCGCAAAGGCGCTGTCGGTGGCTAACCGCGCGTGGCTCAAAAACCGGCCTACTCGGCAATCTGCGGCTTTCGGAAAACAGTACCCCTCCTCTTTCTGCTGTGTGGCTCTGCGGGAGTCCCCCAAGGCCGTCCAACCCCATATTCTATGCCCACATTTGACCCTTCTGGACCAGTCGTGCGCATTTCTGGGGAGCGTTTGTCTCCCCGCAGGCCATGAGCTCGCCTCTTGGCCGGGTTCCTCACGGTACCTCGTGCTGTTTTGTTGTTCCTGAACCAGAGACAGCTGTCAGCTGCCATTTTCTTTTCCATTGTCGAGGGACCGAGTGTCTGAACCATTTTTTCTTCGTGCTGGCCTTTTTCGTCTGTTTTGTTGCTTACCTCTTTACATTGGAGATTGGGAGCATCCAAGTGACAAAGTCAACCGACATTCCTCCTTTCTCTGCCTCTCCTCACCACCACACGCACAATGCGACCGGCTACGCGTGTACTGCGCCAGGCGCGTCTCGCGCATCCGACGGCGGCGGCCCGGCGGCTGTTTTCTTCGTCGCCGGCACGGCTCGAGCAGTACGGCTTCATCGGCCTCGGCCAGATGGGATACCAGATGGCCAAGAACCTGCAGAGCAAGCTGACGCCGGCGGACTCGGTGCAGTTGTTTGACATCAACAAGGCGGCCGTGCAGAAGCTGGCGAGCGAGGTGTCGGCGACGGGCGCGGCCGTGGAGGTTGTGTCGAGCGTCGCCGATGCGGCCAAGAATGCGGTACGTTTTCCCATCTCGTTTTATATGTATCTATATATATGTTCCCCTACACATGGTCCGATGATGAGTATGTTTGTATGATCTAAGTTGGGGCTGGTGTCAGATCTGGCCCTCTGATGATTATTAAATCTTTGAAAGCCAATCCTCTGAGGTCTCTCTTTGTCTACGTTCGTTTTGTGTTCTCGCTACGCTCGCCGTTCCTTCACACTAACGACCGGCAGGACTACGTCGTCACGGTTCTGCCGGAGCCCGTGCACGTCAAGGGCGTCTACAAGGAGATCCTGGCCGGCGGCCTCGCCCCCGCGTCCACGCCGTCGAAGAAGCCCGTGTTTGTCGACTGCTCCACCATCGACCCCTCGACGTCCCGCGCCGTGGCCGCCACCGTCCAGCACGCCGGCGGCGATTTTGTCGATGCGCCCATGTCGGGCGGCGTCGTCGGCGCCACGGCCGGCACCCTGACGTTCATGCTCGGCTGCCCCCAGCACCTGGTGCCCGCCGTCGAGCCGCTGCTGCTGCACATGGGCCGCCGCGTGCTGCTCTGCGGCGACCAGGGCGCCGGCCTGTCCGCCAAGCTAGCCAACAACTATTTGCTGGCCATCAACAACATTGGCACCGCCGAGGCCATGCACCTGGGCGTGCAGTGGGGCCTCGATCCCAAGGTGCTCGCGAGCGTCATCAATGTCAGCACGGGCAAGTGCTGGCCGTCCGAGGTCAACAACCCGGTCGCAGGCGTCGTTCCGACGGCGCCGGCCAACCGGGACTATGCGGGCGGCTTCGGCATCAGCCTCATGAAGAAGGATCTGAAGCTGGCGATTGCGGCGGCCGAGGAGGCGGGCGCAAAACTGGCGCTGGCGGACTCGGCAAGGGGTCTGTACGAAGCCGCGGAGCAGGACGAGTCGTGCAAAGGTCGCGACTTTTCGGTTGTGTACCGGTACCTGGGCGGCAAGGAGTAGGGCGGCGCTGTAGAAAAACAAAATGGGGGCAGGTGGAAGCTCTAAGCCGTACGGTAAGGTTGTACATAGTTATGAATTAAAAATAGACGAAAATCATTTTCCAATTTGGCACATTCTGTGTAGGAATCTGCGGATCGGATAAGGAGCCGAACCACACAGAGTATGTAAGGTCTGACAGTGGAAGCTAAAGTGAGCCGAGAGCCGTGAAAGATAATTTTAATAAACGGCGACCAAGTCACCCTGAAGAGTGGGCGGGGCCAACCGCTAGAACGCGGCGCAACCCACACTGCGAGACCGGTGGAATAGATAGTCCGCTTTGGCCGACAATGCTGACATTCCACACGTCGACGATGCTGCCAAGCAATTGGCAGTGCTCCATGTCGCAGATGCAAGCCAACGACCTGCCAGTTCGGGCATCGAGATAATAGCAGTTGTGGGTGTTGTGAGTCGATGTGGATGTGCGGTGCTTTCTGTAGGGCTCGACAGTGGCTCATGGCCAGACACACAGGCGTGATACAGCCTGACAGCGGACCGCCACCACGCTGTCGCGTTCTTTGCACGTGGCGGATAGTGCTCTGAAATACTTCCTTCAGCGCCTTTGGGCTAGTCTCAGTGCACAAGTGCTCCACCCATCGCCGGAAGTGGCTGTTTCCGAGGCTAGCTGACAGGGAGGGAAAGCAGGTGCGATGGATACGACAAGGCGAAACGACGTGGAGGACATTCACCAAACGGACCCCGACGAGAGCATATTTTCGGAAGGGGATGGAAAAGACGAGGAGAAAGAGGAGGTCAGTGAGGCCAAGGCCGTCGAAGGCTTTTGTACTTTTCACATGTTTGCTGAGGATGAAGATGTGGATGAGATGAGATGATGTGGACGGCAGTCACCAAAATGCGGTGCCTAAATAGGCAGGCAGGATGCACAGGAGACACGGACAGACTCTCAACACCGATTTACTCAAAGTTATCAGTGTTCATTCACCAACATCAAGCCAGAAGCTTGAGAATGTAGCTTCGAAAGTATGAGACCAGAGGAATGTTTACAACCGGTCCTGGGAGCTGAGACGTTGGTTATGATCTACGTTGCTTTTCGATCTCATTCTTTATATTCCAATTCTCTGTGTCTTCAAGGTTCGTCCACGCTTTTTGACAGGTATGCCCTATCGTATTATTATTCCTTAATTACATTATGACTCCGTAGCTTGACGCTTGCTCAAAATGCCCTATTTTCTCACTCTCACCTCCGGTCCCAACTACTGGCTCTGGTTGGGCCCGCTTCAATTTCTGTGTCTCCCAGTCCCAGTCTTTCGATGCACTAAATCGACACGCGTGTCTCGCTAAAACAAAGTGGTGCGTGCCCTCTGGTCTTGGCTTTGCTTGCTCACCCGCATCTGCACAGCGAACTGGCAATGGCCTCGTACGGACCTGTCTTCCTGCGTCGGCGTTCGGAAACTTTTCTCCTCTCGCGAATCAGGTGCTTCCTTTTACCAGCATGGTGTTGTCTCTGCCCCATCCCGTCCGTCGTCCGCCGTCTTGGCTCACCTCGACGGCCAAGCGAGTTGGTGATGGGCAAATCTGTAATAATACAACTGGGCAAGGAATTAGGAACGGAAATATAGGGGCTGCTGGCGGCTCATAGATTTTGTTTCCAAAGACCGCAAGACTGTCCTGAAATTGATAAACAATACGACGTAGCGTACAAGCAGAACAAAATAAAAACAAATTCTCTGTACCATCGGGATGTAGCAGGCGCAAACAGTCATGGAGTCCGAATGCAACCCTCGCTTCCAAGTGCCCCACCGAGCCCGCCATCAAGACCTCGCTTGCTGGGGCTCGCTTGTGCTTCTGCGTTGCTTTCGCTGCTAATGCTCCCTCGCTTTTGAGTTTAGGCTTGGTTCGCGTGTGATCCCTCCAACGGTCCACAGTATTCGTGTTTAGTGTGTCCGTCTGTTTCCTCGTTCTGTCCGGCGCTTGTCTCCCGGGGCCCCTTTCCTAATAGGTGTGTTTTTCTTTCACTTTTTTTTTGGTTCGTACTCGCATCCGTCACTACAAAGCAAGCTGGTTTCGATCGTTGTTATTTTCTCCCGCCTGTATCTTTTCTTTTTCCTTTTTTCCCCTTTGATTTCTTGCATTCTTTTATCTGTTCCCCATTTATCGTCAGGTCGCACGATGCGGTAGATTGTCAACAGAGGCCCTCGACTGAATAGCCTCCTATTTATATAAACAATCCGCCACTTATCCGCCACTTTGCCTAACAACCAACCCGACGACCCCGAGTCGGACGCGTCCACCACCATGGCATCGACTGTCAACGTCACGGCGCATCCGTTCAAAAACTGCAAAGAGGTCTCGCCCTCCTGCCCCGTCCAGGCTACCACGCTCGGCTACTATCCCAATGTCGGCATCAACGCCTTCTTTGCCGCCGGCTACGGCATTGCCACGGCTGCCCTGCTGATCACCCTCATTTTCGGCCTGCTCCCCCGCCGCACCTGGAGCTATTCGTGCTTCATCGCCGCCGGTGCCGCCCTCGAGCTTGCCGGCTACGCCTCCCGCGTCCCGCTGCACGCCAACCCGTGGGACCAGAGCGCCTTTGAGACCCAGATCTGCGCCATCATCCTCGCACCCACCCTCATCTGCATCGGCATCTACCTGACCCTGCAGCACGTCTGCCTCGCCCTCTGCCCGGCCCTCTCCCGCATCCGCCCCACGCTCTACCCTTGGGTGTTCGTGCCGCTGGATGTCAGCTGCCTGCTCATCCAGGCCGCCGGCGGCGCCATTGCCGCCTCGGCCGGGTACACCAACACCAAGCTGCTGAATGCCGGCAACCGCCTCATCATCGCCGGCATCGTCCTGCAGGTCGTCGTCCTCGCCTTCTTTGGCCTCGCCTCGCTCGACTACTTCATCCGCGTCAAGGCCTGGATCGCCGGCCGCGACCGCCGCGGCCGCCAGCCGACCGAAGCCGCCCTCGCCCTCTGGCACCACCGCCGCTTCCGCACCTTTATCATTGCCGTCACCATCGCCTACGGCTGCATTTTGATCCGCTGCATCTACCGCATCGCCGAAATGGCCGGCGGCTGGGGCAACAAGATTATGCAGGACGAGCCGTCCTTCATCGTCCTCGAAGGCTTCATGATTATGATTGCCGTCGCCATCCTGGCCGGCTTCCAGCCGGGCTACTTCTTCCCGCAAATGGGCAACGGCCGCAAGCAGCGCCGGGCGGCCGAGGCGGCGGCTCTGCAGGCCAACGGCGGTGGCGAAGCTGGTTCGGAGGGGGAGGCGGCAGCTGCGGAGGCACCGGCAGCCGCCACGGCCCACGTGAACACCGACACGGAGACCGAAAAGAACGAGAAGATCAACCCGGCGGCAACCGACCAGGACGCCGCTGTTGAGGCATCCAGGTGATGAATGCTATTTCAAAAGATGCCTTGAGACAAGTGGTATTACTTGACCGATATCCAGCATGCGTTTCATTGTTTCATTTTTACATATTCCTTCTCATCTATTTACTTTCATCGTTTTGTACTCATACGAATTTCATCCAATCACATCTAGACTAGACTTACACTCGCTTGCAATGGTACTCTTGCAACAATATACTCTCTTTACTTATGATTGATCACAGTGCATTCTGTCCGTTTGCAGATGACATGCAGGCAATGAGTCCTCGAATATTTCTCAAGTAAGATCGTCGCATTATTGTGCCGTCCATAAAGGCAGCCAGGTAAATGGGTTCAAAGCATATTTGTCAATGCAAGAAAGTACGCCATACACGGGTCTTATTATTAACCTTAATTCTTAGGTATTTGTACAAACGTCGTTCTTGGCTGTCGATTGACCGTTGCCTAGAATTAGGGCTGTTCTCCGGATGTTTAAGGCGTGTATTGCGTCGATTTCCTAGTCGGCTATTGGAGGAGCCTGCGCGATGTCCCCCACTTCTACTTACAGCACCACGTAACAACGCACTCGCACCTACCCTTTGCGTAAGCCGGCCGCATCATCACTGCAAGAAAATATGGTTGACTACCGTTGATCTGGAAGATAAAGAAGGAGCGAGCGGCTCTTGAACTCTTTCCTCCGGAGAGGGGAAATTGTGGCCAGTTTCATATACGGAAGGAATGATCGAGAGCTCTTTCTTCAATTGACACCACGATTGCTCGCTCCTTTTTTCTTTTCCGTGCATCTCCCGCCGACGCACCCAAAATGGTTCTCCAACAGAAACTCACACCCGAGACGTTTCTCGCAGCACCGCAACGGTCGGGCGCCGTGCCCTGTCCGTCTGGCCGCATCGCCTATTTTACCGTGTCAACGCATAGCTTTGTCGACGATGGCAACATCAAGGGCACGACCAAGAAGGAGCTGTTCATGCTGGACGTCAATAACGGCAATTCGTGGCCCTTTGTCGTCGACAAATCGAATGATGTCAGCAAACTGGGCGACATGGCCTGGATCCCCGGGTCGGCGGACGAGCTGCTGTGGCTACGGCCAAACGAGAACGGGTCAACAGACGTCGTCGTGGGCAAGGCTACGTACCACGAAATGGACCACCCGTCGTTCAAGCCCTATGTCGCCGGCCATGTGGCAGCCCCCATCAAGGCCCTCCGTCTCAAGGCCCTGCCGGATGGGTCTGTGGCCTTTGCCGTGGCTGGTCAAGTCGGCGCGGATGGACAGCTCTACAACGAGAAGATGCGGTTCCCACCCCAGGAGATCTCGCCCCTCGACCAGCTGATCGACTTTGACTACGATCCGTCTAGATCGGTCGAGCCCACCATTCCAGAGCCTCCTTCACCTCCCCAGCCAGGCAGCTCAGCCCGCATCTACGACACCTGGCAGGTCCGAGCTTGGGACCGCTATCTACCGCCCCAGCCATACGCCATCTGGTACGGGTCGCTCGCCCGGCGCCCGTCGTCGTCGGCCTTGCCCGACGACCGGACTTTTGTCTGGTCTCTAAGTGATCTCCACAACGCTCTCCAGCATGCGCCTCCGCGCTTCGAGGCCCCCTTTGGTATCTTCGATCCGCTCGATCCGACCGCCTCGTATGACATTGGCGCCCAGGGCGTCGTCTTTGTCGTCCGCGACCCGGCCCCGGCCAATATGCACCACACCAGCTGCACCGAAGTGTACTATGTGCCGCTGGACAGCTTTGCATCGCCGACGGCATACAAACCAGCGCGCATCCGGGTGTCGCATACAGCGGCCAGCACCAGTCCCGCGTCGGCATCGGGCGGCAGTCCTCCTGGCCTTGCTCTCAACCCGCGCTTCTCGCCCGACGGGACAATGGTCGCGTTTCTGTGGGCCCCGCTCACCTGCCCTGCCGACCTCCGCGTGCATCTCGGCCACATTGTCTCGGGCGCTGTGCACGACGCGTCGATCGTCGTGGCCGGGCCGGGAGAAGAGGCGGCGCTCTCCCGCGACGGTCCCGTGCCGGATGCGTTTGAGTTTGCTCCGTCCGGCAAGGCTGTCTTTATCAAGGGTCGCGACTGCGGCCGAGCAAGCCTGTTTGTCATGGAGTTGCGGGCCGGGGCACGGCCACGGCGGATCAGTGGCGGTCGGGGATCCGTCAGTGAGTATTACGTGATCCGGCGCGAAGGCCGCCGACCCGACGACGATCGTCTGTCGTCGTACTCGGTGCTGATTTCTGGCTCGTCTCTTGTCGACAGCCGCTTCTTCCACATGGTCGACGTCGAGGACGACGGAGACACCGACACCTTTGAGCCGCGCGTTATTTCCACCGCCACCAAGGACGGAGCGCGGTTTGGTCTGTCGTACGACCACCAAGTGTCGGAAATGTACTTTGAGGGCGGTGGTTTGGACGACAACGACGGTGACAACAGCGACGGCGGCAACGGCAACGGCAACGGCAACGGCAACGGCAACGGCAACGGCCACGGCCACGGCCACGGCCACGGCAACACAGCTGCGGGCTACTTTGTCCATGCTTGGGTGGTCCGACCATCCAACCACGGCAAACCAGGCTCGCCTGCCAAACTGCCCCTGGCCCTCGTTGTCCATGGCGGGCCGGAGAGTGCGTTCGACGACGAGTGGCACATGCGCTGGAACGCCGCCGTGTGGGCCGAGCAGGGGTACGCGGTTGTCATGCCCAACATTACGGGCAGCGTTGGCTTTGGTCTCGACCACACCACACGCATCTACAACAACTGGGGCGGCTCGCCGTACCGCGATCTTGAAAAATGCATGCTGGCCCTCCAAGACGTTCCTGACATTGACTGCAGTCGTGCCATTGTCGCCGGCGGCAGCTATGGCGGCTACATGGTCGCGTGGCTGCTGGGCAGCCCCCTGGGCAAGCAGTTCAACGCGGCCGTCTGTCACGACGCCGTCTTCACAACCGAGTTTATGGGCCTGACATCCGACTTTTCTGATGGCCTTGCCACGTTTTCGGGCCCTGGGTACGCCTGGGAGAACAACGACAACATCCAGCGGTACAACCCGGCCCGCCCGGACCGCGTCGCTGCCTGGAAAGACTATGCTGCACCGACACTGGTCATCCACAGCGACCTCGACTACCGCTGCGTCGTCACCGACGGCCAGTCCGTGTTTCGGGCGCTGCTGTTCCAGGGCGTGCCGGCACGCTACCTCAACTTTCCAGATGAAGGACATTATGTGCTGAAGAAGGAGAATGCGCTGGTGTGGCACCGCGTCGTTTTCGACTGGCTGCAGCGGTGGCGCGATGTCAAGAGGCCACAATGAGGCACGCTTGCAGCGGAGTTGCACTAGGGAAATGGACGGTCTCTGATGGAGGACGTCAACCTGACCTGACCCACGGCAATCTATTGCGAGTCCTGGCCTTGCCAATTTACATTGTTCAGATACCTAAATACGATTTGATTTTCGTGACATCAGTCGTCCTGTCGTTTCCTTGATCCTCCTGCGGTACACCTCCGTACACTCTTACTTCTTGACAGCCTTGACAATGGCCGCACCGACGCCCTTGGCGCTCGCCGGGTTCTGGCCCGTAATGATGTTGCCGTCCACGACGACGTACTCGCCCCAGAGCTCGTCCGCCTTCCCAAAGTTGGCGCCGACCTCACGCAGACGCGATTCGAGCAGGAAAGGCACGGCCTTGTCCATCTGCGCCGCGGCCTCCTCGGCGTCGGTGAAGCCGCCCACGCGGCGGCCCTTGAGCAGGTAGCCCTTGCTCTCGTCGTTGTCGACAAACACGTTGGCCAGCGCCGCCGGGCCGTGGCACACGGCCGACACGACCTTGCCGGCCGACGCAAACGCCGCGGCCAGCCGCTGGCTCTGCTTGTCAAAGGCCAGGTCGAACATGGGGCCGTGGCCGCCCGGGTAGAAGAGCGCGTCGTACGCCTGGGCGGTCTTGGCGGCGGCGGCGTCGTCGCCGGCAAACGAGTGGAGCGGCTGCGTGTTCTGCCAGATGGACTTCTTGTTGTGCAAAAAGGCCACCGACGACGCGTCCTCCTTGAACGCCTCCACCGACGACGGGTCGAGCGGCGCCTCGCCGCCCTTGGGCGAGGCGACGGTCACGTCGAAGCCGGCGTCGACAAACTCGTCATACGGGTGGGCGAACTCGGGCTGTGCATGTCAGCATGTGCTCGGTACGGACAATTGGCTACGGAAAAGGAAGACGAGGATGGGCGAGGGAGCGCACCAAATACCAGCCCGTCTTCTTGCCGGTGTCGCCGAGCTTGTCGTGCGAGGTGAGGACAACGAGGACGGTGGGAGCCATTGTGATGGTAGTTGTCAATGAAAGTCGATGGATTGCGAGGACGTTGTGCGAGGATTGTGTGGTTTGACTTGAATACTGTTTGTTCGTCTTTTTCCATCTCGCGGGGCAGGTCGCGGGGCATCGAAGCTTTAAATACAGCAGATGCCAGGTCGTTGACGTAAACGTTTGGCAGCGGAGACTTTGTTGCAGCAGTAGCTACATTGACAAGAGCTGCAGAGTAGAGCTAGGTAGAGCTAGGCGATGTCCAGGAGCTCAATGAGCTGTTGAGACACTCCGAGGGCTGTTCTGGATCTTACTTGACGTCACTTTCGTCTTTTCGCCCCTAAACGTGCGTCGTCGATCTCACTATGTTGTATAACAGAACTGGAAAAAAAGAGCAGTGACTAAAGCGGTGCTCAAGACCGGCACTAACACACAGAGTCCCACCAGCAAAGGAAGCTATCCGCAGCAATGGGAAGCTCAATATCGAAATCACCGCTCGGGGCTTAGACAACGATGCAGTGCCGGGCTGGACCAACTTTTGTTCTATTGCCGTCGGCTTACGGACGTCGTTTCATTATCCCGACAAGTTGCTGATGCATCGATAGACATTCCCGAGTTTTCATCAGCAGACTCCCGTTTCCACGTCTTAACGACGTTATCTCCATAACGTCCGACTTGCCGTCAGCAGACTTAAGCCCACCGCAGGAAGCAGGGTTGCTATGCAAGTTGAATGGGAATGAGTTTTCACATTTGGGTCGTATTCTGTGCATTTGAGTTGTGCTGTTTTAACATGGATCTATGTAAACGTATAGACTATTGACAATAAAAATAAACATAAATAGACGCACAACAATCCCGTTGATATTATGTCTCAACTTACTTATTTTACACGTTGATATCTTTGGACATATCACTATTGAACGGATTACCGTCTTGAATACGTTGTATTCTGCACCGCACTCTCCTTCTCACTCATCCTATATGTCTTCCTGTGGCAACGTCCCATCTATGCCTCCACCTGCACCGGTACAGATGCTCCCTTGGCCATCGCCGCAGCCGGCGCCGACAGCGGCTTGTCCTCGCCGTCCTCCTTCATGCCACCGAGAATCATAGACTTGGGTGCCATGGCCTGCCACAGCTCCGGGTCGGTAAAGGCCTTGAACTTCTCGTCGTGCCACTGCGCGGCCGTGACGGCGCGGCCTTCGGAGTCGACAAAGAGCGTGTCGTCCGCGGCGCGCAAAAAGTAGGCGACGCTGTAGCGGTGCTCCGCCGGGTCAAAGGGCACGACGCGGTGGATGCAGCTCTGGAACCGGTGGCCGCTGGCAAACCGCAGCGAGTCGCCGACGTGCACAAACGCACAGCCGCCGGGGCGCCACAAAGCCCATCTCGCGCGTGCCGCAGGCGCCGCCGGGCGGCGCACCTGGAGGCCCCACTGCTCGGTGAAGAGCAGGGTCAGCGTGCTGATGTCGGTGTGCTTCTGGTGGCCCAGGCGGTTCTGGCCGGCGAGGTCGGCCAGCGGCAGGTAGTGCATCATGGAGAGCGTCGTGGTGGACGGCCGCTCGTTGCGGTGGGCGTGCTCGAAGCGGCCGGCGCCGGCGAGGCCCAGGCCGGTCGAGAGCGCCGACAGGACGACCTTGGCGACGGTGTTGCAGCTGCCGATGGCGTTCTCCAGGACCTGCAGGTCGCCGCTGTTCTTGACGGGCGACGGGATGCGCGGGCTGTCGTGCTGGATCTCGTCGCGCGACACCTTGAGCATCTCGTAGCCGTCCTTGCTGCCGGCGGCCACGCCTGTGCGGCTGCCGACGGGCTCGTATCTGTGCGTAGCATTAGCATGGTTGGCATGGTTGGCGTCGCGTTGTGGGGTTGCCCAACGGTGCTCGGAGACACTCACCCCAGGTGCGACGACAAGAGGCCAAACTCGTTCTTCGCCTCGATCGGGGCCGCAAAGAAGCGCTTCATGAGTGCCAGCAAGGCCGCATGGTCCGACAGCGTGCGTCGTCCGTCGAGACCCGACAGGTCCAGGTAGAAGTAGCCCTCCTCGAGGCACGCCTGCAGCACGCGCTCGACCTCGCCCGGGTCCTGCGACAGCAGCAGAGCGTAGTCGATGGTCTGCATCGGCCACACCGGCGTCGACTGGCCCATCCAGTCAACCGTCTGCGGAGCGTCCAGAACAGGGGCCATGATGGGTAAGTTGGGGTAAGTTGGTGTACGTCTGTGGTGTGATTGATGTGTCGGTTGTAGAGTCGTGGCGGTCTGATATAACTACAGAGCGTTGTGTAAGGTGTCACCCCTTTCCTATATAAATACATGGCTCTACTTTGAGAAAATCGTCCGGTTTGTTACAACACCCACAAATGTCTTGCTTGTTCCACCATCCACAACAACCGGCTTACCCCCACCCTTTGCATGGCGCCGAGATCTGTGCCGCGCCGAGCACTGTGCCGCGCCGACTCCGCATCCCTTTTTCCAAAGTGCACAGGCTTTGTTCCGCAGTGATGTGACGCGCGAGAGAGTGGCGCCACGGCTGTTACCCCTCAGTTGTTGCGAGGAGATTAGGGAGCATAAATTGTCATCACAAGATGCAACCATTGCTGACAAGGTTGATTGTCTTCCCAACTACCGACATATCTACTCGTCCTTGGCCAGGCCCATTGTTGATCGCCTCGCCTGCGCTTGTCTAATAAACACCCGGTAGCATTTCCTCACAATACTACAGCCGACCGATATGCACTTGGCGCTGGTCAACCATCCGATACAACACTTGACACAATCTACTCGAAAAACATCCTCTGCACACACTGTCCCGTCGATCAGGGAAGTGCATCTGCCGACAAGTTTGTTGTTATTCTTAGACGTTGTTCCCTCCAACCGGCGCGGTACACTTTATAACAAACTACTTCCGAATACATCTTTTATGCACGAATCACCATCCATGGAGCCCATCCTCGCCGATATCGACCGATTCATTGACGGCCTGGAGCCAGTGCTCTGGCCGCTGAATAAATTCATTCACAGCCATCCAGAGCTCGCATACGAGGAGCACATGACACACGATGCCCTCTGTGCTGTTATGGAGGCCCAGACGGGCTGGGCAGTGACTCGCGCTGCGTATGGCATGGCGACGGCTTGGTCGGCCGAGTACGACACCCGTGCACCCGGGCCCGTCGTCAATTTTAATGCTGAGATGGGTATGTCACTGCTGTGGCGTTGGCTTTGCTCGCATCCAACCGCTATACTCATACTCACCGCACAGACGCCCTTCCCAGACTCGGCCACGCGTGCGGGCACAACCTGATTGCCGTCGTGTCGGTCGCTGCGGCTCTGGCAACGGCCGACACGCTCCGCCGCCAGACGCTGCCCGGAAAGGTCCTTCTCGTCGGGACACCCGCCGAAGAGGGCGGCGGCGGCAAGATCCGGTGCCTTGCCGCCGGTGCGTATGACGGCGTCGACGTCTCCATGATTTCGCACCCGGGCATCGACCACAACAGCGCCCTCGTACGCACCGCCGCCTTCACCCGCCTGCGCGTCCGCTACACCGGCCGCGCTGCTCACGCCGCGCAGCAGCCCTGGCGCGGCATCAACGCCTTGGACGCCCTTGTGGTCGCGTATACGGCCATCTCGGCCCTCCGTCAGCAGACGCAGCCGGACGATGTCATTGGGCTGCACATTACCGACGGCGGCGACGGCGGCACCAACATCATCCACGCCCATGCGGCCGGTGTCGCTGTACTGCGGGCCGCCCGGGCCCACCGCCTGCGCGCGCTGCAAGGCAAGGTCGAGGGCTGCTTCCGTGCCGGGGCCGACGCCACCGGCGCATCGGTCGCCATCGACGTCGAGCCGGGCTACCTCGACCACGTGCCGAACCGCGTGCTGGCGGCGCAGTACGCGGCGCATTGGGCCGCGCTCGCCCCGACGGACGACCTGCCGAACCCGCCGCTGCGCGCGGACGGCCCGACATGGATCAAGAGCAGCACCGACCAGGGCGACATCAGCTATGTGCTGCCCAGCATCAACGTCAGCTTTGCGGTCCCGCCGGCCGGCCGCGGCAGTGGTGCACCGCACAGTCCCAACTTTGAAGCGGCCTCGGGGACGCGTGCTGCCTTTGCACGGGCCATGCGTGTGGCCAAGGCCATGGCGGGGGCGGCCACAGACCTGTATACGACGCCGGGGCTGCTGGATGCCGTGCGCGCACAGTGGCAAGAGGACATGGGAACGACAAGGATGTGATTGCTATCTGTCGCTCGTTGAAGTGGAACGTTTTTGATTGACCCTATTTTATTTTCAACAGTACATTCCCCCATAGTAACACGTCTACAACTCGAATCCTTCCTTTAGTTCCCAGTCGTACAGGAAGCGCACCTCCACCGCGCGGCCGCGCAGACCGTGGACGCCAACAGCGACGGTCTCGCCGGGCACGAGGTCGACAAAGTTGTCGTCAAAGACGGCGTCGGCCACGCCGTCTGTCGGCGACACGTGCAGCGTGACGCCCTTGGCGGGCGCATTGGCCGTCAGCAGGACCTGGTCGCCGGCGTCGGACACGGTCGCCGTGACGGCCAGCGCGGGCGACATGCGCACCAGCCGCAGCGGCTCGGGCCAGGAGACCCAGCGGGCGAGGCGCGAGGGCGGCGCGGCCGTCGCCGCCGTTGGCGCAGGGCCGTCGAGGTAGGCGACGACGACCGTGCTGTCGGCCGCGGGAATGGCCATGCGGCGCACCAGCTCGGTCGTCTGGTTCGGCGCCAGCACTACGCTGCGCGTCGCGGCGACGCCGCGCGGCAGCGGCACCGGGGCGCCCGTGTGGATGTTGTAGGCGGCCAGCGTGAGCGTGGCGTGGCGGGCCGCGAGGTCCCCGTTGACGGCCCAGACGTCCAGGGCGTGCCGGTCGGGCGGATAGCCCGTCGTGATGTAGGACGGCGCGCCGGTGACGGTGCGCTCCATGCCGACGACGGCCGGGGCGAGCGCGCGCTTGGTGATGTAGTAGGCCGGCTTCGGGCGCCGGTCCACGTCGACGAGGGCCCAGCTGGTGCCGGGCCAGATGTCGTTGAGCTGCCACACGAGCACGCCGGCGCAGTGTTCTTCGCCGGGCCCGCGGAACGCGCGGCGCCAGCAGTTGTAGGCGTAGCGCAGGGCCTCGGCCTGCAAGAACTGCGTGCAGTACACAAAGTCGCGGAAGGGGTTCATGCGGAAGCGGAAGTTCTCGCCCATGTACATGGGGTAGCGGCGCGCGTGGCCGGGGCCCTTGTCGTGGATGTCAAAGAGGCGCGACTGCGCGTGGCGCTCCGCGGGCACGGTGATGCCGCGCTCCATCGTGGCCACGGACGCGCAGGACTCGAAGCCGAACTCGCTGACAAAGCGCGACGTGTAGCTCTTGTAGTCCTGGTACGCCGACATCTTGCCGTGCCAGACTGGACGGTGGGCGGAGGACGGTTAGCATGCTTCTTTTCCTTTTCTTCCTTGGTGAACGGGGTTCCGCGACACGTACCATCCCAGATATGGGTGTCGCCGACGGTGGTGTCGTTGGAGAAGGCGCCGCCGTAGGGGCTGCTGCGCCAGTAGGGCACGTCGCCGCCGAGGGTCTCGACAACGGCGGGCAGCACGCGCTCGTAGATTGCGCGGGCCGGGAAGTTGGTCTGGTCCCAGGGCCCCGTCTCGTCGCTCATGTCGAGGTCCCAGCCCCAGCGCTCGGCCACCATGTAGTCCTCGTTGTTGCCGGCCCACAGCGCCAGGCTCGCGTGGTGGCCGACGCGGACGACCTGCTGCTCGGCCTCGCGGCGCACGCTGTCCAGGAAATCGCCCGACGCCGGGTAGTTGCCGCAGGCGAACAGAAAGTCCTGCCACACGAGCATGCCCGCCTCGTCGCAGAGGTCGTAAAAGTCGTCCGACTCGACGATGCCGCCGCCCCAGACGCGGATCATGCTCTGGTGGCCGTCCCTGGCCAGCTGGATCCAGTCGCGGTAGCGCTGGCGCGTCATGCGCGGCAGCATAAAGTCGCCCGGGATCCAGCAGGAGCCGCCGCAGAAGAGGCGGATGTTGTTGACTTCAAAGACAAACGACGTGCCCGCGGCCTCTTTGAGCGGGTGCTGCAGCAGCCGGAGGCGGCGCAGGCCAATCCTGCGGCTGGTCTTGGTGCCGGTGATGGTGCTGTCCTGAGATGACGCTGCGTCGGGGAGGGCCACGCTCGCCGACACGGTGTAGAGAGGCTGGTCGCCATACATGTGTGGGTACCACAGCTGGGGCGTGTCCACGGCGACGGTCGTGGCAAAGGAGCCATCCGCCGCCGTCTGAAGCCTGTGGCTGTGGAGAGACGCGCCGGAGGGATCGCTGACGTGCAGATGGACGTGCTCCTGCGCCTTGGCGACCGTCTCCACGCGGCCCTGGACGCTGATGGTCGCGGCCGCCAAGTCGTCCGACACCTGCTGGCGGACCACCAGTCGGTCGATGCGCGTCTCGTAGACCTCGAGGTAGACGGGCTTCCAGGGCCCCGACGTGTTGACGGCCGGGCCCCAATCCCAGCCCTAAGAATCGTATTAGCATCGTATAGCATCGTATAGCATGTACTTGTGCCAGTGGTACCACGGGACAGACCTACCCAATGGTACTGCGCCTTGCGCAAAAAGAGACGCTCCGGCCCACCAAAGTGCACGTCCGTCTCGTTGCCCTTGTAGCCGATGCGCTTCTTTTCCTGCCGCGAAAACGCGGGCGCCGCCCTGAACTGCAGCTCCAGCGACAACTCCGGCGACAACGGGCCGCCGGCTGCCCGCAGCTGATCCGTCACGTCGACGCGGTGCTCGACGTGCATGTTCTTGCTCGACAGGATCCGCGTGCCGCCCAGGAACACGTCGACGACGGTGTCGAGGCCCTCGAAGACGAGAACGGCCCGCGCCTGCGGCGTCGGCAGCGGCGTCGCGGGCAGGGTCGTGCGGTAGGTCCAGTCTGCATCGTTGACCCAGAGACACGTGAGCTCGTTGTCGTCAATGTAGGGGTCGGGAATCAGCTTGTGGTGCAGCAGGTCGATGTGGGCGACCGTCGGAAACTGGGCGACGGGCAAAAACGACGAGGCCGTCGCGTTGTTGAGGCTGCTGGCCTGTCTGAATTCCCAGCCTTGGTCAATGTCCACTCGCTGGACGGCCATTTTGACGGGAGCGAGGTGAAGCAACAGTTACAGGGGATTGAGACTTTGAGACTTGGCTGGACACATCTACAGACACGACAAGAATCAAATAAATCATCAAATAAATACGTCGTCACCACGTCCACAGTCCAGTCTGAACGCCGAATGGATGCCGGACTCTGTTCCTCCGCGGCCGGTATGCGGCCGCCTCTTTCGGCGTACACAATACGACACACTCTGCAGCATGACGTTTGTGACGGACTCGACGCCAAGCAGGCCGACTTCGGGTCGTTGGCCTATTTTGGGCTGTTACAAAAACAAAGAGGAGACGTCGCCTACGTCCATTTTGGGATGTAGCCGAGCATCTCACACCAACACGCTGTCGCCGACGACGGAATCGAATTCGGCGTCTGCCGGGATGTCCTATATATGTACAGCCGCACAAGCTGCACGTCCTATGACAAAGAGGGGAAAGCTGTTGATTCCAGAAAGAGCTGTTTGACTTGTGCAGCAAAGGCAATCCTCCCAGGAACGAAACAAGACCAAGACCCTGTCGACCACACCACCTCTCCTCCACCACACCTCCATCTACACAATGGCCGGAATTGCCATCTTGGGTGCCGGCATCTTTGCCACGGAAGGTATGTCCAGTTCCTGTGACCACGACGTGACCACGACGTGACAACGACGTGACCATCCAGACCAGCACACTGACGACTGCAGAGCACCTCCCTGCCCTCGTCGCCAACAAGGCCAGCGTCAAGGCCATCTACTCGCGCTCTCAGGCCACCGCGGCACCGCTGGTCGCCGAGGCGCAGAGGCTGGGCCAGGCAGGCGTCGAGCTGTACTCGGACGACACGCCGGGCCGCACGCTCGACGACCTGCTGGCACGCAAGGACATTGCCGCCGTCGTCGTGGTGCTGCCCATTGCCGTGCAGCCCGCCATCGTCCGGCGCTGCTGGGCCGCGGGCAAGCACGTCCTCTCGGAGAAGCCGGTGGCCAAGGACGTGCAGACGGCGCGGCAGCTCATCCGCGACTACCAGGCCACGTACGCCGGCCAGGGCCTCGTCTTCAGCGTCGCCGAGCAGATCCGCTTCATGCCCGAGTTTGAGCGCGGCCGCCAGTGGGTGGTCGACGAGCAGGCGCTGGGCACCATCACGCAGCTGCACCTGCGCATCTGGCGCAACCAGGCGGCCGGCGGCAAGTACTACGAGACGCCGTGGCGCAAGGTGCCCGCGTACCAGGGCGGCTTCCTGCTGGACGGCGGCGTGCACCAGACGGCGATGCTGCGCTACATCGCCGGCCAGGAGGTCGTCGAGACGCACGGCTACGCGCGCCAGGTCGCGCCGCACCTGCCGCCCCTCGACACGGTCAACGCCGGCCTCGTGCTGAGCGGCGGCGCCACGGGCACGCTGTCCATGTCGTTTGCGTCGCCGCGCCGCGCCACGGAGCTGGTCATCCTCGGCACCCAGGGCAGCTTCCACCTGACCGACGGCCCGGACGGCTACGTGCTGACGCTGGAGCTGCTGTCGGGCGAGCGGCGCACCGAGACGATCAAGAGCCGGGGCGTGGAGCTGGAGGTCAAGGCGTTCCTCGAGGCCATTGCCGGCGGCAAGGCGCAGCCGCGCGCCGGGCCCGAGGAGGCGCTCAACGACCTGGCCATTATCGAGAGCCTGTGCCAGGGCGGGGGGAAAGTGGACCTTTACTAGTGTAGACAAATCATACAGGATGCAATAAACAGACGTATTTCGGCCATTGTATGAGCGGGCGATTTGCATATTGATTTGAATACACTGTTCTGCATTGTGGCATCTGCACAGCGCACGGCTTCCAGACCGACCGACCTCTTTGAGGTAACTTGAACAAACTATACTAACACGCCGTTGGCACAAAATTAAGTTCTTGCTTGGGCGTCAGCCGTAGTCCTTTGTGTGGGTCGTGGGTCTTGTGGGCGTGCGAGCGGGGAAATGGTCGTCTCGTGAGGAGAAACGGAGACGAGAGACTCCATATCCACTGGTAGCCGGTTCGACATGAATTGACTCTCGAACCGGGCTCTGCGTCTGTTTTCATCGTTATCCTCGTCTCGTTTCTGAATATGGCGCCATGGCCCCGACACGAGAGGTCTATCGGCGCGTTCGGACCGGTGGGTAAACGTTGCTTTTGTTTTCGGCTGCGTTTGTTTATGTTTTCGGTTCCTTGCTGACTCTCCACGGCCGTATGCAGGTTGGTAAGCAGACTCTTTTCCAAGGACAGGGACGAGGATGCATTGGCTGCGGCCAGGCAGATTCTCATTCGGCATGTCGTACTGACAAGACAGCATCACCTGTCGGAAACGGCATATGAAATGTACGTCTATCGATAGTGTATCGACTGTGGAAGAGTGACAGAACAGCATACGACTGACTCGCAAGGTGACGAACGCAAACCGACTTGTCGGCACTGTGAAATAGCGCGTCGAGAGTGTCGCTATGACGTCTCCGAGACGGCCGCCCGCCGCTCCGAGAGCAACGGCGGCTTCCAGTTTGACGCGAGCCATGTCTGGCTGGACACGCCCGAGGGTGAGCGTGCCTCCGTGTCCTCTCCAGTAATTCCAACAATCCAGAAGAACGTCTGACTGTTGTGCGCGCAGTCCGCTTTGTACACGCCGTATCCACGAGCACGGACGACACCGACGCAAACACCGAGAGCAACACGGCGTCCAATGTCTCCACGCCCGCCCAGCCGTCGCCGGCGGCAGACACCGGCGTGTCGTTTGACGACGATGGCCACGTGCCTGCATTGGCAACAGAAACAGAACACGCCGTCCACCAGCCCGTCCCAGAGCCCGTTTCGACACCGGCGTTTCCCGCAACCGCCCCGACGCCGTCGCACAATGCAACCGACTTCGCCTCCCCGTACTCCACAACGAGCGGCGGCAGCCCCGACACCATCGTGGACCCCGTGCAGTCTCTTGTCCGCATGCGTGCGTCCGGCTCCGTCATCTACACGCCCGGGCCAGCGCAGCCGCTGCGGGATCCACAGATTGCCGCCCTGCTCCAGCACTACACGCAACACCTGGCCGGCTGGTTCGACGTCAACGACCCGCACCGCCAGTTCGAGACGTTCGTTCCGTTTCTGGCCCTGAGCTGCCCGGTTCTGCTGCACGCCGTGCTCGCCCTGTCGGCGTGCCATCTGCGCCGGCGCAAAGGGTCCCGATACGGGGTCCACAGCAGCGCACTCAGCGGGCCGCACGACAAGCTGTATGCCTCGCAGTTCCACGACCTGTGCATCCAGGACCTCATCCCGGCGCTCGCCGACCCGGCCACGGCGCTCGACAACGTGCTGCCCATATCGACGGTCGTGCTGCGCATGTACGAGATGCTGAGCTACGAGAGCGGCGGGGACAAGGAGGCGGCGGCGGACCGCGAGACGGACGCCCAGCGCAGCGCCCAGCGCAACGACCAGCGCAACGACCTGCGCAACGACCTCCACCGCCGCGGCTGCTCGTCGCTCTTCATCCACAACCGCAAAAACATTGGCTTCCGCGCGCTCAAGCGGACGGCCTTTTGGACGTACTTTCGCGAGGAGATTATGGTGGCCCTGGCGTCGCGCCGGCCGACGGCCATCCTGCCGCGCCACTGGAAGGTCGACATCACCTGGGGCGGCGACTACGACTATGTCAAGACGGAGCAGATGACGATGCTCATGGCCGAGGTGGTCGACTACTGTTTTGGGCAGGGGGGCGGCGGCGACGGCGACGGCGACGACAGCAACAACAGCAACAACATCAACAACATCGACAACATCAACAACAACAAGTACAACAGCAACAACAAGTACAACAGCAACAACAGCAACAACAGCGACAACAGCAACAACAGCGACAACAGCGACACCCACCCCCCCGATCGCTGGAGCGACCTGCAGCGGGAGGTCTCGGCGTGGCACGAAGCCCTGCCCGAGTCGTTCCAGCCGCTGGCCGTCCTCGACGACGGCGGGCCGTTTCCGCACGTCTTCTACCTCTGCACATGGCACATGATTGCCATGCAGTTCTACCACCTGGCCAAGGTGCTGCTGGCGCTGCACAATCCCCACCCCGCGCGGGGGATGGATTTTCTCGGCTTTGCCAGAGCCGTCGAGGTAGGGTAGGGCGGGTGGTGTGCTGTGCTGTGCGCGCTGCTGTCGGCAGACCTTTTGCATTGCATGTCACGTCTAATCTAACACGTTCACCTCCACAGACTGAGATTCTCGAGCATGCGCTGCAGCTGTGCGGCATGACCAAAACAACGGGAGACAAGCACCCGGGCGTGCTCGTCAACGCCGTGCAGCCCCTCGTCCTATGTACGTCGCCGAGAAGACACACGTTTGCTTCGGGATATGTCCATGCTTACAAAGACTAACCATTGCGCACACAACCAACGCACTCTATAGGCGGTCGGATTTTCAAGAAACCAGACGAGCAAGCGGAACTGGTCCACATGCTGCAACGGATCGAGGAGGTCACGGCTGTCAGCACGGCCCAGGGGATACAATCACTCAACGAAGCGTGGGGAATGGGGTAGGGCTAGCAGTCGAGCTAGCAGTCGAGCTAGCAGTAGAGTAGAGCCAACTACACGGATGACTTACTCCGCACTGCAACGATGCGAATTCCCTCCCCGCTCGGCTAAATGTCGGCCTCAGACACATCGTCTAGCCGGTCAGGTGGTCGTTTAACGTCCCATTCAGACAGAGTCGGCATCCACGCGGTGTCAGTGGAGCATCACCGTTTCGTGACCGCAGTCGGACCTCGTTCTATCAAGACGAACATCATGATACGTTCCGACTCTTGGCTATAGAAACAACAGCGTTCTACCAAATAGGAGATATAATAAGAACAGCTGTCCTGTTCTGTAAGAGTAGAGTCTGCTCTCTCATCCACCTGCTTCTTTGTTGTCTTTTATTATCAATATTATTATTTACTCTTATTCTATTTCTGTCAACGCCCGTCCTCCTCACCATGGCCGCCCCCGTCCCCTTTGATCCTCTCATCTTCACAGACGACTACCTCCGGGTCCGTGCCGTCCCGACCTGCCATACCTCGACATTTGTGTGGTGCCACTCCGCGGCCGACAAGGGCGCCGACTGGCAGTTTATGGTCGCCCCGCTGCGCGCGCTCGGCCACTGCAACCACATTGCCTTTATCTTCCCCTACCTCGACTACAGCGCCCCCAACGACCCGGCCATCCGCGCCAAGAACGAGGCCCTCGTCCAGAAAATCGTCGACGAGGAGATTGTCAAGGGCTGCCACCCGGACCGCGTCGCCGTCGGCGGCTACAACGAGGGCCTGGCCGTGGCCCTGCTGGCGACGCTGGCCGACCCCAAGAACACAATCAACGGCGTCCTGGGCATCACCGAGCGACTGGCCTTGCCGAGCCTCGCGGGTGTCTGCAGAGATGCCAACGCCCAGACGCCTGTTTTTGTGGTCGACCGCTCTGGCGCGGACGGCAACGAGGGCACAAAGGCGCTCGAGGCGGCCGGCCACCCCGTCCGCGCTGTCGTCGATGGGAGCAAGAATGCGTCGTCGGGCGCCAATCCGGTCACACAAGAGGTAGGCTCCGGACCCATGCGTCCCGTTCTGTGATTGATAGACTGCCAGACGAACTGACTTTGCACCATAGGAGCTCGAAAAACTCGACACGTTCGTCCACGAGGTGCTGCCCGTCGAGTTTGCAAAGAAGGAATAGATAGAGATAGACAAGATCAATAGACTGTATACCATCCGCTCCTATCTGATGTACACGACCAATGGGATATCAACAAAAATAATCAAATATACTGTCCAGTATCTGCAGTAGTGTTTAACTTCTCATTCTCATAAAGTAACGTTCGCCGCGATTCTGTTAAGATAGTAGCGCCATGTTTCAGTCGTGTTATTATTTTTATTCCATAAACGTCTCGTCGTCAATTCGACTAAAGATTCCTAACGAATTGTGTTACGCGTTTGGAATCCCGTCACTAGTGAATTGCAAGAAATAAATGGAATAATCACTATACACCAAAACATTCCTAACCTTCCTAGCATGTCATGTTCTCGTCAATTCTTCAAGACAAAACGCGTACTCGTAACCTACTCTCACGCAGATATAAGCGATCATGTGACCGGTTAAATCGCCGTGTTGAGACAGACGCCGCGAGCAAAAGAAACGGCCTCGATGTTTTTGGCATAGTCGGTGGGTGGCATTATTTTAGTGTCCCAAGGTATGGACCCCAAATGACCAGAATTACCAAATGCAGGCACCGTAATTTTCTGGGGATATCTCTTTTGAGGGGTTGCAGATCTGGGGTCGTCCAGATGGTGTGGGTCAGCCATGTGCCCCGGAGGCAAGAAAAAGAAAAAGAAAAAAAAGAGACGAAAAGAGAGAAAAGAGAGAGAATAGAGAAAAAGACGACGAGAAGGCCGTGTCAACAGCACGTGTATATAGGACAGCCTTCCCGTCCACCGCACTCACCTTGACCACACTCACCTTGGAGAGGATCACCATCTGTCATCACCTCGTCACCACATCGCCGTCATCACCACCGTCATCTCGTCACGATGGCTGACTCTACAGCAAAGCTTGCCACGGCCACCTCCCATCACGAGGAGGACAGCCACAGCCTGAAGCATGCCACGACGCAGAATATCATGACCGAGTCGCGCATGCAGGCTGCTCTGCTGCGTGAGAACCCGCGTCCCTTCCGCAAGAGCTTCCTCAAGCTGTACGGCTGCATTTTTGTCGGCTACCTGTGCTGTGCCACCAACGGCTTTGACTCCAACACGTTTGGTATGTGGGGGGTTGTTCTTCACACATAAGACACAATGCCACAAGGAACAAGGAACAAGGACACACACACAAGCCACAAGGAATAAACACTGACTCACATTTCTAGGCGGCCTCTCTGCCATCCCCCAGTTTACCAAATACTTTGGCATCACCACCAAGAACCAGGGCCTGGTCGCCGCCCTGTTTGTCATTGGCAACATTGCCGGCTCGCTGTTTGCCGGCCCGTGTGCCGACAAATACGGCCGCAAGGTCGGCATGGCCCTCGGCTCGGCCATTTGTGTCGTCGGCGCCATCCTCCAGACGGCCGGCCAGAACCTGGCCATGCTGGAGGCCGGCCGCTTCATCCTCGGCGTCGGCGCCGTGCTGGTCCAGACGGCCGGTCCGGCCTACGTCGTCGAGATGTCGTACCCCAAGTACCGCGCCCAGCTCACCGGCGGCTACCAGGCCTGCTTCTTCTTGGGGACCATCATCTCGACGTGGCTCGAGTACGGCCTCAACCACATTGACACGACCCTGTCCTACCCCTGGCGGCTGCCTCTCGCCGTCCAGGGTCTGCCGTCGGTCATTATGCTGTGCGCAATTGCTTTTATCCCGGAAAGCCCGAGATGGTACGATTCTTTTGAGTGTTTCTTTTTTCTTTTTCTTTTTTCTTTTTTCTTTTTTCTTTTTTCTTTTTCTTTTTTTCTTCTATTTATTTCCTCCACAATTTCTAACCCCCACCAGGCTCTACGCCCAAGGACGCGAGGAGGAGGCCAAGGCCATTCTCATCAAGTACCACGGCGACGGCGACCCGAACGCGCTAGTGGCCAACCTCGAGCTAGAAGAAATGGCCGAGGTCATTGAGCTCGATGGCACCGACAAGCGCTGGTGGGACTTCCGGTCGCTGTTCCGCACCCGCGCCGATCGCTACCGCATCTTTTTGGTCTCCTGCATTTCGTGGTTCGGCGAGCTGGACTTGCCTCCGACCAGCTACTACTTTCCATTGATGGGTAAGCCATACCGTGGTGACACTGCTACATTCCCATCATTTGTTCTATTTTTTTTCTTGTTTTTTATTCAGTATAACATCTGTGTCTGACCACCCCAGTCAAAACTGTCGGCATCACCAGTGTCTCGACGCAGCTGTTGCTGAACGCCATCCAGACACCCGTCATGGCCGTGGCCGCCCTTTTGGGCCTGAGTCTCGTCCACAAGTTTGGCCGTCGGAAGCTGCTCATGATTTCCAGCGCCGGCATGACCGTGTCCATGGCCATCATCACGGCGTGCACGGCCAAACAAGCAGGCCGGCCCGCCGTCGGCGGCACCGGCATTGCCTTTCTCTACGTCTTCCTTGTGTGCTTTGCCTTTGCATGGGTATGTATCCTCCTCTTTTTTTTTCTTTTTTTTTCTTTTTTTCTTTTTTTCTTTTCTCTTCATACTAATATTGTTCCTCCCCACCCCCCCCCCCCCCCAGACACCAATGCAGTCGCTCTATCCCGTCGAGGTCCTCGCCTACAATGCCCGCGCCAAGGGCATGGCCTACTTGGCCTTTATGAACAACGCCGTCAAGGTCCTCAACACATACGTGCCACCCATTGCCATTGCCAATTCCGGCTGGAAGTACTACTTGCTCTACGTCATCTGGGACGCCTTTGGCATTGTCGTCATCTACTTCTTCTTCGTCGAGACCCGCGGCTGGAACTTGGAGGAGATCGAGGCTCTGTTCCATGCCAAGAACCCCGTCAAGGCCAGTCTGGCCAAGAAGAAGATTAGCGTCGCCGAGGACGGCACCATCACCAAAGTGGCCGGTCCGGATGATATTTGAGAGCCTGTTGGATCGAGACTGCAATGTTTGATTCGTATTCAAGTAGCATTCAAATAGCAAGCAGAAAAGTAAATTGGACGGCCAGACAAATCAAACTATCTAGCAACGCACGATGCAAGCAAATCTCCTACACTTTGGCGATCGTTGTGCGGCTGTCCTACCGTGCGGTGGCCCGCAACGAGCAGCAAGAAGCGTAGCGTAGCGTGTTGCTGGCTGCACTGGCACACTCGGAGTAGAAGCAGCCTTGTCTCTTTCACTGCGTGATGCCGAGTACCGGACAGTTACCTTGTCATTCGTATTGAGCCATCATATCGTGTTAGCAGACAGTTGTGATTCACCGTCAAGTAACAAAGGTATCCCACGGCGATTCCAGTGACATCACGTAGCCATGTGTTTTGTTTCCTTATCAAAGTGAGGCACGTCTTGCTGTTCCTATAAAAAGCCACATCGCCCACCCAGCTGTTAACTTTCTCTTGATGGTCTCTCGGCATCGTTCCCAACATCGTTTCCTCTCAGACACTCCTATCTCACGTGGAAAATCAGAACCAAATCGATAATACAACTTTGTCCATCGTCACATTACCAACTTCGTCCAGCACAATGTGTGAGGATCACTTCAATATGGTTGTGTGGGGCTGCGGCCACTCTTCGAAACGGTACAATACCTCTGTGGGCTGTACCGCAGCCACGCGAACGGGAAAGAAGTGCTTGATTGTCCACCAGGTCATCCTGTCAACTTCTTATCAGCACGTCCGCTGCTACAGTTGTCTCCAACCGAAAAGCAGCTATTAAGCAGCCAACTGTCTCATGGTGGACAGAGACTTACGTTATCACTTTCTACTTGATATTTAACAAGCAATGAATGCGTTGCCTTGCAAAACTTGTTCGCTAGTTGACTGTGCGACGAAGTCAGTAGTTGGAACGAGGCTAGCGTTGTGTAGAAGACACAATGCCTTTATGTTTTATGGTCGAGTCACAAATACAATCACGTCCACACCGGCCTTGTCTGCAAGGAAGCAAACCACACAACCTCGCATCGGGGTACTAATTGCACTTTGGGCATCTAACAGCCGGCAATTAATAATCATTTTTTAATTTATTTACACTCACTACCGAATTGAGTGTAACCAACTCGGGCACTCTTCGCTATTCGCGTCAAAAGAGAAAAGAGAAACAAAGTACTTTACCATGGTAAAATGTCAACACCGGTAAAAGCGCTACCCTCCCTTTACTCGTGCTTCTCCACGTATGCGTGGTCAAAGTCGATACGCATCGCCCGCTGCGTGTCGACGCACCACGTCATGTTGAGGTTCTCGTCTTCATCGACGAGGCCTGCGTCGGCGAGCTCCTGCTCTGTCCGCACGGCCTCCGCATCCCAGTCCACGACGCCGTCCAGGCCACGACGCTCGGCATACTTGTGCAGCTGCGGCGAGTGCAGGGCGAGGCCTGCGTAGGACAGCAGCATCATGTGTGTCACGACTTTGAAATTCACCATGGGGTACTCCATGTCCAGCTTGATCAGCCCCAGGTGCACCGGAATCAGCCGCCCCTGCAGCTCGCTCAGCTCCCCGTAGACGTGTGATTCGTGGACGAGCTGGTGGCGGTGGTGCGCCTCGACACCCTTGGCGACAAAGGTGTACCCGAAGCCCGTCAGTGTGATTTTGAACAAGGACCCGATGGCGCCGTAGTAGCCCATCTCCGCTAGGCACGTGCAGTCGGTCCCGACGTCTCTGGCGAGCTGGAGCCGGACGAGGTCGGCCAGCTGCCGGCCTCTGGGGATGGGATGCACGTCCCCTTGCAGCGGGTGGGCCAAATTGTAGTTGGCGGCCGCGTTCGTATGGAAGGATACATTGGGGCAGCTTGGGTCGAGTTTGTGGCCCCGCACAAGTCCGAGCAAACAGGCCTGTGTACAGTAGCGGTACTTGTTCCGCCGCGTCGGGGGCGCGCCGTGGTTGTCATGGTTGTTGTCGTCGGGGTGCATGAATGGCGTGGAAAGAGCATGCGCCGCCGTTTTTGAGCCGCCTGGTGCGTCGCCGGCTTGGCCCCCTGGCAGCTCCTCGTGTGCACCAGAAGAATCGTGGTGTTGTAGCGGGGACGGGACGCGTGGCTGGTGTGTTCGAACCGCCAGTCTGCCACGCGACCCGCCACCACTGTCATTATCGCCATTGTCGCCGTCATCGTCGTCGCGCCGCCTTCGTTTGCCGAGGGAGCTCGTAGCAGACTGCGACGATGCCTCCGAAGACGACGTCGAGGGGCCGTCTGATACGATGGACGGTGGCTGCGATTCGGCATGAGGCCCGCCCGCGGCGGAACGCCCCCATCTGGGGAACGTCGGGGCCGTGTGGTGGGCTATCGCTCTCCACGGCGCAGGGCGCGGCTCATCTCGAGCCTCGTGTGCAAGGAGGCAAAGGCTACAGAGCTGTGCAATGGCCAGCTTGCGGAATACGGCGTCGTCCGCTGTTTCCAGATCGATCGCAGCCGGCGGCGGCCCGTCTTCGGCTGTGCGGGAGGCGGGAAACAGCGATACATGATAGAGGAGTGTTGTGCAGTCGTCTTCGGGGATGCGAAGAAAGGTGAGCATTTCGCCAGAGGCCAGGTAGCCGTATTCCAAGCCGGACATTAACAGGTAGTGGTAGGCCTGGGTCAGTGCATGAGCAAAGTAAACCTGGTTGGGCGGCACACTGCTTTTGGTAGCCTCAACGGTGGGGATTAATGGAGCCGAGGCCGTGTCTTCGGTTGCAGCACCGACACGGCCGTGGCCATGGGCATGTCGAGCGAGGCGGCGAACTGACTCCCTGCGCTTCTCGGCTAGCTTGACCATGTAGTCTTCCGGTAAGGGGCCCTGGAGAATCCGCTCGACGGCGGCCGCCCGCAGACGATGGGCGGCCTTGTGTTCTCCCACCATGAAACGAGTGACAGGATTGTGGTCGAGGTCGTCATCGCCGCCGCCGCCGTCTTCGCTATTGTCTTCGCCTTTGTCGTCTGCAGCATCCGAAGCCGGGGAATCCATCTCCATTGTGGAACGCAAGACTACACAATCTGGATGTGTCTTGAAGAACTCCATGGGCGTGTTGCTGCTGGTGCTGGTGCCGCCACTGACAGGACTCGACTGGGTTCCCGTTCGCACGGCAGCAGAGAAATGGTTGAAAAGCACTACTTGTCTAGTGCCCATCAAAGCAAGATATGCATTCACAATTTTGGAGGCGGGATCCAGCAGAGTTTCGTAGAGAAAATGCGACGTCCTATCTTCGGTGAGGTAGTACTCTGACTTAAGGAACGGAGTTTGTAAACCATCCAGAAGGCGTTGCTCGATAAACGCAATATATGTAGGCGATGGGAGGCGCGTCTCCTGGCCGATGGCAGCTTCGATTCGGGCCCAGGTTTCCTCGTGGCGCTGCGCAAATTCCGGCCATGGGCATAGCCGGAGGGGATAATGCTTGCCGCCAATATCTGTCTGCCCCGATGTGGCATTCGACGTTTTGGACACGCTCGAAGTCTTGCGTGCAGTGGGAGAAGCTATCGATGTCCCCGAGGCCCTAGACGCCACGGGCACGTCCGGGATAGTGGTGACCACCTGGGACGTCAAGAGGCGCGGAAGATGCGAGGTGACCCTGGACATCTGGGCGAGATACTGGCGGAGAGTTTGGCCTGGAACGAGAGAGAGGAAAAGTACATTCAGGTTAGTGTTTCAACACACTCCACCATGGATACAAAGCAGTAAGGAGCAAGGGACAAGGGAAAGCGAGGGGTAAGTACCTTGGGCCTCCTGCGCGTATTCCGCCTTCTCTCGCCGAAGTGCTTCTTGAAAATTCGCAGCATCTTGTTGTGCCTGCGCTTCGGCGGCAATGCGAGCGACACGCTCCTGTCTTGCAGCCTGTTCTGCCTGCCTCGCTGCCTGTTCCGCCTGTCTTGCAGCCTGTTCCGCCTGCCTTGCTGCCTCTTCCGCTTGCCTTCTCTGTTCTTTCTCTTCTCTCGCGCTCTCTTCCGCCTGTCTCGCCCTTTCTTCCGCCGCTTCCAACTGTCTTCTTACCTCCGCTAGGGCAGCCAAGGGATCCTCGCTCGGTTTCGACATGATGGATCGATGATGTCGTGCACGGCGTAGCTGCGAAAAGCAGAATGAAAAGAGGACGACAGCGCGGTGAGGTTTGGTTGGATTGGCTTGCGGCGTGGCTTCTAGTAGTCCGAATCCGATGAGGGAAACGGGCGCTTGTAAATAGGTAAAGAGGTAGTGAAGTGAAGTGTGGATCTCTATTAAGGAAAGGCATCTAGGCAACCATATCCACAATATGCACGTGATATATGGGTCCTCTTCACGAAATACACGTGATGGTCCCACCCGTCAGTTGGCCTTCCCCGTGTTCCACTTTTCGCCCTTTCCGCGCCGCTCCACGCCTGTCTCGTCTCGCTTCCCAACTCCAACTCCAACTCTCACGTCCGACTCGAACACCTCCTCGTCCCCGATTGCGCCCCCGACGCACAACGCCGCAGATGCTGCTGCTGCCGCGCCCGACCGACGCCCCTGTCGCCCTCTGCTGACGTTTACCCATCCGATCGACTCATCTGCCTGTACGCGCCTCTGGCTAGCTTTCCCAAACAGCGCGAGTCCGCCAAATCAGTTTTGCTCCACCGACGCGATTCCAACGACATCTCGCGCATCGCCGAACGACGACCGGCCGGTACGCTTGAATCATACCCGTATGATCACTGTACAGTCGCATCTGCTCTGTTCTTGACCGGTGTCTGCGGCTGTCGGTGCTGGGACGTGTTGGCGCATTGTCCACTGTGAACAGAAGCTTCCAGACGAGCGTTGCATCGAATATTCGGCGTGACAGCCCTTCTACGTCGAAGCAGTCTGTCTTTTGCTTTGTCTTGTTGGGCTTTTCCTCGTCCGCCCTCTTCCTCGTGTCGTCGACCGCTATCGCCCAACAAATTCACCCCGCCGCTCTTTCTCCCGTTTTCACTTTGTCCACATCCATAGCCAGCATCCCTGTCACTTTGTCCTCGCTTACACTGCATCTGCCCTATGACCCTTGTACACACGACGACCACCTGCAGTCTCACCGCGGCCACCTCGGCCCATCCCGCACGCAACTGGTGGGGGAGCTGAAGGAGGAAGACCATGGGCGACCGCGCGCCGGAACAGGACTCGTTTCGGAATGAGCCTCAATGCTACAATTGCGGCATCACCGGCCACCAGACGATTGCATGTCCGGAGCCAACCCGGGCCGTGCCAGCGTGAGTATTCGCAGGCCGTGCGTGTCGACTGTGTCTCGTGACTCTACTAACACCCGAAAAGAGGCCTTGAAGCTCACCGCAAACGGCAGGCGTCCAAGGACTACAACGGCATCAACCGTAGCAATAACAACAATAACAACAACCGCAACAGCAACAGCAACAGCAACAGCAACCGTGGCGGCCGCCATAGTTTCAGCAACCACTCCGGCCCGGCTTCCGCGCAGAACCGGCACGCGAACGGCATGGTCGTCACCCGCTACCCGCCGCCGCCGGGCCCCAACGGTCCGCACATCACACACTACTCTCAACCATCGCGGCCTCCACAGCCACCGCCGCCCATGACACAAGCTCCCCCCCCTCCTCCGCCTCCGTCTCTTCCGCCACCTCCACCGCCACCCCCGTCCGGTGGCGGCGGCGCTCCGTCGTACCATCATCCGCCGCACCATCCTCACCCATCGCCATATCATGCCCAGACGGGCGCAGAGTCTTGGTCGTATCCTCCACAGCCGTCGTCATACAGCGGCGGCCAATACACGCCGACCGGCGGTCCTCCGTCTGCACCGGCATCGGCGCCGCCCGGCTTCCCATCGTACGACTCGTACAACCAACATCACCAACAACACCAGGGGCCGCCTTCTGGTCCGACCTCTGCTGGAGGACCACCGCCTCCGCATGCACCATACTACAACCAACATTATGGCCCGCCGCAGGCCGACTACTTTCCTCAGGCTCCGCCAGGCGTGACCGGACCGCCGCCGCCACCGCCGCCATCGGCACAATATGGCGCCCACAACTATCATCCGTCTCTCCCACCATACCCTTCTCACACGCAGCCACAGAATGGCTATCCTGGTAGTCAGTCCGGACCACCAGGCTCCTACCCGCCGCCGCCAGCTTTCCATTCTTTGCCAGGAGGCGAGCCGGGCCAGTATCCCGGCCCGGCTGTGTTGTCGGCACCCGCTGCTGTACCGGCATTCCCACATGGAAATGGTGGAAACGGTGGAAACGGTGGAAACGGTGGAAGCGGTGGAAGCGGTGCCAATGGCAACAATTCGTGGCGTGCAAATAATTCCAACAACAAGCTTGGTGGGAGCAGCTTTGGCAACAATTACAACAACCAGAACAATCAGAGCAACCGTGGTAGCCACCGTGGCGGTGGCTTTGCAAGAGGGCGCGGCGGCCGCGTGCCGAGTGGACAGTTTCACTCCAACAGTACACCGGCTGCTGGATCACCGCCTACGACTGGTCTGGCCATCCCGAGCGGCCCAAGTAGTGGTAGTGGTGGCGGCGGCGGCGGCGGCGGTGGTGGTGGTGGTTTTGGAGGCACACCAAACGGTGCGAGTCAAGCGGATAAGTCGCCGTCGCAACCCGACACAGTCCACAAGCCAGCACTGCCACCATCGAACTCGAGCATGGTGCACAAACTGCCGGAACGGCCACCAGGAATGCCTGCCAAGCCGCCGACACCCATCTCCATGCCCTACAAGGCTGGCGGAAGGCCGGGTGCGGCGAGACACGAAGGCAAGCCGTATGAATCGCCAAGCACACAATCCGGCGCCGACCACCACGACACGAGTGCAGGCCTCCTCCACCAGAAGCGCGGCCGTGACGACTACTTTTCTCGAGACGTAGACCGTGGCGATGCCAAAAGGACGCGACCGTCACCGGCCTTTGGCTCACCCCATAGCCATAGCCATAGTCATAGTCATAGCCACAGCCACAGCCAAAGCCACAGCCATCAGGGCCCCATGACGCCGGCATCACCCACAAGCGACCGTTTCGTCAACAACATCCCGACAGGACCACGAAATGGTCCAAAGGGACACCCGACCTTGCCGGGGCCGAATGGCCTCGCCTCCAAGCTGCCTGGTGGTCTGCCGGGCGGTATACCCGCAAGTCTACCCGCTAACCCGGCCTGGGCCAATCGAACGATCAACAACCGCATTCTGAGCTATGGCCAGAAGCCGGGAGCATCCGGTCCATCCGCAGCGCCCGAGCCGCCTGCGCCTTCACCGGGTTCCCACCACCACAGTCACAGCCACGGCCACGGCAGCACAAACGGCACGAAAGCGACCAGCATCCCAACAGGCCCGCGCCTTCTCTCGGCCGGCCCCGTCCCCAGCAGCCTTCCGTCCCGCCCTCCGCCGGTCCTGAAGGGTGTCGTTGGTGCCCATGGCCGCAGCGCCAGCACCAGCGCCAGCCGCAGTGGAGGCACACGCAGCCGCACCTTCTCCCGCAGCCGGTCGCGGAGCCGGACTGTGCAGGCAGGCGACGACACCCACACCACCGACCGCGGCGGTCGGAGCCGGACACGCAGCCGGAGCCGGACGCGTAGTAGAAGTCTCGACCGCAGTCGGAGTCGGAGTCGGAGTCGAAGCCGGAGCCGGAGTCGCAGTCGCAGCCGCAGTCGCAGCAGTTCACCGCTCGACGACCTGGAACTGGCCATGCTGGGTATGGCGCCGTCGGCGGCCGACAGCGGCCACACGCGACGCAACGGCAGCAGTGGCCGGCGGGCCCGTCGTGGCAGTGTCGACAGCGATTCGAGCGGCGGGCGATCCCGCTCCCGGTCGAGGTCCCGGTCGAGGTCTCGCTCTCGCGACCGGTCGCGAAATCGGGATAGTGACGACAGCGATGACAGCAGAAGCCGTGCGAAGAAGCGGATGCGCCATGTCAATGGACGCATTCCCAAACGGCGGCAGCCCAAAGAGTCGTCCGTGTACAGGTCAGTCTTCCGTTTCCATTGTGAAATTCATGCATCATGTATGTCGCACTAACACCCGTTTTAGTCGTCGCTGGTAGAAACCGTGACCGTCGTTTGCGGATGGGCTTGAATTCGTTTCCATGCTCTGCGGTTGTGTTTGGTTTTAGCCTTTGAATTATGCCGTCGTATTTCCTTTTTTTGGTATTTGGAGTATTCCCATCACAGCTGCGTTCTTTCTCTTCCATCTAAGCGTCATTTACTGGAGAAGCATTTTCGCTCGACTGTCGGGCTTTTCGCTATACTGTACTGTAATGTATTACTATTAATATTATTTTATTATTCTATTCTCATTTTTGTTCTTTGAAGTCCGTAACGTTGATTGGATATCTTTACCCGCATCAATTGGACAGTCCGCACGGATGCAATTCTCTTTGTTCACTGATAGGTACTCCCTTGCGTGCGACTTCACTCTTCACAGCACTACATTAACAGCTGTTCTTTGAACAACGGAAGACGCTTGGATCGGACCGCGCCCGAACACGCATCTACTATGTTGGATGCAATCGATACCTGTCGTCGTGCACGCTGATTCTGAAATCGAGATGCCCACCTGTTCTCGTCCTCAATACTTCCATACTGGCCAACGAGTTCAACCACGAACATACACACCGCATGCGTACCGAAATCGGCCAACATTTGGTTGTTCATCTTGCCAGCAAACAGTTCACGCCGTAGAAATGGATGCTCTCAGAAATCTATAAAGCCGTGTCGTCCCTCTGGCCGTTCCCAGTCTGACCTGCTCCCAAACCTTTTACTTTCTAAACACAGATCAAACTTGCTACCTTTTACAACTAACACAACTAACACAGCAACACAGCTAACACAACTAACACAAGTCCTTTTAGTCCGGACCCATCTCGAGATTCAAGATGGGCGCCGAGCAGTCAATCCCCTCCGCTTCTTCCCCCTCTTCTCGCCGCCATTCCGGTTCTTCTCACTCGTCTTACTCGGCTCAGTCTGCTCACTCCGCTCACTCGCCTCCTACTGCTCCGTCTCTTACCCGCTCCGACGCTGTCTACCACCATACGCCTCCGGCTCCTGCGTCTGGCTCCCACCGTGAGTTCCTCATGCGCCAGCAACAACTACTCCAGACGGCCTACAGCGAGCCTATCAACGCCGACTCCGACATCTTTGGTGACCTCCACGGCTGCGCTGCCCGTTTCTCGTCGCCGGTCTCGGTCTGCCCCTACAACCACTACTCCAACAGTAAGTCTTACATCCCCATCTCTGCCTGCACTTGTGACTACCGTACCGGTGGTCCGTCCCCTTTCCCGCCCCGGCTCTCCCGTACTCGTGCACTCCGCTCTTCGGCCAGCCCCTCGGCCCGCCCTGGCTCTCGCCGTGATATGATGCTTCGAAATGCTAACCCAATCAGTGATCCTCCTGTTTATCTCCCGGACGACTTCGATTCTGCGGCGACGCCCTCTTCTCCCTCCGTGGCACCTCCCTCGCCTACCTTCTACCCTTCTTTCATGGTCTCGTTCGATGACATCGTGGACATGGGCTACCCGGTCCTTATCGATCCCTCGCCGGCTCCTCAGTACCTGGTGAAGCCCAAGACACCCAACAGCCGTCCGGTCAAGAGTCGTTTCCGTGAGGAATTTTAAAGCTCCTTGTCTGAATCGTCATAAATCGTCATCCGTTCCCGGTCATTCGTGGCTTTGACAGCACTACATGGTAAATCAAATCGCATCACAGCACAAAACTAACAAAAAATACAGATTCCACTGTCGAGTCGAGCACTTTGGTGAGTTGAGATCGCCACAAGTTGCTCCTGGCATGAAATTCATGAAATTCATATCAAACAGACCCACGTTTGTTAAACCAATTTCGTTTGCTATCAAGCACAATAAACATTAAACCATCTCGTTGGTCATGCTCGGGAATACCCTTTGAGCAGTAAGAAGGAACTAAAGAACAAAATAAAGTAAAAAATTCTAACCGAAAAAAAAAAAGAAATAAAAAACATGGCCTTCAAATTGCTGTAACACAAACAACACGTAAATGACTCGTAACTGTACTGTTAAGGAAGAAAAAGATCCCGATGCAGCAACTAACAACTAAATAAACGTCTAATCAGACACTTACATGCCCAACAGTTTTACTACTGTCCACCTCCGACAACTCAACGCAACCGCCAATCAACGGTGCCAATATCATGCAATGCGGCACTTTGCGGCTGCAACCGCTAGAACCGCCTATAGTCACAGGCCTGAGCTTCCCCGCAAATAGGGCTGAGAAATGACATAGCTTGGCCTCAAACTTCGCCCCACCCCGGTTCGGTCGCTCTTTCCCAGCCCAACTGTCCTGCACGTCACAGGCAACCACCGACGACGCACGCCATAGCATCACCAACAGTTCTCTCGCTGCATATATCAGACCCCAGCGCCTCACTTGTGTCTACTTCAATTGCTGCATCCACAACATCCGCATATTCATCGCAAACGTCGCCATTTCCATTCGGCATCCATTCGACATTGCAGCAGAACAGCAGTTATCGCAGCTGGCACCGTTTACACCGCATCAACCAGCTGTGCAACCATCGCAACGCATCCCAAACAGACTGCATCGCACCAGAACTCTATCCACCATCTTTCGTTTCGCCACCCATCTGACATCCCTTGCAGCATCACAACATGACCCTCAAAAGTCAAGCCGAGTCGTCTGGCACCGACCGCCTGCTGTCCACCATGAACGCGGTCCTGCCTGCGCCCCGCGTCGACAACACCGGCGAGGTCTTTACGCTCTTCGTCCACGCCTTTCTCGTTAACGTCGGCTTCGCCTTCCAGCACATCTCACGCTACAGCAGCCGCGATGGCTCACGGCTAGACGGCAACAGCACCAGCCACGGCCACGGCCAGGATCAGGACCCGGACCAGGACCAGGCCTCCGGCTCGACAACGACACCGTCAAGCAACCGGCTGCCGCCCACATGGAACGCCGGCAGCGCGTATTCCGTGACCGAGCTGGTCTACACGCATCAGAATCACGCCAGCACAGTGTTTGCCTTCCGGGTCCACGTGTCGGGCGTGCATGTCCATATTCTGGGCACGTCACAGCCGTTGTCGGGCTCTGTGGCATCCCCGCCTGTGCGCCTCGCCCAGGTGCCGCCTGACGGCATCGCCAACAATGGACAGCGCGTGGCCTCGGGCCGGTTTGTCGCGGCGAGCTATTCTCTCGACATTGCCGGCGGCCAGGCCGTTGCAGCCATCTTCACCGAGCACGCCGCGTCCAGCCTAGCAAACGACTTCCAGTTCTACATCCTACAGCGTCTCGTGCCGACACTCCAGCACGAGGGATATGTGCGTCTAGAAAGCCCTCCGTCTGAAGCTGGAGCTGGAGCTGGGGCTGGTGGCGAGAAGCAGAGCACGCACGCAATTGTCACCGACAGCGCCCAGGCCCGGCAATGCCTTTGCGGCGCCTCCCTCCCTGACACCGGAGCCCAGCGGGATCCCGACGACGAGCCCCCCACGCGCTCGCGCCTCCAGGAAGGCCAGCCCCAGCACGCGCAGCCGCCCCTGCTCCCGGAGCTGGCCGCGTCCACGCCGCTCGGCCCCATCATAGACGACTTTACGCCGCCGGCTGCCGCGCCCCGCCCCGGTGGTGGTCCCCATGTGCCCGGCCCTACTGCCGACTTTCCGCCGCCGGGCTTTGAAGACGAGCACCAGATGCTGCGGACGACGGGCCCCCGCCGCGGCGACTTCAACCCCAGCATCGGCGCCGACGACCTCAACCCGCCCAGCCTAGGCCCGCAAGACCCGCTGCGGCCATCCCGGGGTATCGGCGGTGTAGGCGGTGTAGGCGGTGTTGGCGGTGTAGGCGACGGCAGCTTTGGCGGCATGCACCCGACCTTTGACGACCCATTGTTTGCCGGGATCCGTGGACAGGGTGGACGCGGTGGCGGGGTCCGTGGTGGTTTGCCGCAGAATCCGCCGGGCGCACGCTGGGACGACCCCGGCCCGGCGGGTATGGATCCTTCCGGCATCTACGACGAGTTTGGCGGTGAGGGCATGCCGCAGTTCCCTGGCGGCCGTGGACGTGGCGGTGGCTTCGGTCCTGGTGGAGGGTTCGGTGGAGGGTTTGGCGGCGGAGGCGGATTTGGCGGATTTGGCGGTCCAGGCAGCGGCGGCAGCGGCGGTTTCGGAGGTTTTGGCGGAGGCGGGTTTGCCTAGACGAGTTCCTTCCACGTCTCTAATGGTGCTTTGGTATTTTAAACCCCAAATTGTCACAAGTACGGCCAATATTGTGGAATAGTTGGAAGTTAATGTTCAATCATTTTAAACCTCAACCACTCAGTCCAACATTGCACATGTGATCTTCACAAGCTTTAAATAAATTCTCAAGTTTTGTATGTGCTTGTGATTCAATCAGGCTCTGTGCCATCTGACTTTTCTTTCGGTCGTGATCCCGTTGCGACCTCGTCAAATCGACAGTGAAACGAATATTAATAAAGAGGTATATCCACCCATTTTCTCCTGCACGCTGTGCATCCTACAGCTACCACAAAGCTCCCCAGCAAAGTCCGTTCCACTTATGCCAGCTCGTTCAGCTTCTGTTGCTCCACCGGCGTCAGCTGGTCGTACCACCCCTTGAACCCGCCCGTGTCCTCACGCGCTGCCCGCAAGAAAAATTCCGTCAGGTACGCTTGCGTCTCGTCGTCGCGTGAGCGGCGGTTGGCCGGACCGCCGTCGAGGTACGAGAACAGGTCGTTCTTCGTAGCGCCGAGGCTCAGGTCCAGGATGTCGTCGGTCTCGTCCTCCCATCCAGAGTCGTCCTCGTCCTCGTCGTCGCCACCGCCCTCACCGCCCTCGCCGGCGTCCTTCTTGGCCTCCTTGCCCATAGCCTCAGCAGCGGCCGCGGCTGCTGCACTACCGCCGACCTCGAGCGAGGCAGCGCCCGACTTGCCCTGGGCGGACGTGAGCTCCTCAATGAGTAGCTTCAGCACCTTGAGCGGAGCCGGGATGATCGTGTACTGATCCGGGTCTTTAACAGGCACGGTGAAAAAGTCAGTGATCGGGAGCGGGACTAGCAAGGTGCATTTTGTACTGTGTGAGCGCGGAAAAAAAGGAAGTGAGAAGGGACGAAGATGGTGGACAAAGGAAAGGCAAGAGAATACGCACTCTGCTTTGCGCGCGACCGCGTCATTATCCGGTCACTCGTGGGCACAATCAGGTCACCCTTGACCTGGGTCTGGTTGATCAGAGGATCGTTGAGGTCGTACAGCTTCGAGAGAGCAATGACACTAGAGTTGGGTTAGTATACAGTTCACTCTCAACGGAAAAGCGAGGAGAAGAAAAGAAAAGCCTACTTTTGCCGAATCTCGTCGTAGCCTGCAAAGTTGGCCGAGTTCTCCAGCCACTTGCTCAGCACCACGGCCAGCCCATTCTCTTGGCCGACAGTAATCTGGCTTAAAAAGGCCACCACTTCGCCGGCAGCCGTCAGGCAGAGACGAGCAAACACGAGGATCAACGACTGAATAAACGGCGCCGTCTGTGCCGAGCTCAGCCGGTTGGCCACGGCCTGCAGAAGACGCTCCAGCATGCCGTCGCCCAGGCGCTGGTGGCCGGCCTTCTCAACCAGCTCTGCCGCCAGGCCGCCCACCTCGGACGCAGAGTTGTCCTCGACCGCCGGGCCCAGCAGCCGGTCAATGATCTGCAGGCACACAACCAGGCCGTTGTTTCCCAGCTCGTCGTGCCACTCAAACATCTGGTGGTGGTCGTGGCTCAGCATGTACTTGAGCGCCTCAGCACCGGGACGCAGCAGCTCGCCCTCGTCCGACTCCATCAGCAGCTTCTTGAGCTTGGGTGCCACCTGGGCCACAAGACCCGCCGGAAGCGGCTCCGTGCCGCTCTGGAGGAGTACGGCAATGAGCTCCGTCGCCATAGTGATAAGCGGTTCATCCTGGGTCAGGTCTGAGAACGTGAAGAAGCCGTTAAGCGTCGGGATCACCTTGGCGCACAAGGCCACATACGATGTGGGGTCCGAGAGGGCCTCGACAATCTCCTCAAAGCAGTCGTTGACAATCAATGTTACGTGGAAGTTGTTCGCGCCGCAGCGCGCAATGGCAAAGAGCAGGTCGATCGACGGGATCGTCTCGTTGGTCAGGATGACACGGGGTTCCAGGCCGATGGTGCGGCGCAGCGTCTCGCAAAACGTGGCCAGCAGGTCGTCGGCGTCTTCAATGTCTGCCGGATCGCGTGCGCCGAGGAAGTCGTTGAGCGCTTGCAGGATGGGCACTTGCCGCTCAGCGGGCGCAGCAATGCCTTGGCCGGGCTGCGGCGGGCGAGCTTGAAGGAAACCGTCCAGAGCCTTGATGCAGGCCACCTGAACGAGCTCCGACTCCGCCTTGGTGATAGACAGGATGGCATTGTCCAGGTAGCGCAGACCAAGCGCGTTTGACTGGGAGATGAGGCCGGCCGCCAAGTAGCCACGGGCCACCAGCAGCGACTCTTGGCCGGCCGCAGTGGATGGCTCGACGAGGGCGAGGTAAGCGTTGGTAATCTCCTCGGGGACGGGGTTGCCGCAATCCAGCATGTCTCCACCAAGCATCGTGAAGAGGTACAGGGCAGCCTCCTTGGCGCGCCAATCGCCACCACTGGGCTGGTCGGCTGCGAAAAGATCGCGCGAGCGCGCATAGAGGCCCTCCAGAGAACGCTGGCCGAGCCACTCGCCCAGCTTGATCAGCAGGTCGCCGCAGGCCGTGCGCGCCGTGTAATTGGCAGTGACGGACGTTTCCTCGGACAGGTACAGCGAGACATCAATGTCCCAAAGCTCTTCCTCCTCCCGCGTAATGCGTGCGTAGTTGAGCAGCAACGCCATCAGCTCGGCCAGCCACGGCGTGTCGTGAGCAGCAACGCCGCTGTTGGCCAGCTCCTCGTTGAGCTGCTTCTGAACCGGCGGCGCACGGATGCACTGGTTGAGGAAGTCGAGCTCCTCAAGTACGAGGAAGTCGAGCGTGTAAGGCAGGCCGTCGGCGTCCTCGAGACGGCTCTGGCTGTCCTGGTCAATGTAGAGCTGCTCGTAGGCACCCTTGAGCAGGGCTAGGTCCTGCCAGGTCTCCTGGAAGAATATGGGGCTCTGGGGCAGCAGCAGCGACGAGAAGACAGTCTTGATCTTGAGCAGGGTCTTGACACACTGCAACTTGAGGGCCACCAGACCATTCCAACTCTCCGACTGCTGGCCTTCCTTGCTTGCAGGCTGGTCGAGCGGCAGCTGCAGCTTCATGACGTCGTGGAAGAAGGGCAGCCAGCCCTGCAGAGCCTCCTGCGCAAACGCCTTGACCTCCTTGAGGTGCTCGTCCTTGACCATGTCCATCAGGTCAAAGCTGCTGCGGAACACCGAGACAGCGAGTGCGCGCAGCAGCGGCTTGCGGTCGCCCGACACAGAAACCTGGTACAGCACCTCGACAATGCTGCGGGCCACAGCGAAGAACTGCATCTCGGTCAAGCCGTCGTCAACCAGATCGCCCAGCACGCGTAGCGCGCCGTGTATTTGTGAGTCGGTGCCCGAGCGGATCACAGCCAGGAGAGACTCAAGCAGGTCGGGCCAGCGCTCCGGGTAGTCGACACCGGCGATCTTGCCCACCACAAAGCTCACCGCCGCCTGAACGCGCCGTTCGCTCCCGTCACGCGTTGCCAGCTCCAACAGCTGGACGCGGATCTGCTGCTTCACGTCGTCGCCAATGGGGATACGAGAGGCGGCGGCGCTGGCCTCGTCGTCGTCCTCGTCGTCGACATCGCCGCCTAGGCCGCCGGGGATCCAGTTGCGCTGAATAAATTGCCGTAGCACGGTGAGGCCGGACTGGCGAATCTCGGCCGGGTAGGAGGAGGTCGCGGCAATGGCGGTCAGCAGGCTCGGGAACGCGGGACTGCTCTGGGCGCTCTTAAGCCCGAGCTCGGCGCGTTTCCGGGGCTCCTCCTCGGGCCGCTGAGTGTCACTCAGCAGGCGGACGAGCTCATCCATCGTGACGAAGAGCTTGTTTTCCAAGGGTCGAAGTTGGTCAAAAGGGGACGCGGTTTGGCGGCAGCTGTCGTGGCTCGATGGTGTGTTTGTGAGTGGCCGAAAATCGCGAGAATCTCGACCAATCTGGACTTCCACGAACCAAAAGAACAACAATTGGAGGTGGAAGAGACGAAGAGGGAGGGGAGGATGTCACGGGAAGGAAAAAGGTCGAAGATTGGAATGGCCAGTCGAAAAGAAGAGGGAGAGCAAATCGGAAACCGAGGAACCTACAGCCCCAAAACTGGACCAGGGAAGGAGCAAAAAAAAACCTGCGAGGGCGGCAGCTGCGACCCATGGCGGGGTGTCTTGCCCAAAAGTAAACAGCAAGAGCGACTGAACCCCTGTACTTATGGCGGGGGAGCCGTTGTTGTGACAGGCGGTCTGTGCGCTGTGCAGCAGGTGCCTCCAAACGCCAGGGAGAGGCAGATTCCAAGGCAGTACAGAATAGTCACGGCGGCCAAACACCTCTAAGGCGAAGAGGGGCAATCACGTGTTTTGGCGTCTCGCACAGCGTTCGTTAGTGAGCAACTTTCCTGAACTGGCCTGTAAGTCAAAGGCCAGCGGCATCCAACGTGACAAGGATCACGATGTCCTGGCAAAAGTGTGTCAATTTGGTCAATTTGCAGCCTTCGACGACGACGCAGATATCAACATGTCGTCCCTCTCACTAGACGAGGCTGCACGGCTGTACAGCACCCTGCATCACTTCTTTGAGGTTGCAGTGCACGCCATCCTCTACTACCGACGACTGTATCCAGAGCGCGCTTTTGCTTCGGCAACCGCGTTTGATGTGCCTGTCCACCAAAGCCGGCATCCTGCGGTGTGCGCTTGGGTACGAGCAGCCGTCGAGCATGTCATGATACAGATTGCTGGTGGAGAAACGGACGAGAACAGCTTGCCTGCGGACAATGTCAACGCCGTTGCCGTGGTAGTCCACGCACCGTATAAGACAACAGCTGGCAGTGCACAAGCGCACAGCCTGCCTCCAGGCGCCGTGCTGGAGCGCTGGGTGTTTGATGTGCGTCATCTGCCGCGTGGCTGGCCTGGCGGAGCTGAGGTACTGCGTCGTACGCAGAAAGACACTGATAAACGTGGCCGCCAAGATGAAGAGCGCGACCGAGAACGGCGTGGTCGGCGACGCAGACGAATTTCGCCAGACAAGGCTGACACAGACGGAACGGAAGAGGGCCTGGGTGTTGAAAATGGAGGGCGGTACAACTACTACGATGAAGAAGAAGAGCTTGCCAATGCCGAGTCTGAGGCAGAGCTGGACGAATCGGGATCCGCAAGCGAAGGAGCCGGAGACGAGGACGAGACGGCGGACGTTCCACAAGCAGGCAGTGCCGACGCAATGAATTGGAAAGACCTCAACGACCAACTACGGGGCGTTCTACAACGACTGGCCCAGGCTGGGCAGCAACTCGGCTCGCTCCCTAATGGTTGTACCTTTACTATGGCCATCGAGCTCGGTGACGGAGACAGGGCCGAACAATACTCCAAAACGCGAGATGTGGACGCAAACTGGGTCCCAGAGGTGGGCTCGCACAGAAGAAAGTTTGGAGGCGGATCGACAAGCGGCGTAGGTGCGTCAACAACATCCATACGTTCGATTGATAGTACGCCGTTGTTCCTCGAATGTTGGGTAGAAGAAAGCGCCGTGAAGCAGGCGGCAGCAGAAGGAGCACCACGTGCTAAACTAGCAGCCACCGCTCGAAGTGCTGGAGATTTGCAGCCTCCTCCTCCAGCCGCGTCTACTTCGACGGCAACATCCAACGGCTCGTTCAGCTTTGACAAGATTATGGCACCGCACAGCTCCATTAACGGTGAAGGTACACCGCAAACGAACAAAGGCAAAACGGTATCGTTTTCTTGATGACCGGTAAAGAACGGGACATCTCACAAAATAATAAGCGCCAACGATACATGCATAACTCCCAGCAATGCGTCCAGCCCCTACTCGGCGGTGATCATATTCTCCCAGAAACGCAGTCCTGCAATACCCTCTTCCCGACACAGCGCGCCACGCTCCTCGGCCATCTCCAGCTCCTCCTCGGCCACGCCAATGCTCCAGCCAAACCGCTCGGCCGTCTCTTGTGCACTCACGCCGCGACCAAATGCCTGCCAATCCCAAGGCACAGATGGTTCACCACGCTCTTCCGGCGGTACTGCGCGGATGTCCCGCAACCAGCCCAGCAGGGCCCTGACTGTGGCCTCGTCGGTACGATCGCTGCTCTGGACCACCAAGACGCCGCTCCGCTTGAACGTGCGAAGCCGGACCGGCAGCCGAAGTGACTCCCACAGCCTGGCCGCCTTGACAAGATCCATGGGACTAACCAGCTCAACGCCGCCACGGGCCCGGTTGAACATGGCCCACAGGTCAACAAGGCTCATAATGCCGCCAGCCTTCCTTAGCACGCCGCGAGCATCATCGGTCAAGAACTCTGCCAGGTTGCGTGCAAGCTCTGATAGGTAGAGCGACTCACGTCCACTGCTGCCACCACCGCCGACAATGTCCTTGGTGGTCACCAGTCCAAGCTGGCTGCTGGCCGATTCGGCGAGCAACATGGCGTCTGATGACGACGACGATCCTGCTGTACTTGTTCCCGTCTGCCGTGCGAGTTGCTCGGCCAGGGCGACAATTTGCTTGGCCGACGCCATCAGAGCTTCCAGGTCCTCAAAGGCGCCGCCAATGACAATCTCGTTCTTCTTGCGCATGTCCACGCCGCGCTTCTCCAGGCCAGCAATACCCGCTGTTTTGACGATGCGCGGCCGGGGTTCGTCGAGTCCCGTGCCGCTCAACGACGACGATCGGTTGAGACCGTTGCCTGACGAGGAACCCGGTGCATCCTGTGACGCGCCCCGGCCGCTCAGACTCGGGATGGGCGGCGCATTGTGCAGCAGCCACTTGCGCTGCGCAATGGAGCCTTTCATTCTCTCGTAGAACATCTTCTCGCCGCCGCCACGGAAGGACAGCTTGATACTCTCGGCAGCATCGGTGCCTGTCTGCGATGCTGGCGAAAAACTCGCAGCAACCACGGGTCCCGGTGACTCGGTGCGCAGCTGGTGTGTCTGTGTAAGCTCTGCGGGGAGGTCACGCGACACAAGCGGCGCTCCGCACATTTCGCAGGCCATGAGCGACGGGTGGTTCAGAAACGTGCACCGTGGGCACTGGAAGGATGCGTCTGGATCCGGGGCGCCCGTCTGTACCGCTGCTGCTGTCGTTGTGTCACCAATGCTGCTTGCTGCCTCCAGAGACGAGGGGTCGGGCTGCGATAATGGCCGGGGCCGTGACGGCAGCGTCTGTGTGACGCCGTTGCCGTTGCTGCTGCTGCTGCCCGAGACCTGCGGGCGATTGGCAGCGTTCGCGATCACCGCCTTCAGAACGTGGGTCAGTGTTGGTGGAATACCACACGCCAGACACGGCGGCATCTGCGTATGTGCATTCAGCGACTCCGGGTCAAAGTTGGACGGCACCGGGTTGGAAAAGCTGCAGATAGGGCACACCCAAGTCGCTGCTGCTGCCGGTGGTGGGCCGCGCCGCGCAGACCCATTGCCTCCACCGAGTGGTGATGCTGTGCTGCTACGCGCTGGACTCGATCCGACGCCCGATGCCGACCGAGCATGCTGTGACGCTCGTTTTGCAGGTTTGGGGTACAGTGTGACTTTTGGTGATGATTTGAGAAAGCCGGCCTTCACACGCAACAAATGTTAGTCGCGCATACCTAATAGTGCGGCATGCCACACACGATACGTACGGGGAAACCAACATAGAATTCAAATCGCTCGATGTCCTTGAGCTCCACCGCGGCCGAGTATCGTCGCGGGTCTTCCTTGTCGACATAGCAGATGCGGTGCGACGTCAGGTAGACCTGGCCATTCTGCTGGTTGAGGATCTTGTATTTTCTAGACCATTAGATTTACTGTCAAAGCAACTCTCATAAAAGTGTCGGCCATTGTCGCTCACCCCTCATACAGTCCGACGTTGTCTTGTACGAAGAGCAGGTCCTCATCCGGCAGATACAAGGGCCGCAGCGCCGTGGTGAGGTCCAACTGCTTTAGGGACATCCGTCATATCGCTCGAGGGCGCTCAGTCCCGGGTGTTTCGTCGTGTTGTCGGTGGACTGTGCCGATGGCCCCATGCAACTTTTCGTGTGTGCTTTTAATATTAATGTCTGTGTGTCGTGTAAGGTCGCCTGGATAGCTTCTCTGATGGCGGGGCGCCGACGCAATACAACCCCAATTGTTAGCCATCACGATTATGTCATCACCGCATAGTCGCATACGAGACAAGTATTCTTATATACGACTTAACATTCAAGCGCTCTAGCCGCTTTTCTTGGGTCTTCCCACACCCCTGGATGCCTAAATAAACTCTAAACTCTTGCCTCTTCACAACCACCCTCTTTTCACACGACGCTTGACTTCGCTCCTCATCACAGTCTACCACCGTCATATCGCCCTCTAAACTGCTACTAACCTTCAAGTGATTGATTGATTCGACTCTAGCCAACGGCCGACGACGTCGCTGCCCTCCACTATGGCGTCTTGGAACTCCGCACCGTCATCTGGCGGTGCTCATCCGCCCGGCTATCCGACATATCCAGGTAGGCATCACCAAACATCGAGAACGATTATAACAAGGCGTCTTCCGACCTATGCTGACTTTTGGCCAGGTACAGCCTACACCGCTGTCCAGGTTCGCCAGTCCTTCGGCGCTTCACCCCCGTATCCCCCAGCACCCTATTCAGTTCATGCTCCTCCTCCTCCACCACCACCACCACCCGCTGCTTCCGAAGAAAAGAAGAAGATCGACTGGCCGGCGTCTGTCCGTAGTTACGTCCAGCGATCGTTTCTGCCCCAAAACCTTGATCCCTCTGTGTCACGACCTGAAATGGAAGTCAAGTTAAAAGAAACCATCTCCCACGCAAACGATACCAACGTCATGTATACGATCGACTGGGACAGTATGCCCCTCCCACAGCAGTTAATCCGCGAAGAACGAGCGCAGGCTCTGTACGCGGCTGCTGCTTTAGTACAGCAGACGCAAGCCACCACTGCCGGGTCGTACTACAACATCAATGCTGAGGGCCACAAGAGCAACAGCAACAGTTACGTAAATCCGAACCCCAAGAAGCGGAAGTCCAACGACTATCAAGAAGACGACAGCTCGGGCGCTCTGTCGTGGAGGAAGAATGCTGCACCCCTGTCCGATCGCATCCAGCGTTCCGAGACGACAGAGCGGCCTAGCAAGCTGAGCAAGAAGGAGAAGAAGGAGAAGAAGGAGAGGAACGCGCAGCAAGGGAATAGCAGCAGCAACAGCAGCAGCAACCACAACGGAATCAGCCAGGCCATCGATATGCCAAAGAGTAAGTTTCAAAAGCAGCTCGAAGAGCGCAAGTCGCGATTCAACAGCACGGCCTCGTCAAACCGCCAATCCTCGCCCGCGCGATCTTTGACACCGGACGCGACCGGCGAGCCAGCGGGACCCGTGGTAGGCACGTCGGAAAAGCTCGAGAAGTCGTATTTGCGGTTGACGTCAGCGCCCAACCCGGCGCTGGTGCGGCCCGAACGCGTGCTGCGCCAGTCTTTGGACCTGCTCAAGAAGAAGTGGCGGCAGCACGGCGACTACGGCTACATTTGCGACCAGTTCAAGGCCATGCGGCAGGACTTGACGGTGCAGCGCATCCGCAACGACTTCACGGTGCTGGTGTACGAGATCCACGCGCGCATTGCACTCGAAAAGGGGGACCTGGGTGAGTATAATCAGTGCCAGACGCAACTGATGGCCCTGTACCGGCAGGGCCTAAAGGGAAACCCTATCGAGTTCAAGGCGTACCGCGTCCTCTACTTTATCCACACGGCCAACCAGGCGGCCCTCGGCAACGCCATGGCCGATCTAACCGCAGACGAGAAGAAGGAGGAGCCGATCCGCCACGCCCTGCAGGTGCGGTCGGCACTGGCGCTGGGCAACTACCATCGCTTCTTCCAGCTCTATCTCGCCACGCCCAACATGGGAGCCTACTTGATGGACATGTTTGCGAATCGCGAGCGTCTAGTTGCCATGTGCAACATATGTAGAGCGTGAGTCCCCCGTTGCCCTTTTGTTTCTTCTCTCGTGGTAGAAGAATTGCGTGCTAACTCGTCGCAGGTACAAACCCGATGTGCGGTTACGGTTCATCACTGAAGAGCTTGGCTTCGAGTCCGACGTTGACGCTGCCCAGTTCATTATCGACCACAAGGCCCAAGAGCTGCTTGAGGAGCGCGAAGACCACATCGCGTTCCTCAGTGCCAAGGGCCTACAAAAGTTTGACGAGGCCCGTCAGGCCGCGTTCCGCAGAATCAAGACGCGGAACGAAAAGTAATGAGCAGTACCGTCTCCGAGTTCTTTTCCGCCGTCCTTTCTTCCGGCCTTGTCCTCTCTTTTCTCGCCATTCCCAACTCTACTTCAGAAACGTATCCCGCCGTGTAGATTGCCTCCCCCCTCCCGTCCTCTTTACCACGTCCCCTTCTTTCATCTCTCTTTGACCCCCTGCGTCATTTTGCGCGCTTTCAGATTTGATGCATAATCAACTGGATGGTGCTTTCATCCATCTTTTGCTCTGGTTCCTCCTTTTCATTCCCTTCATATTTCCCTTCTCGTTTATCCGCCCTGTTCACGTCGCTCCTTTTGACCAACGACTCGTCGCCTTGTTCCTTGTTCCAGCTATTAGACATGATTCCGACTAAACCTGCGGCTCTATATTCCTTTTCCTCTTCCTCCCTCACAAATACGTCTAACTTCGTTCTCATAATGTCCCGTGGGCTCCTTTCTCTTGTGATGGCACAGACGCATTTTTCGCGTATATAATTAGCAAGCCGTGCGTCTGACTCGTTTCCAGCGTTGTCAGAAATGGATTTTTGATTTCCACGCGCTACATTTTGTTCGACTTTTCATCATTCATGGTTGGCGTGCGTTGGTTCGTTTCGGTTGTTCAGTTTGCAAGAAAGGCGCCAATTCTGCCGGGTTAAGCTTACGACCGCTCCAATTGATATTATTTCTGCGTGGCTTTGTCCGATCCTCTTTTATTTGCCAGCCGCTTGTTGGATGACGAAGAGATTGGAGTGTGATTCAAGTGCAAAGGAATCATTGTTTGTTTGACACTATCGTCAGGTTGGGCTGATTCCGGGGGCTCCAAGACAATAACCAGATTATATGTTTTCCGGCCGTCGCTTCGTTCGGAATCTGGCCGCGCAATGGCTTCACCCAGAACTATGGAATGCCGGGCACTTCACACCGGTCAGTGGATGCGTCTGGCTCCGGCGAGACTCGGTGCTGCACCAACATCAGCTTGGAACATGTTGCGGTTCCATCGGACGTCAACAATGGAAATACGTATTTATGATACCGGCCGGTTTTGTGCATGCAATAGGCTACTGAGTTTGTTTGGTTTTTTGGAAGCTGGGGCTACCCATATCGTCCTATGCCGGCTTCTTCCATGTTACTATTGACTTGTGTCTGATGTCAATGATATCGGCACGTCCCTGTCTACTTGCTGTTGCGAATGTCGTCCACTACAGGAAACAGACAACACACACGAGGGGTTCGTGATAATACGCAATACTTTTAAGAATAAAGTCGAGCGTGTTCTGCATAATGAAAATTATTTGCAATTATGTGCAAAACTCGTAATGAACGATCTCCTCAATTATTGTGATAAAAACCGTAACTGCCAGCACGTCTAAAGGACGTGCTGGATAACCGTCTCCGCTTTTCAACACATATAATCAACAAGCATGAAATGCCTTGTAGTACATTCGACTTCAATCTCGAAACGCCCAGACGAACATGAGTACCACTGCTTCATTGAGGCAGTGCTCGTGGCTGCTCGGAACCGTCCTGATCCGAAAAGAACGCCAGCGAAGATATCGATTTGCGGCAAACACCCCGCAAATACCGACCGTTTCTTTCGTCACCCAGTAATAAGGAGAAACAAGACAAGAATAGACAATGGCGTGTGGTCTCGTGCTTGGGCACGTCGATCGTGCTGTGTGCACACCATCTTCCACGGCTCGCCTGGCTGGCTGCCCCCCTTCGTTTGCTTCGGTCAGAGCCACACTCGGCACTCAGTCTCAGGGAGAGTGGTGTGGAGGATGAGAGGCAGCAGCTGGGGCCTAGCCATCGTTTGCCCGACCACTTCAAACGTGAGAATTTCCGAATGCATGAATTTCGGTTCATTTCCCTGTTCGTCTGTTGTGGGATTTGGAATTCCGTCGATCCTCTGCCGATTTTTTTATTTTAAAAAAAAAATCTTGTTGTTTTCCATAATTTTGAAATCAACACCATCGCCCGTGAAAGAAAAAAAAGAATATAGTGGCCGTCCTCGTGGTAACTAGATGTCATTGTTCGACGTACTATCCGCTTTCGTCGATTGCATTAATGTGTGGCGAAATGAACATAGAATGTGAAACGGCCCTCCAAATGTCGTCAACTAATTCGTGGTGCTGGTATTAGTGCCGTCTCTCAACCAACGTCCGCCTCTTTCCTCACTTTTTTCCGTGCCCTCAGCGCTCACAAACGAGACATGTGCAAAACGACGACGAAGGATTTTTTCTCCCTGGTCGGTTCGGCCCTCTCTCTCCTATTTTTCCACCTGTCGGCTATCCGCTTCGCATCAAGAAGAAACAGTCTTGGTACTTTTGTTTACACCTTGTAAGTCGAAACACACTTTCGTTGACCCACGATTTCGACCCTCGCCATTGTTCTTCTTTTCATCACCCGAAAGCGTTGTGTCGGATATGATGTGATATGGCCCGGGCCCCATGTCTCTTCACAGGGACGGGGATTTTTGGAAGCGGCTAAGAGACGACGATCAAGGGGATGTGGCCGAGAGTCTGTTCCCTGAATGATTGCTTTCCTTGGCGTAAAGTGGTTTGGAAAGGAACAAAAGAATTTGGCCTCGCGTGCCGGAGATCTTGGCGGGGGTTGTGCATTCCAGAACAGTTTGAGACAAATTCATGCCTTGTCCCCTGCTACATCACGGACATCAACCAGGGCGATGGTAACAAGGAGCCAGGGTGGCACACTCATAGTAATGTAGCTGCGTTGGCGGAGCATGCCGAAGAAATGTGACTTTTGTGGGAGTTGGAGATGCGGCAGGGGGCATTCGGGCATTCGAAAAGATGTTCGAGAAAGTGAAAAGAACTTATCCGGCGAACAGACTCGCGGAGGTCGCGCTGAGAGTTGCTACATTGAGGAAAGGCAGTGTTGGGCGAATGGTTCCTGTGATTGGCGGCGCAACCTCCACAAGTAATCTCTGCGCTGAGAAAAATCAAACGAGGCGATAATCTTCAGGCATCATCGAGAAAACATGAGACCGAATATGGTCTGGGCTATGAGACCAGAACACACAATAGCTGGCCAGCAAATGAGACCCTCACATTTTGACGCGCGCTCTTGTCGACGAAACAAAAACGGCTCACCGCGGCCGGCGTTTAAGGGCCACACTGGCCAATCTTATTGCCAAGGACTCGAAGATATAAATCGAGGAAACAGGAACAGGGCAACTTCAAGCACCACCTGGTTGGGTGTAAGCAACGGATGACTCAAAGGGAAACAACTTAACACAAAGTTAAGCGCCGGGCAGTGACTTGTAACACGAGCTCAGGCAAGCGTTTCTTGATAATGAGCAGTTGAGCCCAAACAGTGGATTCTCTAGATCAGTCAGCCAGATTTACCAGCAACGATGTGAGTGGTGTCTCCTCCAGGACAGCCTCGACGCTCACCTCTTCATGGCCGTCCCTGTCCGAGCAGTTGCCAAATGTGATACCTGCATGCAGTGTTGCAGCCTATTCTTCTCATCCTAAAGCCGGCCACGAGAATGCATCTTCGGTTTGTTCGTAGTAGGCGGTGCCCTCGCGATATGCAAGGGCATGCGAAAAGGGACAATGTTTTTTTATTCTCGGCAGGGGGGAAATGCAAGTCAGATGGCCGGTTGTTTCTTGCCCTTGCCTGGCTCCAAGTGCTCGCCCACCTTATTGCCATGAATTTTATCATGTCTCACGGGCGTGTTCTCGTCCCCTGCAGATATATACCTCGCTTCTGCAACGTCTTCCTAGGCCCTGCATTTTTCAGCCCTTGGTCTTTTTTTTTTTTTTTTTTTTTTTTTTTTTTTTCCTATTTTTCGTTCCTTTCGACAGCCTCTCGCTCCCTCTCCGTGCAGGCCGACCAATCCGCGTAACCTGCCCTGTCTTCCGTGACGATACCATGCCACATGGCAAGGATATGCAGCATTTGTGCTGCGTTGTCGGTATCTCCAAGGTACTCCGTTCTTGTGCATGTGCATGCTTAGCTGTACAACGGGCGGCGCGGCGGCCTCCTCCTTTGCTGTATTGTTCTCAAAGGTTCTGCATGTCCACCCCAACATGTTGGAGTATGTCGAGGTAAGATGCAATGGTCTCAGGTGCCGCCAACCAACGAAGAATGTTCTACTTTGGCAAGGAGCAACAAGCCTTGCTGGTCGGGGCTGGAAACTGGATAGCGAGGCCAAAAGGCTTGTCTCGATTCTTCAACAAGCCAGCCCTTGGCCTGTAGTCTCTCCGACCGAGAGCCCAGCAAACCGTAGCTTAAGCCTTGTCTTAGCTGGCCCATCGCTGGAGACCTGCAATACAACTGGAGCCCAAAGAGGTCCGCCCAGCTCGGCACCTCACATGTTCTGAAAACTCTGCTTGCTTCTGGAAGAACGTCAATGCGGGTCGATCAGAGGTATTCAATGCACCAATATGCGCAGAACGCACGTCGGAGCAGTTTGGAGGGGTCCGTGCCAGCGGACAAGAAGAACAAAAAACCAAAAGACCAAGACACTCGAAGAAAGCATGTCGATCGGTGGGGTTGACATTGGGGTCTTGTTTACAGTTCTCGCCATTCTCGAGTGCTTGGGTGGCCTCCTCACAACCCGCCCAAGCCCTCCCCCACCGCCTCCCTCCTTCCAAAGATTGGTCGAATCGTGGAGGCCTTAGGCTCTTCAGCTTGTCAGCTTGTTACAAGACTGGTTATGTGGATACGGAGACCTCAGAAAACTTCCGTAGTTGGAGACAGAGGCTGGGATGAAAACAACCATGCCATCGTAGCTGGAAGTGGACGGTTTTGCAGGGCGAGTCGGAAACCCTCGAGTGTAAGCCTTCGTTATCGACAGATTAGATGGTGTAGGAACAGACACGGCGGTAGTAAACAGAAGGAAAATACGTGATACTGGTCCAACCGAAAGGGGACGATGGTCGTGTCCAAAAATATGGAAACAGGTGAAATTTCTACGAGGGACGTAATGCAGTGCAAGCTCCACGCATCCCCTGCGTGGAAGGCACGATCCGCGCACACGGAAGGCACGATGAGCTCGCGGCCTTGCGCTCTTGCCTTGTTGCGATCCGATGTCCATACGGAGACGAGATATGGGGTAGCGCACAGAGCACAGCAAATCACTGGTCATGCTCTGTGCAGAGAGACGGGGCGGCCGACATGAGTGCCGCGGAAGTTCGACGTTTGCTGAGGAAGCGACGATCGTGAATTGCCCCGCCCAGTGCACCCTGCTCCTTCTGCATTGCAGCGCCTTCCCCTTGCATCGCCAAAAGGCGAAAGCACTGCAAACGGCAGCCACTGTAAAAACAACTTCGTGATCGCGGGTTGCGACTTCCTTGACACGAAGAAAAGCTAAATTAGCCTGAGGTCTCGACGCTCAAATTGAGCAAGGGGCACAGGACACGCCACCGAGCCTTCCTAAAACGACAATGCGTAGCAACTGCAGCTTAGCGCCACTGAAGGTCGGATTCAACGTTCGTCGGCTTGCTAGCATTAACAGCTAACATTAACAGCTAACATCAACAGCTAACGGCGACAATCACAGGCCTGGACGCCCAACTGGCGCTCAATGGAAAAGTCTTCACACCACTACGCGACACCACAACAACGGCGTGCCGCTAATAGCAGGCGGCGATGTGCAGACAGGGGTCTTCCACAGTCGACAGCGCAAAGACTACAAAGCCCACAGAGCCCACAAATCACCCACCAGTTTCTGTACTCCGTACGCCCCACCAAAATAGGGACGAAAACTACGCAGAAAACCGCTCTAGCCTCTGTGCCTCTGTGAATCCGCCCTCCCGCCCTTACCCTTTTGACGACCCAACCCGATCCTTGTCCCTTCCTCCCTTTCCCACGCCCCTTTCTTTCCACCTTTGACAAGTCGTTCCTGCCCTTTCTGTTGTCGATGACAGGGGTCCCGCGTTCCTTCCTTGTCCTAGTCTTCCCCTCCAGTCCCCTCCTTCCCCATCAGCCGGCGCGCACACAACACTGCTGCTCTTGCTATTCTTCCTACTCGTTAGGCCTCTGGTTCTGGACGCTCCTTCCCATATTGGCGCTTTCCCCCCGATCGCCCAAGTCCCAAGAGCGCACCCGCTTCCCCCTCGTTTCTTCTCTTCCGCCGATTAAGTCTCTTCAATCTATCGCTTCTTCGCCCTCCTCTTCTTTTCACAACCTCCTCCCCCGTCCCGTCCCTCCTCTCTTCCTCCCGACTTCTTCTCCCCTCCAAACGACTGCCGCCGTTCTCGTGGCTTCTTTCGCATTTCGATCAAACGAACGCTGCACGCACCTTGCGCCGCCGCCGGACGCGACAAACGACTTCGATCCTTGAACGAGCCGCATCTGCAGCGACCGCGAGCCGTTTTTATGCTGCAACTCTTCATCCTCCCGCGCTCTCCTGCTGACCCGCTTTACCTCCTCCCGTGTTGTGTTGCCAGTCGTCGTTCACCATTCTCCGAGACTTAAACGAGTCCCGCCAAACGATTTTTCTCAAGGAACAACCCGTATCGACAAACGGCTTCTTATCAGACGTCCCGACAGCAAACAGGCGAAGCCAACGGCAATTTTCGTCATTTCGCTCATTTCACCCACATCGCTTGCGCCTTGAAGAATTCGTCCTCAACAACGTATTTAATACCGCGCAGTGTCTTGTCTCGCAGCGACGCGCAGCCACCAACACCAGAGGATAAGCGTCATCTTCCCAAAAAGCCTCTTGTCGCATTGCGCCCTGCTTGAATACAGCATCCCCGGACGCGACTTGACACCCGTTCGAAAAGCACGGTGTGTGTCGTTGGGTCAGAGTAAACACCAGCAGACTTTCATCGCACTTCTTCAACACGTCACAAGTCGTGCACGCCTTTTGCCTCTTCGACTGTGAAAGCCAACGGAGTCGGCGTAACCTACACACGTCTTTATTTGCCGTTGCTCGTTGCCCACTCGTTCGTCATCTTCTTCATCACACCCGCGCGGCTTAGATCCTCATCGCTGCACGATCTCGCTGTCGGTTCACGCGCACACCATTCGCAACCGCTAAACTTAGTCTCTCGTCACTTCTCCTGTGAAGCCTGCCAAGCCAATACATTTGCGCAGATCTCGCACAAATCACACATTCGAGCAGCAGCCTTGCCATTCAACAAGCTGCTGCAACGAAAGCAAACTACCACGTTGTCGACTCGACCAGCGGCCGAGCTTGTTAACAAACCACGATCCCAAATCAGAAATCATGAAGGTGCGTCGTAAAGTTTGCTTGTGCGGACCGACAAATGTCAACATGCGAATCTCTGAATGCTGGGAAGAGCGATGCCTAAGCTGGGCACTCTTATGTTTTCCTGGTCGTGCATTTCCACCCACGCTCTGCGCTCGTATCAAGTTTCGTCGATGCCCCGCCGCGCAACACGAAGCTGGGGCAGCTTTGCGACTATAATACCTGGCTGTGGCCTCTCGTTGTCACTCATAATGCTATTTTATGACTACAAAAGAACTCAACTAACTCTCATGTCCGGTTTACAGGCCTTACGGAGGTCAATCAAGGGCGAGAAGGATGCCAAGCCTCACAACCCAATCGCACCAAAGTCTGCAGTTGCTATTGTTCCCCCGAAGAAGGTGTGTACACCCCTCTCCTACCCCCGTTTCCTATTGATGATCGCCACTAATACGGTACCTTTAGGTTATTCGTGCCCTCTACGACTACGAGGCACAGTCTGCCCAGGAGCTCAGCTTCTCACGCGGCGATTTCTTCCACGTCATCGGCCGCGAGAATGATCCAGATTGGTACGAGGCTTGCAATCCAGCGCTGCCCGATGCCCGTGGCCTAGTTCCTGTCGCATTTTTCCAGTCTCTCGGCCGTACCGAGAGAGACAGCGCGCAGTCTGACTCCAGCCGTTCAGGTCAAGTGCCCGGCAAGAACCCCGACCACGACTCCGGCTACGCAGAGTCTTCCGCTCCTGGCACGGCTGGTACCGGCAGCTCATCCTCCATGGCCGCTCCACCACCTGCTCCCGGCATGGCCCCTGCACCCGGCCAAGCCGGCAACCGAGAATCGGCTCTCGGTAAGAACAGCCCCATGGTCTACGGCATTGTCATGTACGACTTCCAGGCCGAGAGGGCAGACGAACTGGAAGCGAAGGCTGGCGAAGCCATCATCGTCATCGCCCAGTCCAACCCCGAGTGGTTTGTTGCGAAGCCCATTGGGCGCCTGGGTGGCCCGGGTCTGATTCCGGTGTCTTTTGTGGAAATTCGTGATATGGCCTCGAATACTCCCGTTCCCAACCCCCAAGACGCAGTCCGTCGAGCAGGCATCCCCAAGGTGGAAGAATGGAAGAAGATGGCGGCCGACTACAAGAACAGCAGCATCACACTTGGCAAGTTCGAGGTTGGCGGAAGTGGTGGCGAACAGGGCATTGCGCAAGGCATGGAAAGAATGAGTCTGCAGCAAGGCAGTCAGGCCGGTGGTCGTATCAGCCAAAATGGATACGTAAGTTTTTCTCTCTTTCCCCACAGTCTCCGTTCTGGACCACTTGTTCCACATTTACGACATACTAACACCCCAAGCAGCCACAAGCAACCCCCGGTTACAACTCACAGCGGAACACGCAACAGAACATGCAGATGCAGCAGCAGCAACCACAGTCGCAAGCACAAACTCAAGCACAGGCACAGCCCCAGACAGGATACAACGGCAAGAGCACAGCGTCACAGCTGTTTGCACCACTCTCCGCCCATATCCCACGATACTGCTATGCCGAGGAGAAGTACTGGTTCGTCATCGAGGCTGCGCTCGAAGATGGTCGGCATTGGGAGCTGTCGCGCTACTACGAAGACTTTTACGACTTTCAGATTGCTCTGCTCAGAGAGTTTCCTGTCGAGGCTGGCAACGGCGGCACAAAGAAGCGCACGCTACCGTACATGCCAGGCCCCGTCAACTACGTCACCGACGCCATCACCGAAGGTCGCCTACACAACCTCGACGCTTACGTCAAGAACCTGCTGGCGCAGCCCCCGTACATCGCCCGGTGCGAGCTGGTTAAGCAGTTCTTCAACCCCCGCCAAGGTGACTACGAAATCGACCCGGTGGCCGACGACGAGCAGCATGTCCTAAACGGCTCGCAGCCGTCCACGACGGACCTTGCCGGTGCCGCCAACATGAACGGAAACGGCGCATATGCTGGCCAGCAGCAACCGGCTATGGCCCGCCAAGCATCCTCGCTGTCCCAGCCCTCGCAGTCGTCCCTTTCCCCAGGCGTTAACCAACAGGCGGCGCAGGCGATCAAGATCAAGCTCAGTTTCAACAACGAGCTCATTGCGATCCGCGTTCCGTCGGACATCCAGTTCCGCGACCTGTGCGACAAGATCCGCGACCGACTCAAGATTTCCGTGGCCGACCAGATGCAGCTCTACTACAAGGACGACTCGTCTGGTGAGAAGCCTGCTATGATTAGCAATGGCGACTTGGCACAGGCAATGCGGCGAAACGAAAAGCTGCTTGTTTATGTCGAGATTTCATGAGACAAGACGTTGTTGCTTCTCGTTTTTTGCTCTTTCATATCATTTCGTTTTCTTTTTTCTAAGATCCCCATTTTAAAACTTCTACTTGTGGCTTTTCATTTTTGCCGCTCCACGTTACCCACTTTTCAACTTTGATGGTCCTTTTTACCCTTTCTTTGTTCTGCTATCCTTGGGGGGGCCTTTTGTTCTCACGCTCATGACGTCGCAGGGTTTTTAGTTTTCCTTTCCTACATTTTCTATATATACATTCTCCTTTTTTTTTTCGTTGTCCCATTTCTGGAGAAATTTGAATTTTATGGTCTCTATGCTCTTGCTGCTCCGTCTCTCTTTCGTTTTGTCGATTTACTTGCCGTATTTGTTTTTTGTGCTGGGTTACCAAAAAAAGAATTTGCTGCGCCGTGAGGCAAAAGGGGTGAAGGGGTAACAAGAACAAGGACCACAACGTTGCGATTTGAAGCTCGTCAACCGTATCATGTCTTCTATTTTCTGTCTGTTCTCTTCTCGACCTCCTCTCTTGTTCTTCTTCTTTGGAGATGGCGTCTTTCGGTGCAATGTAAGCGGTGCGACGTTATCCGTTTTTCCTTTTTTTTTTTTTTTTTTTTTTTTTCGCTTTCACCGGGTTGTGGAATTTCTTTATTACCCTGCGTGCCTTTCCAGTATGTCAATCATTTTGTTCGTTTATTTATTTCTCAAGGCCGGGAGTCAAGTGTTAAGTCTGACATGAAGCATCTCGTCTGCTACCATGGTCGTACGCCGGGTTACCTGTTTTCTGGTTTAAATATTGTTGTAGGTCGTACTTTCACCAATCTACTTAGTTTACCTTTTATCGTATTTCACAATCTAGAGCCAGTGGTGGTTTCAGTTTTCTCTTACTCACCTCTTTCTCAGGCTTTAATGCCCATTCATTTAAACAAATCAATATATTCCAAAAAAAAAGTACGCATTTCAAAGCAAAGTAAAATAGAACGGTATAGATAAAAGCAAATTATCTATACAATTACGCACGAAATATAGGTAAAGATACGTCGCATTAGACCAAAAATGACAGAGTGCGACCTTCATCATTCGACCATGTTGAGATGACACTGCACAGAATGGAAGGTGTAATAAATTAAACAATAAAAATAAAGGTGCTAACTAAAGAGAAAGTCAACAATGGCCGAACCAGGGCTGCTTTGACGAAACAAAAAGATACAAACTTGAAAATGAAGCGTAGAGACGATATAAACATTGACGAATGCATGCCACAACGAAAAGGGGGGGAAGTAGGAAAAATAGAAAACAGTTCCAAGTTCTGTTGGCCAACCGCCGTAGAAGAATGGGAGAAGAAAACAAGAGAAGCCGATAGAAAATATGCGAGGTGAGTATAAACGAATACAGACAAATAAAAGCACAAAATAGAAAACCCCCAAAGATTGCTCTTTAGTGAAGAAAGAATCCTCGATTCCTTTCAGTCTTTTCTCTCTTCCCCGTTTCCTGTAAACCATTTCGCTTTACCAAATTGTGCCATGAAAGATCGCGCAAATATCTCAACACACGACTCGTGGGTCGTTCGTATCCTTCTCTTCCTCGTCCTCTCCAATGCGCCCTCCTCTGTTTTTTTTTTCCGGCCTTCACATGACGACATGTGTCGCTATATGATCAACGGCCTCTTTGATCGTTCGCAGCATCCGGTTGTTCACGCAGAACGGACACCTCCGTGGGGCGTTGTCCTCTGTTGAGGCACCTGCATCGCCCACGGCCGGTGATGACGCGGCCAAGCCCAGCGCAGACTGTGAAGGTGTGGCTGGTGGCTGTTGCTGAGCAGCTGCAGCTAACGCTTCGGCTGCCGCTGCCTCAGCATCCTCCTTCTCTTGCAACTGGCGCAGCGCATTTTGAAGCACAATCTCTGGGTCCTCGTCAGGATGTGGGTGATACACGGAGCCGCCACCACCGTTTTCATGATAACCGCTCTGTTGCGTGTCGGTGGACAGCGCGCCCGCGTTTCGTGTTGCAGCATTTGCTGCAGCAGCGGCTGCTGCTGCGACGGCAGCGGCGGCGGCGGCCGCCGTGGCGGCGTTGGTATGCGACTCGGAAGTTGCGTTGCCAAGAGCGAGAGCAGATGCTTCCCCTGCGGCAACGTCCGCATTGTAACGGGCAATTTCGTCACGGACCCGTGTGCAGGTGGCAATAGACGGCTCTATGCCCAAAGAGTGGATGATAGTCTCGCGGATCGCAACAGGGTTCGTGGTAGTCGTGATGCCGTTCATGTACCGCGGCACGACCTCGACCAGGTAGGGGATGTCATTGGCAGGGTCGTCGGATGAGCCACCCGTGGCGCCGATACTACCCGACTGGCGTCGCTGACGCTTGATGAGTAGGCCGTATCGCTTCTTGAAGCGGTGGATCCATCCTGGAGAGAACTCGGGTGGCTCGTCGCCGCGATGGCGCGGCAACTGGGAGAAGATGCTCTTGGCCTTCTCGCCGAGCTCCTCGTTCGTGGGGTGGCGGCCGGAGTGCGCCATCTGTTGGTACCACAACAAGACCAGCTTCTCAACCTCGGGCCAGTTGCCAAAACGCAAGCGGCTGCCGGACAGCGAAGGCTCGCCATCGAGTCGGGCGTACTTGGGTGACAAGCTGTGCGACACGGTGGACTGCGATATTGTCTGGTGGTATTGGTTCTGGAACCACTCTATACATTGCTTGTGCGAAGGGCGCGTTAGCTGGGCATTGGCCCAGCTGCGAAGTGCACGGCGCTGGTCGAGGGTGAGGGAGTGGCGCTCCTTTTGCGGCGTTGATGTTGCGGACGAAGTTGGTGGTGGTGGTGGTGGTGGTGGAGGTTGTATGGAAACATTCGTCGCGCTGCTTATGCTGTGTTCTGCGTTGTTGTCTTTCTCGTTGTTGCTGTCGTTGTTGTTATTTTCGTGGTCATGTTGGCTCTCCTCGTTGTTGACATTGCCGTCGTCTCCATACTTCAGCTGGGTATCAACAGCGTCCACCATCTCATGGTCCGCCGGTATGCTTGCATCGGTCTTGCTGTTGTCGCCCGCACTGCTGGCCTTGTCTCTTTCGCTGGCAGCGTTGGCAGCTGCAATGACCGTGGCGACAGCTGCAGCTGCAGCGTCCGCCGCCGACCTTGGTGACTGTGCCGCGTCCGGCGCCTCAACGGCGGCCGCCCCTTCGGACATTGGGGGCGGACGAAGCTGTGTTCGTGAGAAGAGCCGGAGAGGTGAGCGAGACAGCCGAAAGAGGGGACCAGTCTGTGGAAAGACTTGGGTGTGCCCGATGACTAGATGTGTGTGGTGGCTGTGGCGGGAGCGAACGGGGGAGACTGTGTATGCGCGTCGCCTCGTGTAGTGTAGTGCGCGGTCTGTGAGAAGGGAGAGGAAGTAAACCCAGGAAGGCAGAGAAGGGCCCTAGACGGCTAGAGAGCTAGACAAATAGGGAAGCTTGCCGTTCCAACAGCACACAACGGGTACCGTATAGGGAGATAAAAGAGGACAATAAAATAAAAAACCGAAAGGACAAAATCGAGGACAGTCGGGTATAATAACGAACAGGAGCGAATAGCAAAAGCGAACGGGGAGTGGGAGAAAACAGTGGCCCTGGCTATGCGAGAGAAGCAGGGTCGGTTGCTGAAGAAGCCGGGAAGCTGCCCGGATGGTGGACGCCAGAAGCACGCAAACACCAGAGGCCGTAGAGAGGCGGCAGAGAGCCAGAGGAACTGGGGGCGTGAGGCGAACTGACAGAGGCGGACGTGAGGGGATGAAGATGGGGTGTGTAGGGGTGTGGGATGTGAGGGGAGGGGGGGGGGGGAGTGCAAAACTCGCTTTTAGAGATAATGCTCCGTATACGTTGGGGCGTTACTCGCAAAAACGAATGGAAAGAGCGAACGGCAAAAGGGACGGAAAGAGCGACCGCACGCGCTCAAGGAGGAGGCGACGAGACGGGCCAGAGAATGCTCGTCTGAGGCCAGCAGCGAGAGAGCAGCGGGTGGAAGGTGGGGAGGAGAAAGAAAGCGCGGGAGAGGACGTGATAGACACTGTTGACGTTGTCGGCTGGTGTTTGGTGACAGTCATTGGGGCGGCTGCGAAATCGCATTCGACATCGCTCTATCGAAGCTTGCCAATTGCGTCTGTGGTTCGCTGCTGCCGTTATTTTTTATCGGCTGTGCGAGCTCGAGGTGTGTGTGGGCGGGCAGGCGCGTCAAGCAAATCGTGGGCTATGAAGGAAAGAGAAGAGAAAATGAAAGCACATGAAGGGGAGGAAAGATCGGTTAAGAAGTTAACAGAGTTTTTTTTCGCGTTTGGTGGCGGAATTGGGAGGAAACAGGCAAGAACGTGGGGCGTGGCGCGGTGGATAGGGACCGTTCTAGTATTAGTGGTGTGAGGGTAGGACTAAAAGGTGACAAGAGCGTAAAAGGGAAAGCGCGCGGTGGGGCAACGACAAACCTGGGAGGAAATTGGGAAGGCTGGGGTTGCAAGCGAGAGAAGGAAAGAGCCATGGAAGCTAGGGAAAGAACGTCCACCGTTCCTACCAGAAACAAGCACTCGTTACAGAAAGGTGCAACAAGGGTCTAGCGCGATTTAACGGCTTCGATGGTCCTGCCCCACCACTCAATAACACATCACACAGCCTTTCGCGTGGGAGATGTTTGCTAACTTCTCTCCTTTCTTTGCTGAAGGTCGCCTGTGATGAAGCTCATAGCTTCCATGCACGGCGCATCGGAGGGCCGCTACAATCCTGTTCCTCTGCTCCTCCTCGGCTGCAGCATGCAGTCAACACAGGTTCCTGCCCGCTGCCGAACCTTAAAACGCCGAACGCAGTATTGCGGTTGACCCCTGCTTTATGCAGGTACTGAATTGGATGACTTTGTTTCTGGCTCGACCGTTGCAGCTCGGGTTAAAGAGCATTCATATGCTTTGCTGGGTGCTTGTGCCACTTGCACATGGCCAGTGGACGTCGATAGATGGACGATACCCCCTTGCTCCCTGCTCTGTGTTTTCTTTCTTTTTATTGCTTATCCTTTCAGGACAACAACGAACCGACGAAGCTTTGTTTCTTGATTGCCGTTGCTATCTGTCCCATGTCGTGGCAAGCTGGGCCGAATATACAGCTGTTCATGGCCAGCGCAGGCCGTGTTTCACGCCAAATGGCCCCTGGAGAGGCAGGACTGTGGCCGAGTAGAACCCTGGCTCGTTCCTGTTTGTCTCCGTACATGTACGAAGTGAAGAGCGCCGAGGGTAGCCTTGCACCATTCTGCTCGCCGAACGCTTTTATTTCTTTTTTGTTTACGTGCACTGTGCAGTGGGCTGTGCATGTTTTGCCTTGGTTATGAGTTTGCGACCGGGAAAGTCTGCTATCCTGCTATTGTTTTCGGCGGGAACCAGGGTGTGGCTGTATCTCATGGATTGGACTCGAAACATACCGCATATAACGAAGAGAGACGGTTTTAGACGTGAGATTTGTATTTCTAGCGTCCGTGCCGCCCGGGAAAATACAAAACAGCACAGTGCAGTTACATTGGATGCAAAGTCGGTTACCTATCCAAAGATGGTATTTCCTTCCTTCCTTCATTATTTGAGGAAGCTAGAGGCCGTGAATGAAAACTCAGCAAGGCGACATCACACTCGAAAATGAAATAAAGACGACACTCACGACAAAAAACGATTGCGGCCGGGAGCCAAACGACATGGCCAAACACCAGACGAGTGAAAAAAACGAAAATAAGGTCGGAAGCGTAGGTAGGGAATATAGACACGAAGTAATTAGATGGATATACCGACCTGCAAAGCCATACAGGTGTAAAGCGTCAATGGAGGCGAGTGCATCGTACACGGGGAACACGGGCCAAGGGGAGACGAAACGGTAGCACAACGGGACAACGAGAAAGACACAATACGCAGGGGAAGAGCAGGAAGAGACAACCGGAAACAGGAGGCGCCTTCTATTGTCCTTCTTTTGTGTTCTGTTATTCTGTCGTACTTCGTTCTTCCAGGACTGCATCTTGTTGTGCGACAGAAGGCCCATATTTCTTTCTTTCTTTTCTTCTGTGAGAGGCTATCACCATATTACACCACATGTCGAGTCGATTACGCATGCTTCAGAAGCTGCGTGCGGCTGCCGTCTGTCCTCTGTCAGTTTCCCTTATGGGATTATATAGTCCGTACTCTGCTGACTGGGTGTGTTTATTTTGCTGCAGCTCGTATTATTGTCTTTTGTCAAAATTTCTATCTCTGAGCTCCATTTCTCGTGTCTCTTTTCTTTTATTTATTTACTGCAAAATCTCAAAACAGCGGCGTGTACTAATTCCACACCCTGTTTTGGACCGCACACCCTTTCCGCTTGGTTTGGTGACCTATTCGACAAAACCCTAACCATCGGGGAGCTATGGCTTAATTGCCAAAATATTAATCTATCCAAATCACGACACTCCTGTTTTCTGAACATGGACGTCCTCAGCCGCCCCCCTTGGACGACCCCGTACTTTCTCTTGCCCGGTGCAAGAAAAAACGGGGTGACAGATTTTCGTCGGAAATGCGAAGTCAAATTTAGACTGGACGGGATAACCTCATCTCAGGCCAGATGGAATGTTGCACATGGCGTGACAAGGGGCAGGCAATATTCACAAACCGTTTCGAACATACGGGCGACAGAAGGTGATGCAGAGCAAGGCACATGCAATGGATGAGTGACGTATGTAATTATTGGGCGTCGTTGTTTTCGCATACGCCCAGCATGGCGTACAAATTCAACATTTTTTGTTAAGCTGTGAAGAAAACACATCTATGCGGGAATCCTTTTTGACACGACAAATTGGAAAATAAAATAGGCATATTTTAGGAGCCGAAGACTTGCTATTGAATATGATGATGAAAAATACACGAGGTCCCCTACAAATGAAAACCGGGTCGACTACTTGCGGACTAACGGAGTGATATATCCATAGGTCTACGGGAGCGCCGTTTTCCTACACTCAAATCTACATACAAAGTACTTGGTAAGTGTGTTGGGTCCCTCTCTACTTTCTTTTAATTACTACACCGTATTTGTTCTCTCGTTAGCCGGGTATTATCTCCAAAACACGGCATATATGGCCACCAAAGGGTCGCACACTTTGGCGAAAATGGGAAGGGGGCAATGCGGTAAAAGAGCGATAAAAAACACGCTTGTTAAACCTGGAAAATTCTGGAGTATGATACATGTACCAACTGGTTAAAAAGAGTTCATAGCATCGCCCAATACGCTTGGTTTTCAGCTACATCGCTGTATCGACGCGCGAAAACGGTCGATTTATTTTCTCCATCTGTGTCTGGCACTGTTCAATCCACAACTGATAGTCCACGCATTAACTTCATGAAGTGGGTGAAGGCATTTAAAAGCCCCTTCAAGTGACGATCATGAACGGGTAGCCTCTAGGTTTCCTGCTTGTGGCCGTTTGAACTGGCCGAGACTCGGTCATCGGCCAACTATAGAGCTCCGAGCAAGCGAGCAATGGTCATCGTTTGGCTAACAACTGTGGAGATAGTTGCAGGAACTAACATAAAATGATGTGTATGGCTGATCTTCTTCACAACGGTGGCAATGGACAGATTCTAGTCACTGGGTATTTGGGTATTTGCAGCTAGGAGAAGCCATAGCGTATCTAGATGACAGTAGATGATACTGTTTATCATCTTGATTGGGTTTCTTTTGCCCCCCCATTCCCTGCACTGTCACCCTCCTGTGTTGCGGACACGAGCCGTAGACTGCGCTGATCGACCTCGTCAGACCGTCATGTGCCGAGTAAATGCAACAGGTAGAACAAAAGAACAAAGATAATAAATTAAATAAGACGAGATGACTAGGACGCCCCCCCCCCCTATTTTTATGCACACTGCCGACGGCTGTGGGTGAAGTCTCAGTTCGCATGGCCGTCCCGTCTCGTGTTGGGTGCCTTCTCCTGCGAGACCGAGTGCAACGTGCTCGATATCCGGGCTGGCATCCCAAGTCGGCCCTTTTATGACTGTGATTGGTGACCTGAAAGTTAGAAATGGAGGAGGGTACCGCTGTACACATTTTGATTGTCTTGGTCCTGATGTCTGGGTACAGGTACTGCAGACGTGGGATTTTAAGTGTTAGGGCTTCAACTATGTATTTCATCTTCAATTTTTCGTGCACATTGTATGATGGCTTCAAACTGTACAGAAAACAACGGCGACCTGGTTCCTCGCAATCATATAAAGTTGTCATCTGGGTCGACCGTCATCGGTACGGGGGCAGCACCCCAGCGAGGCACCGATTCCATAGTCTGCTTTAGATGCACCCACCACAGCTGCTGCTCGGAGCACAAGAACATCTCGCCGTCGTGGGACAGGCAAAAACTCGACACGCCGCCGGGCACCTCGATGACACCCAACAGCACGCCGCCCGCGTTCCACACCTCCACGCCGTCGGCACATCCGGCATACACGTTGCCTGCCGCGTCACAACGGATGCCTAGTGGTGTGCCTCGAAGAGCATATGCAAACACGCGCTTATTCGTCAAAAAGTCCGAGCCGCCCCGCCGCAGCACATCGTAAGCATAGACGGTGGCGGCCCGCCGCATATCGGCGCCGCTGTTGCTGCCGAGTATGCTACCACCACCGTTGTTGTACAGCGCATCGGCGTCCGTGAGGTAGACGGTGGCGGCATCGGGGCCGAAGCAGATGCCGGCCGGTCGGTTGAGCCCGTCGGCAACGACACGCAGGTCACCTGTATCTGGATGGAAGCGGTAGACATGGCACGGCATCTGTGGGCGCTTGCGGAAGTCCTGTTCGAAGCCGATGCATGGATCCGTAAACCAAAGCGAGCCGTCATCTGGGTGCTGCACAACGTCATACACGGAGTTGAAGTCGCGGCCGTAGTAGTTGGACAGGAGGTTGATGGGAGGCCGGCCGGTGGGCATATAAAAAAGGCCGCTGGTGCCCGGGCCCGGATTGCCCTGTGCACAGTACAGGACACCACTGCTGCCCCGACCGCCAGCGCCACTGCTAGGCCGTGCAATGGCTGGCTTCATCTGATACGGAATGGCGCCCGCGGGCATGGCCATAGGGGGCCTCAATTTGGTCCATTCAGCCGCCGTGACGTCACCGGCGCTGTTGCGACGCAAGCTCACGCGAGAAATGAGAATCGCGGGCAACTGGGAACTGCTTGACGTCTGGAGCAGGTTGGATGTGGTGTAGATGACCTCGTCGTCGATCGGGACACTTCCGGTCCCGTTGCCAGCACTGTTGCGACGACTTGATGCTGACGGTTCTCGCACAAGGACGCATCCCGTGTGGAAGAAGGCGTTGCGGGAGGTCTCGGCGGACGACAAGAGCAGGGCGTGCCGTGCATCCTTGCCGACAACTGTGGCAAAGTCGGGGTGATACTTTTTGAATGACACACTGTCAAACGCCGGCCTCGGTTGTCCTTCTCCCAGTCTGTCGTGTGCAAAATCAGAGCGTCAGCATATGTTGAGAAGACTGATCGTGCGTCCTGTGGATTTTGGACTCTTTGCGTTGATTAGAAAATGAGCAGCCCTCGGTCTTACAATGGAGATTCTTGTCGGCCGATAGACAGTCGATTGACAGCCTGTTATATTCGTGAGTTTGAGCCCCCGTCACGTTGAAGCGATGAAGTTGTTTGCAGCGTACCTGCATCGGCGTTCGGTTCACCTTGATGTCGCTGTTTATTGTTGCCATCGTTTTGATGTTTATGTGCCGCCAATAAATCGGTAGGGGCAGAGGAAGGGTAGGCAGTGCAATAAATGAGAAGTAGAGTACGACAACTGAGCTGAAAACTCGGCTCGTGGCTGTTATATACCTACCACAAGGAACGAAGCGAATTCAAACAGGATAGGTCAACAGGCTGATGTGTCTTATGAGAAGAGAAAAAACAAAGGAAAGAAAACACAGCAAAGGCAGCGTAAAAAAACGTTCGTCTCAGCGCATGCGCTGTATCGTCGGAGCAGCAAAGTGCCGGGATCGCAAGACTGACACGGACGAGGAGGGAGGGGAGGGAGAGGGACGAAGCTTTTCGGGATTTTCAAATCTGTTGTTGGGTTTTGTTTATGGTTCTGTTGTTTCTGTTTCTCGTCGGCGAAGACGGTTGAACAAGGTTAAATGCGGCGGGATGCAGGGACAGGTTGCAAAGTGAGGATGATGTGAGGATTCGCGCATGATAGCCATGATGCAGCAGCCGATACGAAATGAGGTGGGTTGCGCTTGCCTAATTCGCGTGCGTAACGCCGGACAGAGGCATGTGTCTGGTAGCGCTTGCCATTAGCGCCCAGACCCCGTTTCTGAGCACGCCGGCGCCGAAACTACACAGCATCGGAAGGAGCCGCCGCCGCACTTGCCGTCAACTACGGCACCGCTTCCGATTGCCTCAATTGTCGTGTACAATGTACAAACTGACGTGCCAGCCTCTTTAAAATTGGCTCGTCTTCAACATAATGTCGAGGATGCCGCCAGGCAACACTTGTGTCGCCGTTGCCGACGTAGTGCCTCTGTGTTCCTGCGCTGCTCATTTATGAGAGCTTATTGAGCCTCAAGAGGCTCTCTCGAAGCTCCATTGGCAATCGACCAAGTTTGGAGAGTGGCCTTTATTGTCACTCGCTTCGCTCTGTTGCTTTCGACAATTTCGTCCAATTCTTTTGGGCAATTTATCTTTTCAACCCGACAAAATGTACACATGCCGGCCGGTGTGGTGTCCCGGACCGGTAAAATCCCCTCAACAACGCAATGCAGTCAGTGTTGTTTTGATATCTCTCCCCACCGTCGCTTTCCGCCCCCTGTCATCCATGCCCATATCGTCGCCATGCTCGCTTCCTTTAGTGCGCCGCCTGGTTCTTCTTCTCGTCCGCGTCGGCAGACTCGAGGAACTTCCTGTGTATGGGGGTATGTGTGTTAGTAAATAGCCAATCCGGGGGCCAACAATGCGTCAACAGGCATCGCCGTTGTCGTGTACTGACTTGATAAAGTCCGCCTCATCCGACGAGGAGGCATTGATGGGGGGTGTCGCCGTGGTCTTCTGGCCACTGCCGCGGGTGGCAGCATAGATGCCGCCGAACAGGGTGGACAGGGTGGCAATAGCCAGCTAGCGAGAGGGTGTTAGTCTGGGAGTCAATCGCTACAAGTCGGCAGAGCGCAATCCATCGGGCGCAATGGGGACAGCGGAGCTGCGAGTCGAGTGCCCCATCATGTTGCCGCAACAGCGGAGGGTCGGCGTCAACATCGGGCGGCCGTGCTCGCGCTTCGTCTTCCGCTTCCCGTTTTCCTTTTTCCGGAGTCCCGCGCCATCGGTAGAGAGAGGAGCTTGCAGTTCAGGGCCAACTAACGTAGTGGGAGCCGATCTGGCGGCCGGCAATGGTGTATGACTGAACCATATTTGCGATGGGGGAGTGTGACGCGAGGTGGTGGTGGCGGTGGTGGTGGAGGTGATAGTGTTGAGAGCGACGTATAGGAGTATCTCGGGAAAAATGATCAAGAGGAGACGCAGAAAAAAGACGCTTGTGTTTTTGCCGTGCCTTGGGCCTAGCAGCAAGCTCCGAGAAAACGCGGCCAGCCTGGAAAGAATCGGATTAAAGGGCATGCACTAAAGCGAAGAGTCACGTGTGATGAACCAGTGGGCCCAGCGTCCCGATGGCTATCTTACAGTGCTAGCGCTGAGAGTGGCCCAAGCACCAGCTACGGATTAGCGGGCGCTGAGTATACGTCAGTGACGCCAATTAGGAGGGGAATCGCGGAGCACAAACATAGTACCAACAAAAGTGTCGCTGCAAAGAGACGACAACGATTCACGAACAAGAACCTGCGTGACAGCCCTGACATTATCCTCTTTTTCTACCGTTGCATGACGACAGCCAACCTCGATCGAGTCTTTTGCCGTACTTTGGACGTTTCGTACACTATCTCCCATCGAGACCGACATAGGTAGTGCCGGTCCACAGTGGTAAAACAGACCTTTTTTTTCGACACACTCCCCATTTCTTGTATAACCATAATGTTTTGGGGCAAGGGACCCGACAAACCGTCGGAGACGGCCGGTAAGGTGGCCGGAAGCTCGACGGCGGCGGACACCGACAATATACCGGCCCCCAAGAGCCTCCCGCGCAAGCTGCAAAAGATGGTCGACGACGAGGACAAGGAAGACAATTTTTACGACGAGCTGGTCTCGGGATAGTACGTCTGTGGCGGTCTCCTTGTCCCTTATTTCCTGATACTGACCTCCACAGCGTGCCCGAGTCGACCGACTCCAAAGTGCGGTACGCCGCCTACGCCGCGCGGCTGCGCACCATTCTGCTCTCGGCCCACCGCTACGTCGCCTACACCTCCGACATTGGCGAGTCGTTCCGCCCCGTCGCCCACCCGCTGCTCGTGCGCGGCGCCTACGGCATCTCGTGGGCCTACATCTTGGGCGACGTCAGCTACGAGGGCTACAAGGCGTACCTGCACAACCAGCGCGTGCTGAACCCGACCCGTGAGTTTTCCGAGCGGCAGAAGCGCCTTGTCGGCGTTGACGAGGTGTCGGACCCGTTTGTGCGGAGTACGGTCAAGGCAGGCGCGCAAAGCTCGACTGCCACACCACCGCCCGCGCTCCAGCCGGGCGTCGTCACGCCTCTCGAGGACTACCGCGTCGTCATGCTCCAGCGCACCATCTTCCAGAGCATTGCCAGCATGGGCCTTCCCGCCTTCACCATCCACAGCGTCGTGCGGTACTCGGGACGCGCGCTCAAGGACATGAAGAACAAGACGATCCGCACGTGGGCACCGATTGGTCTGGGCCTGGCCGTCGTGCCGTTCCTGCCGACGCTGTTCGACAAGCCGGTGGAGAACGCGGTCGAGTTTGTTTTCCACAAGGCATTCGCCCAGTTTGGCGGCCAGCAAGCCGTGGGCGAGTCGCCTGTGATCGGCCGCGAGAAGCAGCTGAACAAGAAGCTGAAGGAGAAGGAGCTGTAGGGCAGGTTAGAAGGCAATTGTTTGATTTTGTTCGGTTTAGCTTGGCTGGGTGGATCAGTCCAGTGTTGGTTTTGAACAGCGTTCTTGGGATTCTTCACTCATTTTATTTTGCACTTTTTGTATATGCTTTGCAGACGTGCGCACGATTTCACAGTCACATAGGAATGTACAAATCTCGGTTTCAAATGATGCTATGTAGATATGATCACCCCGCTAATAATAAGCATAACATAATGCAAATAAATGCCCAACGCCAGTGCCCTAGGACATGCCACGCTCGCCAGAATCACAATTGCCGCCCTCTCGTTCTCCCCAAACGCATAAACTCCCCTTAGAGGTTGATCAGCTCAGGGGGTGGCCCAACGCCGCGCAATAGGACAATCGTGTTGCCGTTGGCCAGCACCTTGCCCGCCTGCTCGTTGAACTCGAGCAGCCGGCCGCCCTCCACATGGAAGATGCGCAGCTTGTCCTCTTCCTTGGAGCTTTTGTTGTTGATGTTGTCGATCTGCAGGTTGCGGGCTGCAGCGTCCAGCACGCGGCCCACCACCCAGTCTTTCTGGTAGTAGAACTTGCCCTTGGGCAGCTTGGCCTGCGTCGACGCCGCCTCTGCCTCAACGTGCAGATACAGCCGCTTCTCGGCCGGGATCTTAGCGTCGCCCTTGGCCGTCTTCTTGAGGTCGGTCAGCGCCGCCATGCGCGCCGCGGCCGACTGTTGTGCCGCTGGCCGCGGTATCGCCTTGTTGGCCTGCTCCTTTTTGGCGGCGCCCCACGCCCGCAGCTTGTCGAGCGCCGACTTGGCCTTGGCTGCCGAGTCCGCCATGGTGGAGCCGCCCGCCGACGGTCGCGCGCCAATCGGCTTCAGGTTGGCGCAGTTGTGGTCCTCGCGCAGTCGGTGTTTCAAGCAGTAATCACGATTGCAGTTGCTGCAGTGCACGCCGGGCACGAGGCTTGTGCCTACGACCGTTTTGCAGGCCGGGCTCGCGCACGGTTTTTGGGACACGAGGTCGCGCATCGTGCGGTCGGCACCCGCCGAGGGCCGGGCCAGCTGCGCCTTTCGCCGGCGCTCGGCCCAGGCACCCTCATGTGCGCAATGGTGGGCGGTCTCGGTACGGTGGTCGAGGCAGAAGGTTTTGCGGCACGACTGGCAAAAGAAGGGCAGGAAATCGAGCTGCCGACAGTACTCGTACTGGCAATGCTTGCCCGTTAGGGACACGTCGGTCGCGCGGCTGTCGACGTCGGTCATGTTGACGTAGGAGGTCTCGGAACTGGAGAGCGCAGAAGGCGTTGAGACGGCGGAAGAAGACGATGCGCCTTGGTTTGGTCGTTGTGAGCCGGACATGGTGACGGGAATGTGACGGCGAGAAGGCGACAGCGCGCTCTTCCCTTATACTGGCCGAGTATAGGAGAGGCTAAGGAGGTGTACGAAGGCGACTCGTCTGCGCGGTGGCTGTCTGTTCAGGCGCATGCCGGATTCGTCATCTGGGCCGTAAATATGCGGTCGGGTGAAAGTCAGGGACCTGCGCATTAGGCCCACGAGGCTGAAGTGGCGGGACGCTAGACGCCAAGACTCAGGGCGTTGCGTTCCCCTCCGGGAGGGACAAGGGGCGCCACGCATTCTAATTACAAAGGACGTTCGGATGGTTCTGGAAGCTGCCTGAGCGTGTCTGTCATTAGCAGTTCTTCCAGCGTGGCGGACCCCTACGTCGCACTGGAGCTAGCGCCCATTGTTGCCGATTGACGCTAAATTACAGTGGATTTTGAATGCCAGGCACACGTGATTTGGCGCACTTGTCGCGGGTTGAGTATGGTAGGGCAATAGCGTTACTTCGCCAATTCGCGCCTTCCGCGCCTTTCGCAGTTTGTCCCCCACGTTTTCCTGACATAATCCTAAAGAGGGTTTCCGACGACACCTTTTCTCGCCTGTGCACTGATCGCAATGCATCACATGCAACTGCGTCCAGTTGACATCGACCATGTCGTCCTCGCGCGCTCCTCGAAAGCGGCCGGGCGGCGATGATCACCCGTCACCTGTGCCGCCGAAGAAGACGAAAGCAGCGACGGTGAAAAAAGAAAAGCCAGAAGAGGATAGCTTGGCATTGAAGGCCAGCCGAAGTGCCAGGAGAAAGACAGCGACTACTTCTGCCGCCGCGAAGCGACCGAGTACATCGCCGTCTGCTTCAAAAGCAGTCCCTCGAAAAGCGACCCTCTTTGACGACCTCGATGTTGTTGGATCGTCCCCTGCCTCGGCCAGTGGCGTTTCGGATCTGCAGTACCTGAAGAGCCTTGAGAACGATGGCGAAGCAAGCGATGACAGCGACAGCAGCTCTGAGCTGTCCGACATGTCTGATGTCGATTTTGAAGATGTGCCGCTGGCGCCTGAGGAGAGCAAGAAGGAGGACGTCAAGTCAGATGACGACGACGACAATGATGACGAGGATGAGGACATGGAGTTTGAAGACGTCACTGCGCCCGAGCCAGCACCCTTCTCGTTCCTATCTATGGCTGTCGACCACGACGAGACTGGCAACAACGGCGGCGCAGCCTCGGGCGACCTCGAGCTGACCCTCATCGAAGACACCCGTGTCTCGCTGACCGGCCTGGGCGACGCCAAAAAGGGCCCCACAAAGATCGAGCGCCTCGTGCGCAGCGCCACCCACTGTGTTCATGTCCAGTCGTTGCTCTGGCACAACGCGAAACGCAACGCCTGGCTGTGCGACCCCGAGGTGCAGGGGCTGCTGTTGTCCCATATCCCGCCGCGTCTGTGGGACGAGGTCGATCGATGGCGGCTCAAGTCGGGGCTGGTCGTGCCGGAAAGTGACAGCAAGACCAAGGGAAAGGGCAATACGGTCGGCAAAGGCAAAGGGAGCAGCGGAAAGGGCGCACGCGCCGCTTCTCGAGAGTGGAGCGGCGCAGCGGCGCGGCTGGAACCCGGCGCGGTTGATATGAGCCATGGTGATCCGCTGTTGCGCCTGCTCCGTGCCCTGTCATCCTGGTGGCGCCAGAAGTTCCGCATCACTGCACCTGGCCTGCGCAAAAAAGGCTACATGACCCTGGAACGTCTTGATGACTTCCTCAAGGCCGCCAAAGACACTGCGGGCAACAATCCTCTCCGATTCGGTGAGCGGATACGAAATCGTGCCGCCTTTCGAAAACATGCTGCCAGTCTAGAGGGAAGTCGCGATGTTGGCGCACAACTCTTCACAGCGCTACTGCGGGCGCTGGGACTGGAAGCGCGGCTGGTGGCCAACCTGCAGCCTCTTGGGTTTGGCTGGACCAAGCTCGAAGAAGCTGACGTGGATGAAGACGGAGACAAGGTCGATGGGAAGTCGGAGGCGCCAGTCGCCACGACGTCATCAGCATCAACACCGGCTGCGCCGACACCAAAGAAGCCGAGACCGAAAGCTCCGCCGAGACGGCCAAAAACAAAAGTAAACCCCAAAGAGGATGGACCCATCGTGATTGACGACGACTCTGATCTCGAGATGGCCGAGGTGAACAGCGACAACGAGTCAGTCGTGTTTGTTCCCGATGCGAAGACGACGCCTACCAAGCCCGCTGCTCCTAAGCCTGCATTCGACAAGGACCTGCACTTTCCCATCTACTGGACGGAGGTGCTGAGCCCCGTGACGCAGAAATACATACCTGTCGACGCTCTCGTCAAGCATATTGTCGCCGCAAGCCGTGAGCTGATTGAATCCCTCGAACCCCGCGGTGGCAAGGCTGACAAGGCGCGGCAGGTCATGGGCTACGTCGTCGGTTACTCGGCAGACGGCACCGCCAAAGACGTCACTGTCCGTTATCTACGGCGGCAGATGCTGCCAGGCCGCACCCGCGGCGTGCGCTTCCCCGTGGAGAAGATACCTGTCTACAACAAGCACGGCAAGATCCGGCGCTACGACATGCTGGACTGGTTCCGGCAGTCGGTGATGCGTGGTTATGTGCGCGGCCAGAGTGCAAAGTATCCTCTTACCGAGGTGGACGACGCCGAGGATAGCACGGACCTGCGGCCCGCAGCGGCGGAGAAGAAAGAGGTCAAGGAAGGCGAAGAGACGCTACAGTACTACAAGCAGTCTAAAACGTTTGTTCTAGAGCGGCACCTCAAACGCGAAGAAGCGCTAGTGGCCGACGCTGTGCCAGTCAAGGTGTTTCGCAATGGCAAGAAGGGCAAAGGCGCTGCAAGGAAAAAGAAGAGCAAAAACGACGATGCAGGCCTCGATGGTGATGACGACGACGACGACGATACTGCCGACGCCGCTGGTGCTGAAAACGTGTACCTGCGCAAGGATGTCGTGCAAGTCAAGAGCGCCGAAACATGGCACAAACAAGGGCGTGCGCCCGTTGACGGCCAGATGCCGCTGAAACGCGTACCCTACCGCGCTGCCACCATCAACCGCCGCCGCGAGATTGCCGAGGCTGAGGCTGCGTCGGGCGAGAAAGTCCTGCAGGGTCTGTACAGTTACGAGCAGACCGACTGGATTATTCCGCCGCCGATCCAAAACGGTGTCATCCCCAAGAATGCCTACGGCAACATTGACCTGTTTGCCGAGCACATGTTGCCCAAGGGTGCCGTGCACGTGCCCTTCCGCGGCGCCATGCGCGTGTGCAAGAAGCTGCAAATCGACTTTGCGGAGGCCGTCATCGACTTTGAGTTTGGCCACCGGATGGCCGTGCCTGTCATCCAGGGTGTCGTGATTGCCGAGGAGCACCACGACCGTGTGATGGAGGAGCTGGTCAAGGACGAGGCCGAGCGAACACGCAAGGCCGACGAGAAGAAGCGTGCCGTGGCCCTGAGTCTGTGGCGCAAGCTGCTGATGGGCCTGCGTATCGTGGCGCGGATTCAGAAAGACTACGGCGAGGTGCGGGAGGACGACCGGGTGTTTGGCCACCGCGACGACCGGGGCGTGGTGGACCTGGATAGCGTGGCGGCGCCCCATGACGATGTCGAGACTGCCGGTGGGTTCTTGCCCGAGGGTTACGAGTACGAAGATGAGCCAGCCACACGGCCAGCAACGACGTCCAGCTTCTTCCCTGTACACGACGAAGGCAACGAAGACGAAGGTGACTTCGACGGAGGTGGTTTTGTTCTAGAGTAACCGATGCGCTTCACGTACAGGGACTGTGACAGGGAGCCTATACTAGTTATGGGCCCTCTTGGGTTGGCTGGCGGAATGGATATCTTTGGGCATGATGACAGAACTGATGACATGATGGGAATAAATATTTGACAGATAAAAACGCGATCCAAATGCGGGCCAATAAACTCGAGGTATGATCGAGCTACCTAGTCCAACACGGCCGTGTCGCAGCGGTGTCGGAGCAGTCGTCATTGAATCCACGCGCGGGTCCATTGTCGTATACGTCTGCCTGTGTAAAAGAAAAGGTAAGTCGTCCGAGGCACTGTCGAAGAAGAAGTCATTGTATGGTCGGAGTAAAGGGTGATGGCTTCTGGACGTGTTTATTGGTTGTTGTGGTTGTGATTTCTGAGTGATTTGCGACGCATGGCCCAGCAACGCGCTATCACGTGATATTCTTGCCTGTACAACTAGGGTGGAGTGGGGACTTGTACAGGGGTCGTGTCTAGTAAACTCAACTCCAACTGTTCGTTGCCCAAATGTGAAAGGAACTTGCACACTGGCAACCAACGGCTAGAAGCTGATCCTGTTTCTGAACGAAATATACGATAAGCGGAGAAGCGTCCTGTCTTGGTTCACTTTACAACACGTGTCCAAGCTACTTTTGACCGGGGTATGTTTTGTCTTTCCCCAAATTCTAGAGTCGCTTTCTGTGCGGCTATTGTACAAGCATGCCATGCATAATCCAGCTAACAATGCCGCTGCAGTTTGAGGTCGACTTTAGCTCGTTTGTTCAGGTTCACCGTCATATGAACGCCTGCCACGCTTTTCGTCACCAACACAGCGTGGGCACTTTGTCTTTCCTATAAGAAGAGGGAATGGGTCCGGTCTGGCGACTCTTCTTCTTTGCTATAGACCTCATTTTATGACTCCTGGTGAATACCGCGCAATTCTTCCGTGTCGCATTTTTAACAAAGAGTGGCCATAAGCTCGCCAGCCTCAATACGCCTCTGAGTGAGCTCAGCAGGGCCGAGACCATCCGACTGGCTAGAGAAGAGGTCGGCTAGCCGAGCACGCCCAGGAATGCTCTGCTCCTGTTACGGGCTCACTGTACTCTTCTGTAAAAACATGTTAACAACGTTGCCGTATTAGAATAAGCAGCCGGGACCATACCTTAATTCCTTGCTGCCATTCCTGTTTAATTATCGGCCATTGACACTAGTATAAAGTTGCTTGTACTGACGAAAGTACTCCCAAGATGAGCCCCAGGAAGCGATCTTGTAATTCTCACACAAATGGTGGAGAAAATCTATCGCCGTTGCTCGGTCAGCTCTCCGAATAACATATTTCCAAGAACCCAGCTTTACAAAGTCGCAGTTCCCTAAAATCTGTTAACAACATGTACTAAACCTAACAGAGTATTTTTATAAAAGAGGAAGAGAAAGAGGTATCGTATAAGGTAGTTATACCTCTTCTATTTCCGTAAAATACTAGTAATTTTAATTTTACTAGTGTTAGTATAATCTGGCAGGAGAAAATGAACGCCTTACAGCTGCTTCCGAAGGGTAGCACGCTGGCTGGCTATTAATGGTTTCCGTTGCTTTGAAACCCGCGATCTCGATTCTCTCTATATAAACTGTTTAATAAATTCCCCGTGCTGGCTGTTGCCTTGGCGTCTTCTAGGGTAGGTTAAAGTTATACTGGGAAAGTAGACATAAAGGAAACGCTAGATTATAGTAGAAACCCGAGAGAGAGAAAGCTTGAGCGACCCTCGTGGGTAGACAGGTTCTTATTCATAAGTCGAGAACACAGAACGCGTAAGGACACTTCCGCTCCTTGGAACAGCCATGTTTTGGGCCCCTTCGGCTTCACAGTTGTTGTGGCGCAAACAACGAAGGTGGCGCCAACACCACGGGCAGCGCGGCCGGGGATTGGCAAGGGAGGAGATGATGTTTTTGGCCTTCTATTTCAGCCAGATCGTATGAAGGGTGGATGACGAGATGAGCATAGGCATATCAAGAGTATAAAACTAAATTAAGAATTAAATTTACAAGGGGAAGAACAGGAACAGTCCAACTACATAACTATATCGCATCTCTCCCCGACCTCACCCCCACTATCCCACTCTCCTGCTCTCCTACTCCGGAACAGCAAGGTCGAGGCCCAGAGACTCGCCGACCCAGTAGCCCAGGGTCTCGCGCACAATGTTGTTGCTGCTCCAGGCGCGCGAGGGGTGGACGCGGTTGGCGAGGTGGACGTAGAAGACGTTGTGGGCGCGGTCGATGACCAGGCTGGTGCCGGTGAAGCCCGTGTGCGACGCCGTCTGCAGGCTGGCGAGCGGGCCGGCCGTGTAGTACTGGTCGAGCTCGAAGCCGAGGCCATGATCGGCGTCGACATCCCCGAGGTATGCGTTGTAGTTCTTGAAAATATGGTCGACGCTCTGCTGCGAGAGGATGCGGCGGCCGCCGTAGGTGCCGTTGTTCAAGATCATCTGGCAGAGCTTGGCGGTGTCGAGGGCGGTCGAGAACAGCCCCGCGTGGCCCGACACGCCGCCCAGCGCCCAGGCGTTCTCGTCGTGGACGGTGCCGCGGACGGGCTGCGGGCGCTGCGGCTCGCCGGCGCCGAGCACGGCGATCTGGAATTCTTGGGTGGCAGTGCGGCCGTAGAACGAGTTGCTCCAGCCCTCGCGGTTGCCGCGATTGAAAAACGTCGAGGCCATGCCGAGCTCGCGTGTGTAGTCGCCAATCAAGGCGTCCAGCGGACGCCCCGTGACGGTCTCGAGCACGACCATGAGGTTCATAAAGTTTAGGTCCGAGTAGAGAAACGTGCTGCCCGGCGCGTTGAGCAGGCGCTGCGTGACGATGGCGTCGATCTTGTCGGCGTGCGTCGCGTAGGCGCCAGAGTACAGAGCCGGCGACGGGTCCGCGTCGAAGCCGCTCGTGTGCGTCATCAGCATCTCGATCGTCACGCTTCCCTTTTCCGTGTCGTTGGCTGCAAACGCGGGCACGTAGGACGCCACTGGGGCGTCCAGCGCGATGAGGCCCGCATCCATCGCCCGCAGCGCCGCCACCGTCGTAAACATCTTGGTCAGGCTGGCCATGTCGTAGACCGTATCCAGTGTCGCGTCTTCCTGCAGATGCGCTGGCAGCAGCGTGCCGTTGACGTCGGCGTACAGGTTGCGCTTGCCAATGGCAAAGTAGCTGACCACCTTGCTGTCGCGGCCGACAATCGTCACGCCGCCGGGCTCGATCGGGTGCACGGCGTGGTAGCTGTGCGAGCCGTAGTTGGCCGCGTGCGTGAAATTGGTCAGGTTGCCCACCATCGTATGCAGCGGCTCGGCCAGCATCCCGACCGACTGGGGCGTGCCGAAGCCGAGCACATCACCCCCTCGGCCCGGCATGGCCGACGAGAGAGCAGCCAGTAAGCCGGTGGTGAGCAAAATGCGTGAGATAGCCATGACACTTTACGTTATGGGTGGAACAGACGGCATCAAGGAGGGATGGGAGTACAACTACAAAGCAGATGCAAATTAGACTGACGTCTCCTTTATATCAGCTTGACGGAGTGGGGCTGTTCTCACACCGTGGCCCTTTACTCCGTACGTTGTAGATAACTACCCTTTCCCCGTATCTTGGCGTCTGGGGTATTGAATCAGGAACCGTCGGTCATAATTACGGCGGATCCATTATCATTGAATTTGTTTCGGTGAAAAAGGTATTATGAAGATCCTGTGATAACCCTCCAGGCTCCGTTGCTTCGGACTATCGGAGTGAAAACGTCGGAGTAAAATAAGCTTTGTCGGAGTGAGACATAAGCGTGGCTCCACAACACACTCCGAAGTTGACTGCCTATTATTGTTAGTCCCGTATGGGGAGAAAGAGCATACTCCGTACACCTTTTTCCATATTCTATGCCAGTCTCACGAACTTAACACATCAACTGAGGGTCAGTCAAATTGCAAATCTAAGAGTGGTCCGCCAAAAAGCCGGCCTGTGACCTGTGTAAACCTAAAACAATCGTGAAGTATGCTCTCGCCCCGCCCCGACATGTACGGAGTACGTATCGCTGATTGTCCATGCTGGCCTTGATTCACCAATCTCCTGTGGATCCCTGCGATAAAACCCCTCTCAAAACCCACCCGTCTGCTTATGCATAGCTGGTGGGCGACGACGTCGAAACGGGGTTTCGAGGAGCAAAACAAGCCTTCTATCAAAGAAATCAGACGTGGCAAAGTAAAAGATCTTATTACGAATCTTTTCATTTATACCATCTCTCCTGGTAATCAAAATGCAGAAAGGCCCTCAACTTACGCCAGACAAATAAGGCTTCGAGCTGAGTGTCACGTGATCTAGCACGTAGACCTGCCCTCCCCCTAAAGCCACAGATTCGGCTCTTATCCCCCCTCCTCATACCTCCCTACTTTTGTCCACAATCAGCATTGGATCCTTGCCGTCAAATGGAGATGAACAAGCTTTGCTGTTCGAATTGAGAGTATGAAAATAGAGAATGTTGATTTTGTATGGGACCCACGTTGACGGCACGTTCCGCACGCTAATTCTCAGCACTTCCGGTGACACTTACACAGGTTTGAACTTCAGACTGTCGCTGCCGCTGTCGCTGTCGCTGTCGTTTTCAAGCTTATTGGGGAGTTTTGTCGCCTTTCCTATGGGAAATGTGTGTGTGGTGGCGGGTTGCAGCACGTTAAATACTGAAATAACTGCGTGTGTGCACAGCCTTTCTGAAGGATCAAGGCAGCCTTGAGGCTCACAATTGCGGGGCAGCACATCGGCGGCCGAAACAATGGCCCTCCCAACTGACGATTGATTCGTTTTCATCGTATGTTTTGTATTTTGCATTTGCTATCTTGTCACTAAATGATCCTGGCATCGGTTGTCGGCGGACAGCTCAACTGAGAGCTGAACACGTTTGTGGCTTAGCACAGCATGAGTGGTGCCTCAAGCCTAATCCGACATGTCCAACTGTCCAAACATTCAACATCGTAACAAAACTTCTGTAGGTTCGGTCACCCCGTGGGTGTATTGAAGCTGGCAATGGGGGATTAAGCTCGACAAAGGCAAAGGCAGGAAAGATGCTGCTGTTAACCACCTGGAAGCGATCTGGTATCGGTCCCTCTCAGTGACAAGCAGTGTGTCGCGATTGTTTAGAAAGGACCGCAAAGGCCGCCAGGTTCAGGTTCAGCGTCAGTTGATTTGTGGCTTTCATATGGCCCTCCTCCAGTCGGTGGCCAATTGCATGAGGGCATTGACCGCCGTTATGGTTGGGCAGATTAGTTGGGCAGACATCTACGGCTGCCCATCTATTTCATCTTCAGCCTCACCCCGCGATCGAGCGTTGTTTGAAGCAACGCGACATAAATACTCCAGGGCCAACAACAACATCTGCTTGCGGACCACGATCCTGATCAACAAACCGGACTAAGCTCAAAAACCTGGATGCTGCGACTCGGAGGCTATGGCAAGCTCTCGTCAGCCTCGTTTGGCCTCTTGGCCTCACCTCACAAGTAAGGCGCCGGAGAAGCTGTTTCCTGTGTGGAAGATGGCCTTGTTGCATTGAAATGTCCCGCGGACATTTCGCTTTTCGTCGAGCCAGGAACTATCATGACGTCTCCGGAAGCTAGTGCCGGAGACCAGAAGACGCGAATGCCGACTTCGTCGGCAGGGGCTGTTGTTGACGAAGTTTGTCACTGTGGGCAAGGCTCTCTTGATCGTGGGCACGAGGCTCATCGCCAAGAGCTAAACAGGCGCACGAGCGCACCAGTGGCGAGAAGACAGCAACCGAGAACACAATATACAATGCCGAATCGCTGTATTTGATTGGTATTCGTGCGAAGTATGGAAAGGAGGCTCTGACAATCCTCGCAGGCATCCCTCGTTTGGGCATTGCAAATGACGAAACGAAAGACAATGGGTGGGCGGATCGGCGGCACTGTCCGATGGCCCTGGATGTCCCTGGGGGTCAGCCTTGGGCCACATGGCTCCATTGGCAATGCCTCGCTGGTATTATTAATTCAAACCGGAAAAGAGAAAAGACACAGACGATGAGGCCAGCCCAAAAGGAGTCAAGACAAATAAATAGTCGAAAACGAGGTGAGGGTCTGTTGCATCGACATGCAGCTCCATCACGGCCGAATCGGTCAGCCCAAAGTGGTGCGTGCTGGTCAAAGATGATGTTAACTCATAAACGGACAGTCGGAGCGACGAGACAAGCATTTGCTCCCAGATGCGACGTGGTTGAAAACGAGGCTGTCAAGAAATGGATGGCAGTGTGCCTTGGACTAGCGCCCCGCTAAGCCTGTTTGGAGCATGCAAGTCCACACTCTTCGCCTGGCCAGAAGAAACTACCGTACGAAATCCCAGTGCTTGCAAATACCATGAGGAAGGTGCGGACGACCAGCCCGAGGAAAGAGCAGGTCCTGGCCGGCGTTTATTCTCGAACATTTCTATTCCCTGGGCAGGAGAGACCGACCGGAGGGCGACAAATCAAGCAGAGGCAACGCCGTGCGCAGGCACGATCGGGATCGCATACCAGGCTGACACAGGCTGCCTTCCTGCCCTGGAAACCACTAACATGGTCATGGGAAAGAAGGCGACCGCAAAACTACCTAGCCATTTCAGGAAACAACACTGATCTGTAGAACAGGAAAGAGCCAACAACTACCAGCAACTACAACCAAAGTCCTATGAACACGCGCACAGCATGCCGGTCGTTGTTTTCATTTGGCTTGTGAAAGTTGGTCGTGTGCCCCAGCGTGCGGTCTGCGGCCCCTGCCCTGCAATTGTCTCGTGTCTGGCATTGGCCTGGCCTCGAGCGGCACAGTTGCCATGTCCACCCCAGCGGCTGCATCGGTTACTTCGCATCGTTGCTTCCCCAGAAACCTCACGACAAGTTCATTCCTTACTTTCATCTTTTCAGTATCCCTACTTTGCTTTCACGTATATTGTACAGAATGCGCTCTTCATCCTCGGGCGCTTTGGACGTGCTTCATGGGATCATTACGCTGCGCGCACCTTGAAAATTTAGTGGGCCATGGGGCAACTCCCGCAGCTAAGCCTTCCAGAGACATAGGTATATTTACCTATGCCACTATCCTTATTATACGCTACAGTAAGTATATATACAATTGTGATGAAATGTTTCTTGTCTCATATTATTGACGTCAAGTCACTGAACACGTTGGCTCGGGTGAGCACTCACCAAACCTCTTCGTGATTGTAACCGTTCCAGCCCATTTCTCTTCCCGTTTGGTCAACTTGCAGCTTAAGCTCACTATAGGACTTGACAGGAATGCGTGCCTCTGTTACGCCCCTCCTCTATGCTCAGTCTTGATGTCTACGCATGCTACACCGTTGCTCGAAATCCACAGATCAACGTCGAGACAAGCTGTCGGATTCATGTCCTTTGGCAGCTTCGCATCTTCTAGAAGGCCGCCAGAAGCTCCAGTTTGCTCCGCCCCGATGCCCACAATAAAACTCTCGGGATCTTAAACAAACCAGTTGCCTTTTTGCTGCCTTGGCGAGACTGGCCAACAGGCCCCTGCTCCCGGTCAGCCTGGCCTGAATCACAAATCGAGAGACCGAGCGTTGTGTTGTCTAGTCGTCCACTTCTGCTTCTGCATTCCCCCCCTTTTCAAGCTGTGGCCAGGCTGTCGGTCTCCGTCCGTCGTTCGTGTTCGTTAAATCCTGCATGGTATTCCCTCTCGATTTTCGTGCTGTCCTACCATGACAATTACCAACGGCCTGTTTCGTCCCTAGTGGCTTTTCCCTTTTTATTTCTTTTTTTTTTTCTTTTTTTTTTTTTTTTTTTTTTTTTTTTTTTTTTTTTTGGTTCTCTCACCTCTCTGCGTAACAATGACCTTTGGTCGGTTATGTACGAAATCCTTCAAGAAACGCAAACTGCACAGTGTCTGTTCTCGCCCCACGCCCGCGTTATTTGTACGGAGTACATCGGCGCTGTCTGCATTTATTATTTATCGGACAGCCACATGATGCTATGATGAGTAGTAGTGTGTCTCGCTGATGCAACCGGCTCCCGTTGGCTCATTTTCGCGACCTGTCTGGCTCGGAACGTGTTATCTCGAACCCCATGTACTCCGTAATGTGGTTTTCTTTCTTTTCTGCTTTATGTCTTGCATTTTTCCTTTTCCTGCCTGGCCCCTGTGCCCCTCCTGCCACCCACCCTCCAAGCTTCCCCTGCACTTGTTCATTGGCTGTGAGCGGCTGCTTTCGAAAGAAAGGGCCTGCAACAAGTAGGAATGACACCTCAGAAAACTAGAGATTAATTCAATACCCGCGCAATCAGCAGGAAGCCGTCAAGCTGCAGCACTACACGACCCGCCCCCAGCGCTAGTCTGGTCTGCAATATCCAGTCCAGACGCCTGTCTGTCGGTGTCCAATCCAATACGTGTGTAAATACAACATAGTCTTTATGGTATTGGTTGTCTGTAAGCACACTGGATTCGCCTGTATATCAAGGCCCACTGCTCGTAGAGTCCTGGCTGCTTAAAGTGGGGTCATACATGGGACGATGGTGTAAGTAGCTCGGGCACTTGTCGAGATGCACCAGAGAGCAGCCATTGCTCTTGCCAGCGAAGCCATGGTCGCCAGGCTGTCGCTCTTTCACAGGCGGCAGCATAGCTCTTTCCTCTCCATCTTGCAATCTTGCAGTGTGGCGCCGGCCTTGTGGTGCCCGGCTGCGGCTTCTGCAATGTACTGCCTGGGTTGTTTACTCTTACCGTTTGTAACTGCTCCTGGACAAGGACGCACTATTTGTTGCTCCTACTTGCCACTCTCTGGCTTTGTTCTGTCTTTCTCTGTTTCGCATCTCTTCGTGATCATATACGAATGGTCCCCTTTGATCAACCGAGTGAAGCAGACAGCGTCCCGGTTGTCAAAGTGTCGGATCTCAGCCTCTCTCGTTCCTCATCTTCGGGCTCTTCCGTCGCTCTTTCCTTCTCGTCTCTTGCTGTATTTTCCTGGTTTTCTCCTTCCGTCTTCGAATATCCCACGATCGCTCCTTCCAGAGATAAAATACTTCCAAATCGTCAACATTTCGTCTGCGTACGACCGCCTCCGGGCTAATCAACCTCGTTTCCGTTGCTCCTTGCGCCGCGTACAACGCAGACAGCCCCCATTCTGTCGGCTCCGTAGGTACCTTTCTAATTTGTCTGTCTGCATTCTTAATTTGTCGGTATACACCAGAACACGAGTGATACAGTCTCCCACCCACATCCTGTGTTCCTCTACCAATACTCCTTGCACCGTTCCTTCCCTTCCCTTCCCTTCCCTCCACTCCTCGATCCCCTCCTTCCTTCTTCGTCCACCGTCGTTATATTTACGCAGACGTGTCTCGGCAAGTGCGACAGTACAGTCACGCTTTCCATTTTTACATTCTTGTGTCGCGCTTCCCTTTTATTTTGTCAACTTGGCCTCGCCCGTTCCACGATCTCTTCTCTCCTCTCCTTATCTCATCTCGCCCTTATGCTTCCGCCATATCTGTTGCTATGTCCAACATTCCCCCCTCCACTACTCCGCCATTGCCCAGTGTCGCCTTGCCAGGCCTCAAGTAGCCGCAAGCTGCCTCAGGTCGCCTCACTACCCCTCTCCTCCCCCAGCACAGCACGACTACCGACAGAGATCCATCACGGGTTCAGCCTTGCGACTCATATTTGCCAACCGTATTTGCCGCGCTCGCTGTTACTCATTCTCCGGGATAGCCCTTGGATGTCTCCTTTGCTAGCCTCGCTCTACCAGTCTCTTCGTCCCCCAATTCTATATACTTATCTTCTGTCTTTGGTTTCGCCCTTTGTCGAAATTCTTCTTCACTGTCTGCATTGGCTTTCATCTCTAGTATTATGCTGCACCAGATACTGCCCAGCGTTGGCCTCCTATTTTCAAGTGATTAAACAGCAGTCAGCCGTCGATGGTTCCCTTTTTCGTCCAGCCTACATATTTCTCTCTTGTCGCTCGCTGCCTGGTAATAGTTCTCGCTATTTCTCGATATTGTTTTGCCTACGTCGACAAAGAGCATATTCTCCCCCACACACATCACATACATGAGCGCTTAACATTTTATTTTCACTCACTCTCACCACCAACAATATCGCTTCACTTTCCATTGTCTCATTCCGTACAGGATCTTCGCAGCCTCTCGTTTATTCACTAACCACGGTTTCTACCTCATATTCGCTGTGGGGTCCCTTGGCTAACATTTGTGTCCTTACTTTGGGGGCCGGGCCGACGTCAGGATGAGAAACATACTTTGTGTGGGGACCAAAGCCCTCTCCCACCAGGACGAGAAACGCAAACGATTCCCTGTCAACTTACCGTTCCGGCGGAAATCAAAACATCCGGGCATTCCCATCATCTCCGTCGTTCAGAAACCACCAATACCTGACATCCTCCTCGTTGTTCCTGCGGCTGCCGCCCCAGATTCACCTCAACATATCCCGGCTGAGGCTCCACGAAATCCATCGGTGGAGGGACTTGCCCAACCTGCACACGCACCTGAACCGGTTCACGAACCCGCGCCTGCGCAAGTCATGCAAGGACAACCAGAAGCACTGCTCGCCGGTGATCCGCTAGGAGCACTTGATGGGCAACAGGGACAAGCTGATCCCGTCATTGTTGTACCCGACGACGATGCACCAGTTCCAGCCGAAGCCCCAGCGGAGGACCCTGAAGCTGTTGCTGAGCTAGGTAGAGTGTCTTTTGAAGAGAGCATCAAAAGCGCCTGTACAATCGCTGTTCTAGAACTCTTCCCCGACATCTGTCCTGTTTACGTCCAAGAAACATGCGAGAGCTTGGCCTATGACTATGAGTCTGTGGTCAGCCACATCCTCGACAAACTCGACGACGGTCCCTCGTATCCACGCAGAGCGGATTTGAAGCGGAAGCGCGTGACGAGCTCAGTGGATGCGACTGCGAATGGCGTTACCGCCGCGACGAACGCTTTTACAATCGATTACATCGATGACAGCAGCTTGAGTGTAAAAGAGAGAGAAGAGCGTGCCGCTCGATTTTTCAACAGCGACGAACGTCGAAGCAGGCACATGGTGGGCGCGTACACCCCAACAGCTCGCACGCTTTTGCAACAGGCATACCCATATGTGCCCCATAAGTTCATCACCACGCAGCTGACTAAACACGGCGACTGCCTCTTGCTTGCCCTACTCGACCTCGATGAGCACATAGTTCACAAGGGCCCGCTGCATCTGGGATTCGTATTCAAGAAGACAAAGACCAAGCTAAATCCGGTCTACTCGATGGAATCCCTGCCAGGGATGATCCGTATTGAGGAGTCGGAGTCTAAAAAGGACGCCCTGGAGGAGTACCTTGCGGCTCTCAAAATTCGACAGCTCCGTAAAGTGAAGCGCGACGAGGAGAGGCAGCGGGAACTCAGCGAAGCTGCCAATATCGAGCAGGCCAAGAAGGACGGAACCATCAAGGATTGCGAGTGTTGCTTCGGAGACTTCCCCATGAACCGCATGGTGCACTGCAATGCCTCCACTATACATGTACGTTGATCCCCTCTCCCCCGGTATTATGCGATGTGGCATAAGAGTATATTAACTAACATTCACAGTGGTTTTGTGTCGACTGCGCGCGGCGCATGGCGGAAACCCAAATCGGTCTCTCCAAGTACGAGCTGGCGTGCATGTCCATGGACGGCTGCAAGGCAGGCTTTTCCCGTGCGGAGCGCGACCGCTTCCTCGACCCGAAGACGGCAATGGCCCTCGACAGCATCGAGCAAGAGTTTGTCCTGCGTGTCGCCGGCATCGAGAACCTCGAAACATGCCCCTTTTGCCCTTATGCAGCTGAATACCCACCAGTGGAGGTCAACAAAGAGTTTGCATGCCAGAACTCCGAGTGCGAGGCCGTCACCTGTCGTCTGTGCCGCAAAGAGTCGCATATTCCCAAGAGCTGCGACGAGGTCGAGAAGGATAAGGGAGCAGCAGTGCGTCTGACGATTGAGGAGGCGATGTCACTGGCCATGATCCGCAAGTGCAACAAATGTGAGTATATCCTTCCTAGTGGCCGCTGCTATTGTTCCGCGTTTATTGGCACGCATGCTAACTTCTCGTCAGGTGGCACACCTTTCATCAAGGAGCTCGGCTGCAACAAGATGACGTGCACGCGTGCCGGTTGCTCCAATGTGCAGTGTTATGTCTGTCACCAATCGTGCGATTACTCGCATTTTGATGACACTTCCCGTGGTGGAAAGGCGGGCAACTGCCCGCTGTTTGAGAGTGCCGAGGAACGCCACGAAGTGGAAGTGCTCAACGCCGAGGAGGCGGCCCGTCAAAAGGCGATCGAGAACAACCCGGATGTCCACATTGACCATCTGAAATTCCAGGTCTCCGAACAGGTGGCGGCCGACGAGAGCCGCCGTAAGAACGAAGATGCCGAACGGCGGGCAGCTAATCAGCGCTGAGTGTGGCCCCGGGTGCAGCAGACCCGACAGGTGGCGACCAGTTCCTTTGGGTGCAGAAGTCGTTTGTAATGGAGAACGCTCCGCCGGGGCAGCAGAGGCTCGTGCAGTGTGGGTGAAACATGGAGCAGAGGTGGCTTGCGGGGCTTGCGCAAAGTCAAACCCAAATTCTGCGACCACCACGATGAACGACGTTTGGAATTCCTTTTTTTTTTTTTTTTTGGTGCAGCATCTTTTGCAATTTTGTTTTGACATCTATTTTTTTTCATCTTGAGCGTTCTGTCTTTTGCCGCGATCAATATGGCCTCAGCACATACATTGTCTGGGCCATGTCATTTATATTTTGCTTCTGTCTTTCCTTTATGTATAGATGGCCGTCACCGAGTGTTCATTCGCCTTTTCCTTGGCCCTTTCCTTTGTCAAACTTCTTCCAGTTTCCCTTCCTTGGTCAAATACTGCATTTAGCAAAGGATGTTTTTGGTCCATTACTTAGATAGTTGGTTAATATACCCGTCGTCTCTTTTCCATCTATTGTCTCCATACAACAAGAAAAAGAATAGAATCGTAACTAGAAAACCATATGCGCTTAAATCACCACAATTCATAGACACGAAATACGTACGAGCAAGATCAGATCGTGTAGGCTTGTCTACCGTGTGCGCCCAAACTTCGCGTGCCACTTGCCGCGGGCCGGCGCCGCTGCCGGTTTGGGTGCTTGGGAGGTCGACGTGGCCGGTTCCTGCTCCTCAATAAGCTCCACCGTCTCGTGCACGGTCGCAATGGCGGACACGGTGGGCTTGGGAAGTCCTCCATTTGCGTCTGCGTTTGCGTTGGCGTCGGGGTCTGCACCTTCTCGCAGCAGCACCAGCGCGTTGGACGTGTTCTTCTGCCGCAGCGCGTACGTCCGGCCCGCCGCTTTGAGGCGGGCCAAGCCGTCGGCCGAGGACGACAGGGACCACCTGTGGCTGTCATTAGTGGGAGCTCGAACCGAGAGGAGGGAGACGTGATACCTGGCCGGTGGACCTACCGCGTGTGGTCGTCGACAAGCTCGGCTGGTAGCTCGATCAGCCGGTAGCCGATGCCGTCGGACGCGTGGACCAGGGGAATGGCCGAGGACAGCTCTTGTGAGGACATGGTACGGTGTGTGTACAGAAAGAGTCGATGTGGTGTCTGTTCGGAGTGTGCCACTTGTAAAGGGAAGAAGTAAAGTCAAGGTTGCCCCACATTTGAAGCCAGTCTACCTTTTGGCGGTTAGTACTAGAAATACGCGACAACATATGTGCCTTCCAAGTTGCATTACGGACCCCTCGAGGTAAAAAATCATCCTCCAATACGAACAATCACTCGCTTTGTCTTCTCGTATCCTCCTTCTCACTTTACACAATATGCGGCGCCGATGCAGGTATCTGCTGTGCTCTTACACGAATATGCAACTACCCGCAAAACAGAGGGACACTACGAGTATGTAGCCACTAGGATGAGACACGGAGAAAAGCAACAAGGAAGAAAGAAAAAAGAAAGAAAAGTGGCAGGAAATCCCGGTCAACTATATATTAACTGCCCTCCGTGATATAGAGACGAGAATAATAAAGAGGCTGGAGACACGGCACGGCGTGGACTGTGGGTTCACCTGGGGTTTCGCTTAAGATGCGTCATATGCAGCAAAAGGATACGGGCCCAGAAAGAATGGCGCGCCAAATCTGAACACTAGCGCGTCGTAGTAGTGGTTTCGTCCCGTCCTCGGCGCACGCGTTCCTGCCATTTGGCGGACATTCCACTGTTTACTTTTCGCGCGAAACAGACTAGTCCCAGGCGCGGGGTCCAGTTGTGCCGTTTTCTGCCACAGCAAGCAAGAGCTGCGATAGGTTCAACAACCTCAGAGCAGGAGCATACCCCGTACTTTCCTTTCGACGCGCTCTTTCCGCACCCAAGCGGCAGTGCAAAAAGGAAAACACTGTAGGGTGGCAGGAACGACGGCGAAATTCAATACACAGGGAAAGTGCGGCCGGCAGTGAGGAGGAATACAGAAAAGGACATTAAAGGCGTTCTCCGTCAATCAATGGGCCGTTCAAACGAACCTCCATTCCGGCCAACCGAACCCACGAGGTCGACACGGGCTGTTTCGCTTCACCAACAGAACCAGACGGGCCATTGACCTGGGAAAACCAACCCCCTGCCCCAGCCTAGGTCGTCGCTGCTATTATCACTGCTTTTCTGCTAAGATCGGGCCGGTCATATGGGGCGAGATCGACCGTTCCACGCTGTGTCCACCGCGTCCACCCCAGATCTTTCTTTGCTTCTGATTGCTTTCCTCTACCTTCAAGGTCGACTTCTTCCCTCTTCTTTCATTCATATCGCGGCTTGCCCGGCTGCAGCTTGACATCCTCCGCCGTCTCTCGCACGCCGTCCGCTTTGTTGACATCGCGAGCTTACGCGACGAGGGCTACACTCGGCACAACGACGTCACGTTGGACAGACAAGCGCACGAACACAAAACGCAGACAGAAAGTACTACTTGACGCAGCACGAACGACATCAAAGGTTTCTGTTCGCCTTTGTATCGTCCGTAGACCACCTACTTGTCCAGCCCCGCCTGCTGGTGTTTACCTCAACAAGGAAGAGACCTGTGGGCCCACTCTTTGTGTCTCTATTCCCCTTCCTCTTTTCCCTCTTCAGCTCTCCTGTTGCGGCCACTCGTCCCCTTGTTACTTTCTACCCCCCTGTTTTATTTATATCTTTGTTTTGTGGTCCGCTCGAGTCGGCCAAGCTCGACCGCCTTTGGTTGCGACCCAGTTGGCCGCCTTTGACCCATTCTATTCGACATTCCTCACCTGCGCATCTTTTTCTTTTTCATTGTGTCGAATCTGCGATCGCCGACCTGGGCCTCGCATCCGACCGCATTGCATCACAGTGCCATCCCACCAAGCCCATGACGGTCGTCTAGCCTCCCCTCCCGCTTTCTCCGACCAAGGCGCGCGTTCTCTTCCCAGCCCCCGTCGCACGTCGTCGCCATGGTGCGCGTCACCGACGAGCTGGCCCTTTCGCCAGAGACCATCACGCTCTACCATGCCAGTGACCCTCTGCTCGGCCACCTGCCCGTCCTCGCCTTCCACGGGCCTTCGACCACCGCCAACTTCACACACAACAGCTCGCGCATCCAAGTCCACATCTACTCACCCGCCGGCTTCCAGTCCTTCCCCCGCCTCACCGTCTCGCCCAGCTCCGACTTTTATAGCGTCGTGACCCACCTGCCCCGCGAGTTCCAAGGCGACGAAATCTGCCGCGGCCTCGCCTTCTCCCTCTTCAAGTACTTCAGCGAGCTGCCAGAGTCCGTCAAGACCTACCTGCGCAACCAGTACCCAACCACACGCGGGCGCCGTCCGGGCTCGGCGCCGGCCCTCTTCGGCGAGCAACATGCCGCAGACCTCGCCAAAGCCATGGCCTGCGTCGAGACCAACATAGACGAGCACCTGCGCGCCCTCGAGTGTGCGCTGCAGACACAGCACGTGAGCAACATCGATCTCGACCTTGTCCTTCCACCCGGAGCCATTCGACTCCCCTCTCTCGACGGCGACGGCGCCAGCGGCGCCGTCGAAGATGACGACGAAGATGTGATCCTTGACCCGACCTTGCGCCAGTATGATCCGGCCTACACTCCGCTCGTCAAGCTCTTCGGCGAGCCCGTCTTCCTTCCCACATCCAAGTTGCGCCGCGCGCCGTCGCGGCCCAGCTCGCTCAACCACCGCACAAAGGCCTTTACAAAGGACCAAAAGGTCGAGCTGCGCATGCAGATGGGCGAGCTGGTGGACACCGAGGAGCGCTACGTGCTCAAGCTCAATGAGCTCGTTAAACACATTGCCGATGACTTCCGCCAGAAGGCCAAGGACCGCACGGCGTCTAGCTCGAGTCCGTCCATGGAAGACGTCGACCGTCTCTTCCCGCGCTCTGCAGATCACATCTTGCAAATCAACTCGGCCTTTATGCAGGACCTGCGCCGTGTCATGGACGACACCGAGGAGGATGCGGTGCGCGACCTGGACATACCATACACATTTGGGTCGGCCTCGTCACGTACCATGCTGGTCAACTCCCACGCCCCTGGTGGTGGTGGTGGTGGTGGTGGTTCCGTCCGTGTCAAGGATCCTAGCGGTGCTTTAGCCATGGCCAAAACCTTCCTCGAATGGTTTCCCAAGTTCACCGACTGCTACCAAGACTACATTCGTGCTAGCCAGAACTTCCCACAGCTGCTGAGCAGCTTTCTCGACAACAACCAGTCCAGCTTCCGGGACCGTGTTGTGCAAACCACCGGTGAGCAGGCGTTGCGCTCTATCCTCATCGAACCCGTGCAGCGCCTACCGCGCTATAGCCTCTTCATCGACCAGATTGTCGGCTGCCTGCCTATCACACACCCAGCCCTGCAGTTGATGCTAAAGGCGCGCGACATCATCACAAACATTTGCTCCATGGACGACCCGTCTGACAACAAGCCCCATGTCGTCAATCGGTTGCGCAATCTGGTCGAGTGCTGGCCCATGGACCTCGAGCCACGGGGCCGTCTGGTTCTAGCGGCCGACTTTGTCGAGCTGGCCGCCCCCTACGATGCTGATGCGCACAGCATCGGTATCCAGGATCGTGCTGGCCTCTTCTTGCTCTTCAGCGACTGTCTCATTGTTGTCAAGAAGAAGGCAGGCACGACGTTCACGGGCCGCGACCTCCTGCGCGAGATTGACAAACCGTCGCCGGCCGGCCTATTGGTGTCCATGACCAACGCAGCAGGCGGCCCAGGAACGTACGACTTCGCCTTCAGTGGGTGGCACCAGCTAGCCGATGTGTGCTTCACGGAATCCGCAGACAGCCGTCTTGTGTGGATGACCTCGACGCAAGAGATGAAGAGCGCACACTCAGGTGACTACATGGCCAGCAAGGCCATTACCTCGCGCTGCTTCGTCCTCCAAGAGTCGTTTGAGGCCAAGGCTATGCGATGGAGCGAGGACCTCGTCAAAGCTCGCATTGAGGGACGTTTCTCTGAGGCTGAGCGTGAGACGCCCACCTGGTCGCTCCGCTCGGTTCGTCTTCCCGAGAACAACAACATGGGCCTCCATGCCGCCGTCTTCCAAGAGGCCGCCGAAGAGCTTATCGAGGGCCGCCGGGAGCCCGCCCCTGTGCGCGTCGTCTTCGACAATCACCTGGGCACTAAAGGCGCTCCTGTCGGCCACTACGGTGTCGAGATTGTCATTGAGGTGCGAACGGACGTCGGCCGCAGCAGCACGGGCAGCCGGGGCAGCTACGGCAACGGAGAGAAGCGCCTGATTATGAACACGGTCGGCCTCAATGGCAAGCGGTACTCGGATGACATTGCCCAAGATGACTTCTTGCCGACTCTCGCGCGGCGCATCATCCAGCTCATGAGCTCTCAGTACAACCCGTCCAATCCCAAGCTGGTCCCTGCTCTTGTCTCGTACCACACCAAGACACTGCGCTCGCTCAAGTTTGGCAATCGTGCCGAGAAAACCAAGTCGTTCCTTGGCTCGTCTCCCGTCAAGCTGTTGTCGAGCTTCCTGAGTGGTGGCAGCACGACCAATGTTGCTAGCAACAACGCTCCACCGGCTGTAGCCGCCGTTGCTAACACAAGCACAACCACCCTATCCGAAACCATATATGGCTCCATGCGTATGCAGCGGTCACAATCCAGCAGCAGCCGCCCAACACAGCCACCTCAAGCTGACGCAGCATCCCTCAGCGGGTCAATCCGGGACCGTACTGGCGGTGCAACTTTTGGTGGCGATGCGTCGCGGCCGGAGAACCCCCTGGTGCGCTTGGAGCAAACCTTTACTGGATACGTCGCCGCTCTTCAGGCGCGGAAGGGCCAGTTTGTTGCTCGGACCTTGCTCGGCCGCAGTTCCAGTTCTGCCGACGAGCTGTCGGTCAATTTGCTGTACAACAGGCTGAACGAGAGCCCGTACGACTGGGAGTCTTCCTCGGACCTAATGCCCGAGGTTGTCTTTGCCGCCTTTGAAAAGTTCACACGCATCGCCTGGCGCGACCAGATGGGAACCATCATGACCATCCAGTCACTTGACGCTCTGCAGGAACGTGCCATTCGCAAGGTGCCAGGCGATTTTGCCGACTTTGTC